TCTGGATACTGAAATTGGCAATATGAATATATTTTTAGATTCTAGCCTTAAATTGTCTCTTTTTTTAAAGAGATATCAACATCAGAATTACAGGAATACCTGCGTTTTTATTTCCTATCCTTTTAATTTTGTCACGAAGCCTCTAAGACTAGTTATATTTGGATTTTGAAGCGCGTTTTTCCAGCATATGCTTTAATTATCGTACGTTTTTCCTTTGGAATTCCAATTTTTCTATTTATACAAGTACATAATAATTCTGAATTACTTTTTGTTCCGTCTCGTCAGATGAAGTGGCGTTAGGAATTTAATCTTTTCGTAAATTTCTCAGTGAGGAAAGAAGACTTTCAATCTAATAGAGAAGTCTCGAAATTCTAGAAAAGACGAATTTATAACGTTATATCATAGAAGTTTGATATAAAATTAAGTCGTACTTGGAGTTTTTTCTTAGTGATACGGTATGTTCGTTGTGCTTCTGTATAATGAGTATAACTCAAAAAAAACTAACTTTTTGTTTGTTATCTTTCCTTACATCGTTTGTTTCATTCCTAGGTCAAAATTCTTCAAGAAAGTACTTTTCCTCAACCCTCTGAAAGAGAGTTTCATTTCACTTTTTTATTATATTAGGTTGAACACTAAGTTTTGCAACTTGTTTCATAACTTCACTCTCATTCAACATGGTGCACTCAAACTTTGGCATCGTGTAGAATGCAATGTGAGCTACAAGTGAGTACAAATTGTCTGAATTTTGAACACGAAATAGAAAAGTTTCAGGCATTTTTCGAAAACTAGTAAAATTTGAGAATTTTTGAGGTTTCAAGCTAAAATGAAGCCTTTGGCAGCCTAGACCATGCGCAGTAATCCGTATTCGTCTACAAATTATTGCAAGAGGTTGACTCCTTTGGCCTAGCAAGAAAGAAACAAAATTTATGGGCATGTCGAGATTTGGCGTCCTCATAAAGTCGAAAACGAGTCGATGTACGCAAGAGCTGCTGGGGACGACCGTCAATGACTAAAGAGTCCGAAGCTCAAATTCCGCCGAGACTTCACATAGTAAGGTTATTTGACCTGCCGAATGCGAATATTATATTCATTTGTTGAATCAACGCCTTTTTCTTTGCTTAGGGTGAGACCCCATAAGGTACACCTACAGTAACCCTACAAAAAAGCCCTTATCACGCAATTTTACTATCGTTTTCGTGATCAGCATGTTCGGATAACACCCCTATGCCAAGTTTCAGCCAAATCCGTCAAACTTTGAATTTTTCCCCTTCATACCATACACCTACCGTAACCCTTACTGCGACGTCAGAATTTGGTAGGACAGCAGCTGCGCTTGTAGTATACATTATAACCAACGTAGTGGCAAAATTTGAGTGCACTATGTTGAGTGAGAGGGAAGTTATGAGAAAAGTTGCAAAACTTAGTGTTCAACCTAATATATCCTATAGTATTAGTTATCTCTTATCGTAGAGAATCCGTTCAAGTGAAGAAGAAGCCCTTATGTGTGATTCTTTATTTTATTGCAAACTATGTTTGACATCATATACTTTTTCTGAACATCTGGGAATCCCTATGATATAATCCAAATCATTCTAGTCAGATAAGAATGCTTAATCTTATCACCTCAAGATAAGCCTACTATTGCACGAATAACTTGTCCGTTTTTTCCTAATATTTAGACCCGACTTCAAAAGGGTAAATATTCTTGCGTAAAATTTGAATTGGTTGCCTTATTTTTTTATGCTGAACTTTTCGAATCGGAGTTTCTCACATGCATTTGCTTGAAATTGTTTATCATTACTATTTTGATACGATTCTCGTGAACCACATTATTCGCACAGCCATTAGCATTTACGATCTTGTGTACAATTAAATATTGATGCTAAATATCGGGTATAAGTTTTGATCAATACTCTTTTGGAACTATAGCAATTTTATTCACCTTGTCGGACCAACTTCTTTCATCACTATTTTTTGTATTTTGAATTTTTGTCCCCTCATGCCGTGTCAGGTTCCAAGTGGAGCATTTTATCGAATCGAGACAGGCCCTTTCTCTTCAGCGAATACTTTGATGCATGGAGCCGTGGTTCCATTCAATCTTGAGACTTATTAGAAGTGTGTTTATTTGCTATTCGAGGGAAGACAGACCCACTCAGGGAAAGTTCATGCATTGAGAAGCTTTGCGTCGACGTTTTGCGAAGCAAAAATCCTCTCATAGTGCGGATTAGTGCGCTCATATAACAAACGCGAAAATGCGTCTTTTAGCTTTTTGATCATTTTGTTCTATGTTTTGACCAAAGTTTTTATTTTCGTGGTGTGGTGTTGGAACTTCTTTTGAGAAAGCATTACTTCTGAACCAGATTTAGCGACAGGTTTAGAATCCGCGAGGGAAATGGAATCACCCTATTTCCAAAGATTAAGTAGCCATGTTGAAGTGAAATTGATTTCATGTCTGTGCTAAGTGCTTTTGTCCTTGGACACTCATGCTCAACAATTCGACCCTTGAACATATGGCCCATTTTGCACGGAAATAGTATTAGGTCATTCCGAAAGTAATTTCGCTTTTTTCAAACGGGCGCCACATTTGATGGAACAAAGATTTTCAAAAGATCTTGGAAGCATTCGATGCAGCATTTCATTCTCTTTCTAATGGTTATGAAATTGTTGCAAAACAGTCAATGAGCTTCCAAAATAACCAAATCCTGCGACCCATGCTTTTTGAGATGGTCAATTTTTGCTAAACTTTTGTATCAACCCTCCGACAAAATACAAGTAACGTGTGTATAGAGCAAACCTCACAGAATGCAAAGCTGCTTTTTTCTCCTTTCCACAGCTTGTCATACATTTTTAACAGAATTTGAACTGATGCTACCGTTTTCCAAACTTGGACAGCTAAATTCTGGTAAAACATCAAAAGAAGAGCAGCTCGGGCACTATTCGATGCAGCATTTTCTCCTCTTTCTAACGTGTGTTTTTTGTTTTAGATTCGTTTAGTTTCCGGGGATGAAATCATCATAACTCATTTTTTTAGCGAGCCCCAGGCTGTGCCCGAAAAGCTCGAGATTTAATATTTCGAACCCGTAAACTCTCATTTGCTTTGTAAAATTAGTGCTAACTCATAGTACCATCTTGGTAGCGTCGAATTCCGATTAATTGTGATGTTTGACGCGATTATGGCTGATTTGGGCCTGCCAAAATCTGATGGTTTTGTTAGAAGCAACTATGAAAAACAGAAAAAAGTTGTACTGTCTTATATATAAAGCTGAATGTCTGTTTGTGTCTGTCTGTATGTCTGTATGTCTGTATGTCTGTATGTCTGTCTGTACGTATGCTCCGAATAGAAAATTCCATTTCTGAACCGATCGGGACCAAACTTGGCACACATACACTACGGGCCCCGGCGGGTGTCATAGGCTACTTTTCGTCATCGATCGATATCGATTTTATCGATTTTTTGCAAAATTTGAGCTACGGGGCTGGAAGTTGGCACAGGGGGGTAATCGAGCATGCTGATCACCCCCGTGGGGGTGATCAGCATGCTCGATTACACCCCTCTGCCAAATTTCAGCCCCCTAGCTCAAATTTTGCAAAAAATTGATAAAATCGACATCGATCGATAACGAAAAGTGGACTGTGACACCCGCCGGGGCCCGAAGGGTATGTGTGCCAAGTTTGGTCCGGATCGGTCAAGAAATGGAATTTTCTATTTGGAACATACGGCGGAGCCGGGTAAGCCAGCTAGTATCCTATAAGGTTTGCTCTATCTAATCGTTACTTGAAGTCCTTCTGAGGATTGATATGAAAGTTTTAAAAAAATTGTGAAACTTGACTATCTCAAAACGCTTGGGTCGCAGATTTTGGTGATTTTCTGAAAGCCCATTAGATAAGTTGCAACAATTTCATAACCGTTGGAAAGAAGATGAAATGCTGCATCGAATGCTGCCAAGAACTCTTAGAAATCTTTGTTCCTTCAAATGTGACGCCCTTTGAAAAAAGCGAAATTACTTTCGGAATGACCTAATAAGTACATCATCTTCATGTTCTCCCAAAGATTTTTACAGGACTACATAGCAAGAAAAGCTTGGTGTTTGCTAGTCTTTGTACTTCTATTCTACCTAAAGGATTTTGCACGCTTTAATTTTCAAAATATTACTTCAAAATCCTTTAAAATTATGGTCACAATCAATAAAATGGAAGTCATAAAAGTTTTTTTTGTTTTGTGTAGAACCTCCTTACTTGCAGTATTGTGCTTCAATGCACGGGATTTTCCCGCATTATTTATAAAGCAGTGACTGTGGGTCGAAGCTAGAAGTGAAGTAAAGTTCTGCAATACTTCTCTTACTTTCTCATTTCAAAATGTAGCCTTTCGATTGCAAAATTCTGCAAAAGCTTTAGATATTTCGAAGTATCCTTGATCTCGATTCTTATTGCTATCCGAATTAAACTGGTCTTTTTTGGCATATAGCAACAAAACATAAAATTTGCCACTAAATTTGCTTAAACCTTTAAACCTAAATTTATTTTTAATCTTGGTCTTGTGACCTACTTTTCTTGATTAAAAAAAGTTTGTAGTGATTGGAGTCTGTGAATAGTTATGAATTTCAATTATTTAAATTTACTTGTTTTTTGCTTTAAATTAATCTTTTATTTTGCATGAAATGAATAAATAAATAAATATGAAAATACCCTTGATATATTTGTACAAAGAGCATATTGTGCGAATTGATTAGTCCGATTAGGCATTTTTGAGACGAACTTTTTCTCTTTTTTGGTGCAAGTACCATCAACCTTATAATTCATCGCTGGTATTTCATATACTATCCATTGGAGTAACCTAACATATGGATTATTTTCTCGATTTTCCATTAATTTATTGAAACAATCAGTGATTTGAATCCAAGAATCGAATATCTGCTCCCGTGACCACCTTTCACCACTCTGATCCTGTTGCCACCGCTCGTTTCATACGAAAACAACTAAAATATATTATAAAATTTTTCAGATATATTTGGGTGCGAGCTGGTTATGCGCATAGATGGTATGCCAGCGGTTGTGTTAACAAGTTACAGTCAATCGGTGAGTTCATCTCTCCATCTCAATTTCAACAATATTATAATAAGTGAATCCTACACCGAAATGGTAATATTAAAAAAATCTGCACATGATTTTACAACAAATGCTTTGCAAATGTATGAAAGTGAGATAAATGCCGGATTTTTGCTACTCTAGTCTAAAATGATCGAAAAGTTATTTTGGCAGTCCAAGATAACTGCACTATGTATACCACGAGATTTGACGTTTTCAATATGTTCTCTTGGTTTTTAAGTTATTATTCTTGATTCAGTTCTTTGGATTGACAACTTTGAAGAGATTATAATTTTTTTTCCCTTTGACCTTTCAATAGTTGATCATTCTAACCAATCGTGCGGAAGCATGAACACTTACATGCTCTTGTAACATGTAGCATAGCTTTGCTTTTTTTACTTATTTTATGCTCTCTTATTCCACTCAAGACCGGATGTTATGTCTAATTGCTTACGTAGAGCAACTATTTCTCAACTCATTTTTTTTCGTCAATTTTATGCTTCTATAGAGCTGATCACGTCAAGTGATGAATGTTTTCTACTTCATTTCACAGCAATTCTAAGCAATGCTGCTTTTTTGATGTTACAGATTGTTGAATTATTAGGCCATGAATTTGCTTTCAGCTACTCATTAAGAAAGATTCGAACAAAAATTTTCATAAGATAAAGTCATGGAAAATTCCTTCTTCTCTTACTCAAGATGAACTCGCGTCTTGAACAGTAGAAATGAAGAAAAATTTTGAAAAATACGGGGCGTGACTACTTTTTTTCGAAGTCTCACTAAACGGCTTTCAAATTTTCTTTATTCTTTTTGGGTGATCATTTTTATAATTTTTTAGCAGTTGAGGAACCTATTATACAGATTTTGCAAACCATTTATCAGCTAATTTTCTCGTTAATCACTCACCTCATTTTATCCCATTAAGCAATTTATTAATGAATATCGAATGATTCTGCAAGCTAATGGTCTCTAACTGTGATCAATGCTTTCACATAAATTTGAATTTGTGTAAAACAACTTTTTTAGATTATCTGTTGGATGCCAAAATTATTCTGCATGTTATTTTTTCCCGAAAAATTATCAACCTTGCATCAGTGATCAGGATTACTAAGATTAATGCAGCAGCATAATGAGCTCTTCAGCTTTTTCCGTACAGACATGTAATTAAGGATTAGCAATGTGTTATTCGCAGCAGAAGCTGAAGAGAAAGCAAATTGTAAACCAGGCCCGAGCGAGGGCAATATGCGGGTTTGAGGTGAATAAAGCTAGGTAATAAAAATTCCCCATTCTGTAGACGGTTCTGTGGTCATACAATGGAGAAAAGTCCTCTATATGTAAATGTGATATGTATAAAGAATATTGTCGAGAAATCTGCCTATGATTTCAAGACACGTAGTTACTGTAATCGACAAAGAACTTTTTTAATTGAGACCCGAAAAAGGATCTCATAGGTTTGTATGCAAGTATATCACCGCTTTAGAAGCGAAAAAAGCCGTAAAGTGACGCTTTATTTCTTATTGTTAGAACTCTAAAAATCTGAATCTCTTGTTGTTCATCCTCAAAGGATCCATTACTTTGACCCCTAAACAAAATGAGCGGCAGTCGTTGCGTACAATCTGAAATTTTTGTAACTTTGTATGGTCCCCTGGGGGATTCCTGTGCGCCCACTCTTCTCCAAAGTCATTCATTTTCTCTTAACTGAATGGAAATGTAAAATCGATAAACCGCTACTTCCGAGCACTGATAATCGAAAATTTCGTCATCCTGAGATCTCTCTTTCTCCCAAAAACATGCTTTGTCGGATTAAATCTGAAGAGCGTCTCTATTACGTTTCTCAGTTCTTGAAACCATGAATGACTTTGCAGCAACGATGATTTCGTAGGAAATTTCTGAGCACATGAAAAACAAAAAATAAGCTAATCTGAGAATGGCATGTCGTCAATCGCGTTATCCCAACTCGGCTGAGGCGGGCCCGAGTTGAACACATAATGCCTCAGCGCACAATTAATCGTTCCATCGATCTCGATGCATAAAATTATGTGTTTTCTGGGAAGAAGAGGTTTGTTTGGCTAATCAATGCATGCCAAGAAACAATGCTATTTTCCGTTCCGGACCGCCTTTTAACATCGTTTTGTTAGCCAGGCCAATATCTGACAGCGGCCACTATCAAATCGATGATGACCGCTATCGAAGACTTCTCCTAGCAAACGGGAAGATAAAACGATTCTACATTCTTTCATAAATAACCTGAAAAATAACACTTGCTGGGAAATACATGGGAAAATCTTTTCATTTTTGTCATTTCAAGCAGTCCCTGGAAGTAATCTGTAAGCACCCTTTGTAAAAAAAAGAAAAACAACGATTTCTATCTCCTTGAGTGCAAAGATTTGTCCATTAGTCCTTTCTTGTTTGAGTCATGGATTGTTCAGTATGTACGTTCCGTTCGTACCGCATTGCTAAGAAGTTTTGTGTGATTTTTCGCTTTTACGCACTCTCCATCACTACAGCAAACGAATACCGTCAACTTACAATCAGCGCGGTAAATTGACCCCGTCAATTGACCGAAAGGTCTTCTGACAGCACAACTTGCCATCTCAAAGCAAGGAGAGGTGGGTGATCGTAAGCTCAACTTACGAAGGCTGGAGGGGTCAGCTTAGTTAAGCCAAGCTAACTGGGCGTTTACTACGGGCTAGTGTGTTGTCATTCAGTGCAATAGATCCTTCGAATGATGGAATGACAAACAGGAGTTCAGATTCCTAGAGCATCTAGATATAAAGCGCCCTTATACATTCCTTCCTCACAAGCGAGGATGATATGCATGTAAAAGTATCTCAGTGCTACAGATTTTTGCAAAAGAAATTCACTAGAAAACTTCCATTTCAGAGATGCTACTTGCCCTTCGATTGTCGGCCACGAGCTCTGGTGCTGCACTTGCTGCTTCTGTTATTATTTCTTCCAACCGCTCAATCTCTAACTTATTTTGTGGGAAGTGAGTACTACTTTATATTGACAAAGGTGGAATAAAACATTTGAAAACCTTTTTTATCTTTTACCATGCTTCTGACTCGATGCTGGCTTTTGGTATAAAACAATCAACTTTCTAAGTGGTTGTTGACTGAGATTCAATTTCAGCTTCCTCTAAACAAATGGGTTCTGGTATTGGACCAGAAGAACCATTTCTTTCACAAGAAGACAAACAAACGATTGTTTTATTCTGTCGTGCCGCTTTATCGAATCCGCATGCAGTACGTTATTGTCTTCATTACCAATATTTTCCAAGCTCTATTGGGAGCAAGGTGGAATGTGCGCATTTCAGCGTGAGAAGTTTAAGGACCCAGTGGAGCTACGACGGATTTGCGGCACTTTGATTCGAGAATTCAAAAGGCAACGGGATTTTGAGAAGAAAAAGCGTTTCTTCTTTTGAGGTATGCGCTCTTCGATGGAGTGGGGAGAGGAAATGATTGGGTTCCCCCCCCCCTTTTTTTAGCTAAAAGAAAAAGTATAATTTGATTTTTTACAGATGCGCCACACTTCTCGTTGTTAATCTTCAACCAAAAACGATCTCGCTCTTCTTCCAGGCCGTATTCGCATCCACACCAACTGCTTAGTCGATAGCCGTGCGTTCGATTGAATGGATAAAGATTATTTGCCGTTTATGTTTGTATCGTAATGAGAAGTTATGTACCGTTCTCGTGTTCTTCAATACCAAAAAGGCAGAAAACAATTACATTAATAGGCCTACACGTTGTCAGTCAGTCATTAAGCGAATACCGCAAGAACTACACAAGACAATTTGCTTCAGGAAAGCTCATCAGTCAGACGACAGATTTGAGAACATTTTAAGAGGGTCATAATGATCAGCAACGTATTTTCTCACACACCTTGCAAGTAAATATCATTGAGTTGCCTGCCCAGTTCCCACTGGCATCTAGCAACCTTGATAACTAATTCCACTGTGAGTTCGTAAATTTTTGCAAAGATCCTTGAGTGTAAACTGGGTTGAAGAAATGCCCTTGTACATGCTTCACAATACAAGACTAATAGTGATAATGACTGAGGAAAAGAGCGTATCACTGAAGTGAATTTAGCAAAATCGAGCATTTATTATTGAGTTTTTTGAGGGCTATAAAAAGCGGAATGGGATTTAAAGTTTGCTAATACGTCGTCTGCATTTTATGGTATGCAAATTAGATTCACAGAAATATCGATAAGTCACGTGATCGCTCGGTGCCAGCACAGCACGGGATATGCCACCTGATTGCAAAAAATTGCGTTTTTTTATTCACATGATTTCCTCAAACATAGTTCGACATCCTCATCCTCACTTGCAGGGACACCATGCTGTTCGTTGTAAACTAGGCATTTATCCGGGGCAAATGATCAGATTCCCGCTTTGTGCGGGGTTGAATAGATCATAATCATACTTATGATAATGAGATATTGACGATTCTGGGAGTGACTTCCAAAAAAGTTTGATGGCGATATCTACAATTTTTCTTAAGCTCGGCCCAGCTACACACAATTGCAATACTTTGCTTCTATTCTCAAAAACAAATTCCTGTTTACCGCGGTGCCAGCCATTCCAAGCCTATGCTGGCATATCCTCTTCTCTAATAATGAGTAGAAAAAATCACTTTTGTCACTCATTCATGATTACCCCAAAAAAATTTTTGCTTCACGGCTTCGATTGACAAAACGTCACAGTGATACTTCAACTCTTATGCCAAGTAGACAGAGATGTCGCCAGGTTAAATTAACAAATACATTCTCAGATGATAACGCGTTAAGAACTGGCTCCAGAGTCCTCCAAAGAAGTCCTTTTTGACAAGCAAACTTCGGAATCGGCCTTTCGAAGATTCTTAGAAGAGTGGCGCTTAACTCCTGCAGCAAAAGATGAGTCAGTCGAAAACCAGGGTTGACAAAGGCGAAAAAGACAATACATATTTGTAAACCCAGCGAAACATGGGGAATAAGTTTGGAGTTACAAATGTCTCAATAGCCTGGTTAAGTCTAAAGAAAATCTTCATGAGTTGTAAGGATGTGTATCAAGGATTAAGCCTGCAGCTCCTCCTTTTTGGATCCATTGATTGGGATCCAAGTCGACAAATTTCACACCACCTCAATATGAAATTACGAATATCTACAGTTGATTCATTTCATATGATCATGTGTGTCACTGCACACACCGTCCAACTTTGGCGTCCCCATCCTGGAATTGCAGTCACAAACACGCAAGATTTTAACATTTCTTATCTCTTACGTCACTTTGAGGTGATTACTATCTGAGAAGGAAGGAAAACATTGGGAACATGTCAAAAACACTCAGCTGAAGGGTTGTGTCCTCCAAAAATCTTGGATGGGAACGCCAAAGGTGAACAGTGTGGGCAGTGACACACATGATCATGTGAAATGAATCGACTGTATGCAGCCGAGAAACTTGGAGTTGAACATATTTTACGCTATATTAATTAGAAGGCCATATTTGCTTCGCAGAGGCCTGCAGAAACTATCATAGAATCTCAACGACGGCTTTAGAAACTTTAGAAACATGTATAATTGCAAGCTCGTCTTTTCCTTGATCTTGTGAATGTTGGTGATTGTAGAGGAAGCGCTCTAATATCTATGGGTGTAATACATGCTCGAATCTATAAACTTTTACGGAACAAATTCACGATTTTTGTGATATTGCTAGTAATACAATAACTTTTGCTTTATGTTCGGGCGTAGTGTTTCCAAAAATTTTTTAAAATTAGTTTTGGTTAACCGTGCATCTCTTAATTACCTCATTATGTACATTATTGCGGATCGGATCGCGCAATGGCTCTATAAGTAGGGCCAAACAAAAATTGTTTTCGTTAATTTTCGAGCTATGATAACATTCTCATGGAAACGGACTCGCCGCTACCTATATGCTCTCATCTGCTAGCATAGCGCGGATTTTATGTATTCACTATACGTGATGCACCAAAGGAACCGTTAAAGCAAAGATTATTACCAACAACACTAGTATAAATGTAAGAGGACAATAGATATTAGGACTATGAACCTCTAATACCACACAACCACCAATACCACTACCACGCGGGCTGAACAGAATATTACCTTAAACTCAAACAGACTAATGAAACATTTTCATAACAAATGACGACATAAGTTATAACATAAAGTACATGCAAAATACATAAACCGTATATCAATTAACTGGAAGGGCGCAAAACATATACGAAGTATTACTGAATATATTATATAAATGAATGAAATCAGACACTTGATCTAGTACCCATTATTTGTCCAGCTATTTGTTCAGTTGAGCTAGTACGCAGGGAACATGAGATCCTTTTGCGGATAGCTTATATATCAGAAATCTTGTTATAACATTGAGACAAGAAAAATGCAGGATATGAAAAGTAACACAACTGATGAGCATATTCTCGCTGTAGATGATTTTACCTCGGTTATCATCTTTTACGATGATAATAAGAGTTCAGCTCAATAATTACTTGTACACTGTGAAGTAGTTCCTTGTGTATTGTGAGTCGTTCCACGACAACTTTTTCGATTAACTATGTGCAGCATTTTGACAAGAGTATTAACAAGAACTAGATGTACAAGGGGGACAGGGTCCGGCACAGATCGTTTGGAAGCAGGCTGGACTTCGTTTTTGAAGCAAAAAGCAAAGGAGATATCTTTTTTGACGAGTCGGGGCCAAGCACCAAGAATAAGCGCCATTTAGTCGTGCATAAACTTTTCGAACAGGTCATCAATGATTGAAATGCTCTATCGTGTATAATGAAAAGTGCGCGCAATTGAAAGCAAGGCTAAAATAAACAAACTGCTTGTTTACAGCGCACACAGAATCGCTTGATATCAAAAGTGAACGGTATGCATAAAAAATTCTTTGCAAAAGAAGTATGCAAAAAGATTTGAAAACTTATGTGAAGCATAGGCCCGTAGTAAAGCTCGGTCAGCAGAGATGATCTCCACAGAGGCGCTTATGTGAGGTTCCGTCAAGTGAATTGACGACCGCCCACTTCCCCATGCTATAAGAATGCAACGTCACCTGTCATGTGAGCCTCAGGTCAGGTTCGGCAGAAAGATCATCTCCCTGCCAAGTCATCGGAGATGATCCGAGCGATGATCTCCCGAAATAGTGTGCTAAGAGGAGTTTTAGGAAAAATTTTCGTAAGTTACTCCTGAGTAACTTACGATACACGTCAGTTTAACACGTCGAACATGCTGAGTGAGGAGCCACAGTGCAGGCTGACAATCTTCAACAAGATCTAACAAATGCAACCACATCTCCACCGCTACCAATCACAAAGATGTGAATGTTTGCCGAACGAGCTTTGACTTGTATACTTGCATGAACATGGCGTACTCAATAATATTAATGTGGGTGGTTGGAATCAGGGCTCGGCACGAGGTGGCTTACAAGCAAGCTGGGTATCGTTTTTGGGACGAATAGCAAAGGGGGTTTCGTTTTTGTGACCGAAGAGACACGGAAAATTGGCGACGGCGACCTTTTTTTTAGTCGGCGTTTCGTTTTTTGGGGGATTTTGGGGAATTTTTCAGGTTTTTAGAGGAAATTTGGTTGAGGGTCAAAGGGGACTTCGTAAAAATTCCCAAAAGTCAAGGGGGACTTCGTTTTTTCCATTTTCATCTAGCCACCTCGTGCCGAGCCCTGGTTGGAATGATCAAACAATGTTTTAAGTAAGGCAGAGCTGGCTCGTCGAAGCCTCCCCCTGACTTTTCTTAGTTGAGATCGATTGAGGAAGCTTTACTACGGGCCATTACCTTTTTCAAAATTAGTCCGTCTCCAGACGGTCACCAGACAATATGAGATCTTCTAGAGCATATATTTCTGTCACTTCACATAAGTTTTAGATTTTTCTATCATGGACGGATTCCCCGGCCGAAAATCTATCCCTGAGCACAAAGACATTTTCATATCATTGCTTTTCCTTTGTTTTTCGCCTTAATTCTTCATAAATCGCTTTGTTGAATAGCGCGCTAAAATGCCAAACTTTCGTGCATGCGTAGTACTCAGCTCCAATTTGGATTTTCACTCTAATCTCACGTTTTTTCTCTCAGACTAGTAAATCTTCCATGTTTCCATCTTCTCCTAAGGTGGGTCAAAGGAGGCTTCGTAAAACTTCCGAAAGTCAGGGGAGACCTCGTTTTCAAAAACCCTAGAAACCGACTCGTGCCGGGACCTGAGTGGGGACGCGAGCGGCGTAATGGTATGAGGCACCGTTATGACCAGAACGAACTCAGGTTCGATCCCGCCCCTAGGCCACCCAAGGCTTCTACCCTCTGGGGCCGGAAAATTGGTACCAGAGTAATCTGGGAGGAGAAAATGGGTATATGTCACCATAACGATAGCTGGCAAAGCGGAACCCTGTGCCCGGTTGCCAAAAACGGTATCTAGGCGCACCCCTAGAAGCGGACTAGCTCACGCAAATGCTACATTCTCTAGCAGTAAAGGCCCGAAGCGTTGTTCTCCTTTATTGATGTGTTAAGGCTTTTGCTATTATCTAAAAATAAAAATAATCAGCAATCATATCGCCATGGACACGGAATAAAAATGTTTTGAGCTAGATTCAGCGTTTGTGAATTATGTAAGCTTCGATTGATGTAGTAAACGGACTTCAATAAAAAGAACTGAAGCTTGAGTCAATTTTGTGAGGTGAGGGTGGGCTGTTCTGCGCGCACAAGCAGCTGGCAGATAGCGCTGGCAGAGCTATCGTTATTCTTGTGCCACTCGGATAAAATCACTAACTTGGTAATTGGCTGGCCCCGCAATTCACTGTATTAGGTTCGCCACATTAACCAGCCTCTATGACTATAAGTAGAGTGCGTTCGGCGCATGCCCGCAGAGGGTATTGAAGACGCCGTCCTTTATCTTTTTTAGATGTACAAGTATTGTCAACAACGTGCCAGAGATCAAAGGCAAGTATGACTGGTCTGCGGAACGCAGGTACGTTATCTTAGAATTCTGCGGACCGAACATGCTGAACAGATAGTGTCCTCAAATTAAGCGGAAAAGCGGAATTACTTCAGTAAGCAGATCGCTAAAGGAGTGGCTACGTGGAAGAAGTCAATACCTATGAAAACTAGTAACGTAGACGAAAAGAATAGCAAGAACGGCTGTTTGAACAGTCAAAATGAAATGCAACTCAGAATTAGGTGCAACAACACTTAATAATGAGATGGAATGAAGAGAAGAAAGGAAAAGTTAACGCAATGAGTGAAAGGCCGCCCATGAAAAACCTATTTGGGTATAACTGAAGCGTTTATTTGCTTAGGGGTGTTGAAGAAAAAAGTTAGAAGAAAACAAGAGCAAATTTTTATTTAAACACGCACAACTACCCCAAAGAACGCACATGCCATCGTTGCAAAAGAAAGAGTGCAGAGAATTGCCTGAATGTCACAGGACCTTATCAATGTCTCTGGTATCTAACCGATCAGGTTCCTAAGTTTTTTCATCTTGGCACTCTTTATGCGCTTTCGGTAGGAAGAGCAAAAGCGTGGCTACACTAAGAAATACGTTGCTGTCAAGTTGTAGATAGTTTTCGCTCTAAATATTCAAAAATGCTGATTGAGTAAGCCGAAGTTGAGGCAAAAACCGTACGTGCCTTTTTGACTTGTTTTCTTTCATTTAAAAGTTGAACACGAGATCAAAAAATGCACAACGATAATTGAGAGCTTCTGACACGTTGATACTCGCATTTTAGTTGTGTGCCTCGTGGAACAATGCCTTCCACGATAAGTCAAATATTTTTTTAATTAAAATCATGCATATCGTTATATACAGTATATCTATAGTAATGGAAGAAGCAGCAGAGAAGCGCAGGAGCAATTTCTGAAGACAAAGCGTGAGAAAGCTTCTGAAACGAATGTATCCAAAAATAGTGATCATTTCAACAAAATACAAGCCATAACTCACCATAGGTCACATTGTTCCACGTGGCAATCATTGCATGACGCATTATGTGGGTCACGTTATTGCCACTGAGCTTATTTAGTATCTGGGAATCATAAACAAGGGGGCACATTTCTGCCAATTTACGCCAAAAAAGGCGTGTGAACAGAGTGTTCTTGCCTTCTGATCTAAAGCAATTTTTTCTTCCGGACGGGGACCATCCCTGTACGCAATTTAAAATACAAGCACGCTCTACAGTGGGTAGTCTAGTATTATAGAATAGCAAAGGAAATCCACGAGTCTTCGTTGTCATATCAATATGCTGCAGAATCAGCCTAATTGGCTGGGTTTCAAAAAGTGCCACCGAGTGATGCTCACCTCACCAACAAAATATACATTCAAAATTTTCAAACTGGAAACTCTGGACTGAAGGGGTAGCTTTTCAGCAAAAAAGTTTAGAAAAAATGCAGGCACAATCTAATTTTTTTTCAATTCGTTGAAGATGCTTCTGTCCTAGATTTCATGTGGGCTTGGCTGACCTGAAAATCAAGATACTAATTTGATCCAAAAGATAGGTAAAAAGGTTTTTATGGAACAGAACCCCTTCGTAGGGTAGTAAATGCGATAAATTTCCAAAGCTAGCTACAAAAAAAAAAGAATTCCTGGTTGAGAGTGTGATAAGCACCCACTGTTGATTTGTGGAAACTATCAAAACATACTCGATTCTAATTTTTGATACTGTTATACCCTATAATGGATTGTGAGTTGTTTGGTCTTTTCAGCGTTACTTGATCATGTGAGTCAGCATTATCTGGTAAGCTTCAGAACAGAGTGTTCCACCGTGCGAGCACGAAACTCGTGTGGAATCACCATGGGCTTCTGCAAAAAAAGAGGTGCTACAATGGTCTTTAAGAGAAAAAGTAGACGGTATTACTCAAGCATTAGTCGCCTATTTTGAAGTGAAATTTATGAAGGTTTCGCAGTTACGAAATTAGTTTTTTAAAAGCCTGAAGCGGCAACAGCCACGACTAGTGTGAAAAAAATTTTAATTTTTCAATTTGAAGGGAAAATGTCCCAAGCATCGTCATTAGCAGCTATGATGCAAATGTTATGTTTGCTTTCTAATTCTATCTAATATGACCTAATAAAAGACAAACGGTGTTAACAGCTGGAAGTGGCACTTGCTAGCCTAAAGTACATATACTTTTCAGTAGACAACCAGAAAAAATTCCAAAATTAGAATGACGAAGAGCATTGAGTGTGCCGATCAGAGATTGCGTTTTGGGATGGAACGTTCCTAAGCATAATCGCCGCAATATAAGACATTGATTTTATTGGAATCCTTAAGATCGCGGCGATGGCGGCGGCGGCCGCGGCCATCGTTGCGGTCTTAGCAACCTATTTTTCAGCTTCCATCTCTATTCGAATTCTATGCACGCGTATAAGCTTTTTGATAATGGAAGTGACTGAGTTAAGCGCCATTGTGACCTCTATTGTTGGAGTGTTTTATGCTCTTGTGACGTTAGCCTGAACGCAAAGACCACAATCGAGTTCGTGGTCACAAATAGGACTTATATTCGTATATGTACTTGAACCGATCATCAAGATTGTAGCGCGGAGAGAGCTGTTACCTTGCGTGGAATTTCATGTGAGCAGCCGCGCTCGCAAGTGGCTTTGCCCAGAATAATTTGGTCATTTTCCGACAATCGACTATAGAAATTGTAGAGTAATAGTTATTGCATTGTAAAAAAGTTATTGTCTAGTGAATGATAGATCTGAAGCATAAGTAGCTTGGTCGCATTCAACTATTGGAGCAACAAAAGGCCGTTAGTGCCTTATTTGCTTTTTCTTTCAATCTAATAGTACTGCATATGAAAGCGTGGTGTAAATCTAATATGTCTGGCGTGATAAGCAAAAACGTGGAAATCCCCTCATATACCATCTTCATCATTTTTTTATGACAGCCGATCTGACAATGTGGATAACACATGTGATCAGCAAAAAAATAATGGCTGCAATGTTTAACCTGCCTAAGTCACACTCACTAAATATGTTCTGATCTATGATAGGTGGTATCCATTACTAGCATTAAGCGACACAAACACATGTGGAATATATTTTTTGTGATGAAGATCGATTGATGGCGCTCGTGAATTCTGTGAGCGTACAGCCCTGCTCATCTGAATACACAACATCTCAACACTTCTGCTGAGAATCGATAGCTGCTTGTCGACTTCTCCATTTCTTGCTAGAGATTGGATAAACGCCATATCCAAATCGGCATCTGCAAGTATTGGCTATCGCTATCGCTATGAACCCTTTGGGCTCTTTGAAAGAAGAGGATTTAGTTGAAATCTGTATTGACAATACCACAGAACAATGGTAAGTGACTCTAGACTTTTTCGGACTGTCAGATGTTTCATTTGTCCTTTTGTAGTGTAATATGAACATGTTCTGAAGGTATAACACGCTTTATCATCCAGCCAGAAGAATGAATTATGATTACAAGCACCCATTTGCAATCCTTCTTCCTCTGTCATCGCTTGAAAAGCCCTCACAAGAGATGAAAACAAGTTTTTTTGCACCAGACTCCTCTACTTCTAGCGCTTCGAAACTCAAGATTCTGCGAAATATCCTCCATTTTTACTTGTCTTGCTGCGATGTCATTTGAAAGCTGGAGACGTTTGCGTTGAAATTTGAAGATTCCGCAATATATCACTAACTTCATTACGAAACTTGTTCAAACACCCCTGCCGCAACCACGTCCCTTTTCATCAAATACCAATAGTAAGAAGAGAGAAACGAAAGGTTTTGCAGGCAGCTTTTGAACAGCGTTATAACTTTTAACAGGTACCAAACAAATACTACACTTTGGGGAAGCGCGTGGTACCAATAATATGGTATGATCAACAGAGTGATTCAGGCGAAAAACAAGATTGAAACCAAGTCGCAGGGAGGCTCAATCAGCGTTAGCCTAGACTAGGACCTTGAGAGCAACGTCAAAAAAAACATGCAAAACTGACTGATCAGCAGGCTGTAAAAGAGGCGTGTAGCATAAGAAATTTAGGACCTCAACTAATTGCAAAGATAGAAAACATACTTACTTACTTAGACACTCAGATGGCCCGTCCTCACGTGACGTGCGGGCCCCAGCACAAAAGTTGCCATTTGTCCCTGTCCCTCGCTTCAGACATCCACGATCTTCTTGGTTGCCGTCGTTGGCTGCGTCCACGAGTTCCAGGTGCGATAATCGTATCCAGATGATTTCTCAGCTGGTCCATCCGTTCCACGAACACGTCTGCCCATCTCGTTGGTGGTCTTCCACGGGGACGTTTGGCTTCGCGAGGAATCCACTCAGATGTTCTTAGTGTCCATCTGTTGTCTGTTCTCATCGGTGCTTCGCTTTCGCAACGTATTCCGCTGGGTCACGAAGACGGGACACTCTTCTCATATCCGTACTGCGAAATCCGACTAGATGTTGCTTGTGTCGGGTCATCAAGAAGATAGAAAACATATCATATAACATATCATGCTATCATAGAATGATTGCTTCAAATAGCAACCAAATAAACAGCTTGTGCAAATCAACACCTACTCAAGTGCGCATATGTTCGTCTGGTAGTTAGCAACTTAAAGGCTCTGCACTTTAGAGTCGACCGAAGGGATTCAGAGGGCCGTCAGTCCAAAATTAGTAAGGAAAAGGTATTAGCATGAAGAAAGTGACTGCACGTTTTGTAAGAAGAATGTCTGGTCATTCCCAATTTTGAAAAAATATTGGGTCTAATCAAATTTCTCTGTTTGTAATCATCTTTCTATCACTAACAGCTTACACAGATATAGTCAAGAAAAGAGACCATAAAACTGTAAAAGCCTGTTATACAAAGTTGAGCTCCGTAGCTCACAAGGGAATGGTCAGAAATCGAAGTAGCCAATCTAAGCAAGCTGCATAACTCTAGATGCAGCATAAAACGCCGACTCTAAACTTGTTTTCCTCCTCTGCTGAACGCTTTTGTGAATGAGATCATAAGCGATCAAAGACCATTATTTTACTAAAATTGTGCGTGTAAAGGGCAAATGTGGCAGTTCGGCTTAGTGCTACCTAAACATTCTGCTAGGTTATTTCAAATGGTCCATACTTAAAGGTAAGCTAAAAGGGCAATAAGCTTGAGCCTGGAATTTCTATGCACGATTTTTTCGCAGTAAAACTGCTCATAAGTTTGCCTACAAAAGCTTTCGGTACGGAAGACAGAGCTGGAGTCAGCGGGGTAGGAGACTATATGTCGCCGAAAGTGGGAGGTCCCGTGGGATATCTGCAACAAATACACATCCAATACATGCACAGGCTGAGTATCTGTTGCACGGTCCGCGCGGGATCCTCCCACTTTCGGTGACGTATAATCCTCTACCCAAGCCAGCGTTCTGCTGCAATAAATATATTAGTACGCGCTTCTTTGAATAATCCACTTTAACTTCTGACCATTCCCTTGTCACAAAGGCTTAAACCCATCGCAGGCTTTTTTCAATTTACGGGAACAACTAACATAAAAAGGCCTTGGTTCCCATTAACAACGTCGAATTTCATAGGCGATAACGTCAGAGGTGTTTACGAACGCTCAGGCCCCCGCCAGAGTGCCGAGCCAGCGCCGAGCTGTCCGTTTGTTCGGGGCGAGGCTAGTTGACCCTGTGCGACCAAGGGCTATAGGAGCTTCTGGCAAATTCGATCAATAGTCGATGCATTTCTGGCTGAGAACTAGGTCAGCTGGTCCCGCCCCAACAAAATGCATATGTATCGATCGAGACAGCGCCGGGGAAACTCGGCGCTAGCTCGGCGCTGGCGTGGCTTCAGCACTCTGGTGGGAGCCTCAGTGGAAGGTGAAATAGGAAGAAATTTTCCAATAAATCCGGGCCCCTGCAAAAAGACAAAGATGACTACTTCAAGGACAACCCTATAACTTTGCTTACTCGACAATCACACAAATGCATATGAGATACAAACCAAAAGTACCTTGAGTTCTGTTACGCGGTATACCAGAGCGCATATGTGAGAGCCAAAGATGAAAATTTCAAACTAATTTACTCAGATACCCTTTAGCACCCCTCCCCCCGTGGCAGCAAATGCACTTTTGATTGGGGCACTGATAAAAAAGTCTTGAGATAGAAAGCTTCCATGGCATCTCGAATCGTAAATGTACAACACAAAAATATCCTTTGTTCGAGAACTACGCTCTGGCTGCAGACTTACTGCTATAGGTCCAAAAAATCTTCGCCTGCAAGTAAAAGCCGCTCGTCTTTCCATGGAACGAGAGATCTCCATAGGACCAGGTGAGATAATAGACTAAATGTAATCTTAAATATGCAAATCTTACAGTTCGCCGGTGTCCCGACGCAGTCATTCACAGCCAGATATACATATAGCTCCTTTTTCGACAATGAAGCCTAACGAGGTAAGTATGAGCTCATTTATCACCCGAACTTGTCAACTAACGATTGTTCAGCAAAGGATACGTGTGATAAGAAAAACTTGACCTCCTCAGAGTGAAGATGATCGTGGAAATCGCGCCTCTCCAGGGTGAAAGGTTATCGAGTAATCGTACTTGCCGGAAATGGGAAAGGAGAGGGGGATGGGGAAAACGTGGAGAGGGGGCAGTACAGGGCCCGGCACGAGTCGGTTTCTAGGGTTTCTGAAAACGAAGTCTCCCCTGACTTTCGGAAGTTTTACGAAGTCCCCTTTGATCTACCAGCTTAGGAGAATATGAAAACAAGAAAGGTTTACTAGTCTGAAAGAAAGAACGTAAGATAAGAGTTATAATCCAAATTGGAGCTGAATACTACGCATGCACAAGAATTTGGCATTAGAGCGCGATATTTAACAAATCGAGAAAAAAATGAAGGCAAAAAACAAAGGCAAGGCAATGATATGAAAATGCTTTCATGCTCAGGGATAGATTTTTGATCGGGGAATCCGTCCATGCTAAAAAGATCCGAAACTTATGTGAAGTGACGAAAATATATGCTCCAGACGATCTCAGATCGTCTGGTGGCCGTCTGGAGACGATCTAATTTTGGAAAACGTATTACTTCACATAAGTTTTCAAACCTTTTTACATAATTTTTTTGCAAATAATTTTCAATGTATACAGTTCAATTTTGGTGTCATATGCTTCTGTGTGCGCTGTAAACAAGCAATTTGTTTATTTTAGCCTTGCTTTCAAATCGCGCGCACTTTTCGCCGTACACGATAGAGCACGTCAATCGTGTGATAACCTGTCCGAAAATCTTGTGTTCGACTAAATGGCGCTTGTTCGTGGTGCTCGGCCCCGACTCCGCAAAAACGATATCTCCTTTGCTGTTTGCTTCAAAAACGAAGTCCAGCCTGCTTCCAGACGATCTGTGCCGGGCCCTGGGGCAGTATTCTCAAACATCGTTTTCCATCTCTTCTTATTCACAAACATTATTACAAAAGGATATTGATACCAAACTGAATGTTGTTATCATCATCGGTGGTCCAAGAACTTTCTTCTGGAGGGGAAGCGACCAGGATTCTTTTTCATAAATTCTCATAGTGATCCACGCAAGAAAAAAGTTTTGGGTTGCTTCCCAAGATTTGTGCTGCGACTAGCCCTCGAAAGATTTCTTCCATAAAGCTTATTTGAACTTTTCAGAAACTTCAACATTCTCCCAATTATTTGCAAGTATTAGGTTAAACTAAGTTTTGCAACTCAATCAATATATTTTCTCTCTGTCAACATGGTGCATTCAAATTTAACCATTGTGTAGGCTATGACGTAAGCTACAAGAGTAACTGATGTTTTGCCAAATTATGACTTCGTAATGAAAAATATAAAACCTGACAGATTTGCTGAAACTTGGCATGGTGGGGTTACCCGACGTGCTGATTATAAAAACAATACTGAAGTTGTGTAAGAAAAAATATAAGGGCTTTTTGTACGTTTACTGTATTTACGGCATAGGGTCTCACCCTAAACAAGGAAAGAGGCATTGACTTAACAAACGAGTATGATATGTTTGTCAGGTTGAGTAACCTTACTATGTGTGATCTCGGTGGATTTTGAGGTTCTGACTCCTTGATCATTAACAGTTGCCTTTAGCAGCCTTGCCTACGGCGGGCTCGTTCGACTTTGTGATTGCGCCAAATCTCGTCATGCTATTAAATTTTATTTTTTTCCTTGCTGCAGAATGACCCAACCTTTAACAATAATTCAATGCATGATTCCGGATTATTGCACATAATCTAGGCTGCCTGCTGCTTTTCGATGGTTCACCTCATACACACCAGAACACCAACCAAAGCGAATAGTTTATTGGAGTTGAAGTTTACCTCAAACTTGGGTAATTAAACATATGATGCGTGAAGGAGCTAACCACCAGGAATTATACCTAGGCGCTAAGAAAACACTACGAAAGCAGAGTTAAGTCACCAAAAATGAGAGCATAAGGATTGGGCGAAAATATGAATGAATATAATGAAAAAAGGTGAACAAGTTGCAAAAAGACGAACCCAACCGTAATGACGAAGAATCTTTGCTGCTTGACGGTTGCATTTTATACTTGTTTTCTCTTTCCATCGTCTCGACGCCGCCTTCTATAATGAGAAAACCCAACTTATGGGAAGAAAAGTACATGTAAAAAAAAGTAAAGTAAAAAGAAAAGCTCTGGAAGAAATCGCGCTTGTAAGGAATACGGCTTTACTTTAACTTATCATCCCAAAAAATACCAAAATTCACTAGTTTTTGAAAAATGTTTTTTTTCTAAATCGTGTTCAAAATCTAAACAGTTGTGGCAGTTGTAGAAGACATTGCTCTCTACATATAGCCAAAGTTTGAGTGTGCCACATGCAAAGAGATTAAATGAAAGAATTTCCTTATTTTCCAACCTGATAAAAACAAGCATGCACAGTTTCACAACTCGTGTAATTTACATTTGAAAAAATCCAACTTCCGTAAACGGCGGAGCCCCTGTTTCCGGTATAGTCTTGATATCACTAATTTTCAAGATCTTTTGCAAGTCACTTGAAAGGTAATTTAGAAAAGTTGTCCCCTCTTTGCTTCTGGAGAACGATTAAATCTTGCAAAGAGCTGTTACTACATTTGTGTGTAAACATGTGAATAAATCCATGAGTATTTGTTTGATAAAAATTCAAAAAAAGTGATGATTGGCGCAGACTTTGGTTGTTGTTTTTGGGGGTAAATTGTGGAATAGATGGCTGAATCTAAGCTGAAGAGTCATTAGATTTGATTTCTCAGATTTCTCAACTCTGAAAGAAGATAATAGCATATGATTACAAAAGCAGGTGCAAGTAAGAGAGTATCGTACATGAGTCAAGTAACTACCCTGTCTTACTGATTCGAGTCGAGGGTCTCGTTGACCGATCTGATGTGATGAAATTCTCCACGATTGTGGGACTCCGTCTTAGACCTCTCAATAACGATATGCAGCTTAATTGCTGCCAAATGCGCCGGACCTTGCGTTAAACTAACCGGAAAAAGAGTAACTGATCTTGATTATACGGGAAACAAAGTGTCGAACGCCTCATTACTAAAATTCTGATTTCAGCTATGCTTCTCGTGTGATATTCCGCAAGCAAAATACAAATACAGTGTATGTTTAACTTATCTAAATTCAGTTTTGAACTTTTTACTATTCGGTTCATATATTTTAGTTACAAGAAAAGCCTGATACGCACGCCAGACCATCCTACCTCTACGGCGAGCCATTACCTCTACAAAGATATGCTAAGGCGCAGCACTTTAGTTCAGTAACTACTGGTGCACGTCGGCGGACCATGTAACCATCATATCAAAGTTTAACATATGTATCTTCTTGGAATTTAGAAGATTTCATCCTACACGTTTTGATCCATGCCCCCCAGAAGAGAAAATGAAATCGCTGCAATGTCTGCTGACGCGTATCTATCATGAAGAGTCAATGCAGAGTTCAACGAGGTTCTTCTGCATAAGCTTTTTTACAGAAAAAATCCCAACCATTCAGAGATTTGACGGACAGCCTCACTGAATCATTCCAGTCAGATGTTAGCATAACATCTCCAAAGCGACTTACAGCAGAGACACTGGCAATGTTTGGTAAACATTAAGTACAGTTTTTCCATGCCATAGAGGAAATATTTAACATAACGAATGTTGCAAAATTTTCACTGTTTACAGGAGTTCCTCAGCTGCAAAAAGAAGTAGCTGATTTGGAGAGTCAAATCGAGCAAGCTAACTTTCGCCTTGTGAGAATGGTTCGCCAACGAGCATTCTATAGAGCAAAGCAAAACCGGAAGTGTGCTGTACTCAGCGCAATTCTCATGGCATTATCATCAAAAACAAGTGAGTTCCAAGAGATCATATTAGGTTGTCCCGAAAGTTGTGTCGGTTTTTTCGAACGACCATCAAATTCCGTGCAATAAAGAGCTCAGTGTGTTTTTACAAGCGTTCGATGCAGCTTTACCTTCTCTTTCTGATGGTTACAATTTCTAACCAAAATCTCCTGATAGCTTTATTGCCAAAATTCTTCACGCCCTATTTCTATGTGCTCAATTTGGCTAATCTTCAAAAAAAATTCTAAATTCTCGAAAAAAATAGGTAAGTATAAAATAATGCAAATCCTGAACTTTGCGGCAGTGCTTTTAGATTCTTCTCTTCTGCTGTTCCAAAGTTCGAAAAATTATTTCATTAGAGGTGTCGCTATTTAGTAAATTCATGAAACACGACTACAACAACAACAGGAAAACAGGACAATCAATCTCCAACTCGCAGAGTTGCAAGCTTATTGCAACTCTGCGAGTTGCATTGTTATTAACCATCACTTTTTGCAAAACAATCCAGCTTGGTTTGCTCTGAAAAATCAACTTTTTGATTTTCGGTACTCCTACGCGCTAATCGGGGGTGTAAAATCCAGGTTTTGCCAGCTCTATGATTATTACAGACTTTGAATAGTTGATCTATGTAAACTAAAATAAAAATAAGCATAATGTAACCAAACTTTTACCCTGCACAATAGCTATTATCGCTTTTTAAAAACACGATGACAATTTTTTCAAAAATTGGGCAAGATTAGGTGTCACTGTTGAACTGCTTGAAGGGCTATGGGGTAACATCGCAAAGACTGCGAAAATCAGGGAGAAAATGTAGCTATCAGAAAAGCATGAAAATGTGATTCATATAGTACCCAAGTCTTCCACGATTAGTCTTCTTTGGGTTTTTATGACCAAAGAAACCGGCAAAACTTTTGGGACAATCTAATAATATGTTCGTATTAAGCAAATAATTTGCAGTTATGGTCAGATGTCAGAAAGAGCTGCAAGTTTTCAGGGGCAGACTCGAAGCTGAAGTTCAGTCTCATCCCGCCTACGTATGAAGGAGGAGTGGAGGAGTGGAAACGAGCAATGAGAGTAATGGCTCGCTTACCAGGAGGATTCCCTCAGGTTTTCAGGAACAAGGTATAGCTCAATAGTTTTGAGGGTTATTGTAATTCCTGAGTCCTCACAACATTTGCGCATAAATGGCAGTAAGTTCATGATCTTCAAGTCGCAAGCAAGATTTGGCGCTCATAAGCATAGTGTTAGTCTTCGCGCTAATGTTATCCTACCGCAAGTCTTTATTTACTATGCAAGTGTAAGACATGCGTAAATTCGGGTTATTCAAACTCAGAAACTCTAGAATTTGAAGGTACAGACAGCCCGATTAAGTGCCTCTTCTTTGGCGACTCGCCCATAACTGCGACTTTTGCTGTAGTAATTATCCTTCCCTATCACTCTAACTATTCAGTCACGCTAACATTTCATTCTTATTACCACCAACGGACTATTGCAGCTTTGGTCAACCTTAGGACAACTGCACGTACAGACAACGGGACTAGACTGGGAAGAAATCTGTCGGATCACATTTTGTGAGCACTTGCAACCCGATGACATTGAAATCCATTCTCAAATAATAAAGGTGGTGTAGATGATACTGTGATTGGAATAGAGAGTGAAACTGAAACTGATTTTTGAGGATCTTCACCGCACAGGCTGGAGTGAGTTTGACGATGAAAAGAAACTTAAGCAAGTGCTAGTAGCCTATGCTAGGTAAGTGAATGACCTCCTTTCACTTCACAAGATAATCTATAAGAGTTCTAGCGCGATACTGTGATATCTATACGGGAAAAACCTCTATGACAATATGCAAATAGTGACAAAACAAACAACTTCCTCACTTTCCAAATAATAGGTTATGGAATTCCCTATGACTGGTCAAATTCTTCCTCCACAGCAGCATTCAAACAGTCAGTTGGAAGATATCTTAGAATTGAAAGGCGAGGTTTGAGCACTGCACTTGATAGATGGGTAAAGTGGAAAGGAAGCCAATCTTACCACAAGGAAAGTACAACAAATACAACGGAAAACGGAGAATAATAGCCAAGCCAGAAATAATAATTCGAGGGACCGGAACTACGTCGATGGGATGGGAGCGACATCTAACAAGACATTTTCTTGTGCAACTCAAAGGAAAAAAGAAAAAGTGTTTTGGATAGTACTCTTAGCCGAAAGTTGTAAGCTCTTTTTGCAATTGGCTTGGGTGTTAAGTTCTGAGGGGGGGGGGGGTAAGAGGGGGGGAAGAGAGGAAGTACATAAAATTGCTCAAGGGTTATTGCATATATGTTGCCAAGTTTGGTGTCATATGGCGTCAAAAGAACCATTTACTTTTAGCATTATAAATATTGCGCGCTCGTAAAAAAACAGGTCCTTTGTTTTGTCTCAAAGCCAAGCCTAAGTTGTTTTAGTATTTCTCTGTTGGATCTCCTGCATTTGTGCTGCTCCATTTGACAAAGCTAAAAGACGATGAAATCAAGTTAACCCGACCGCGCTTCCTTTTTTGCCTACAAAACACTCGTAATTTTTGTTCGCAGTAAATGAAGGCAAATTTGAAGTTAGTGTTTAAAGCTTTTAGTAACGCTATACGTTTAGTCCTTCGACTGTGTAATACTTCCTTTTAAGTTTATTCGAAAGAAGGTTATTGTAGAAATGGACTATATCTAGGTGCACTACAACCCTCTCAATTCCTGCAATCACGCGAATTGGAATTGATATGCACATTGTTAGATGCGTCTTAATGAGCTAATTCCAAATCTACCTTTCATCTGCTAAGCGCTTTTCTAGAAGAAACTATGGGTGGTTCAGGCTGTGAAGTTATTTAAGTTTTGATGCGTAATGGGCTTTGGAAACCAGCTGTGTTTGATTAATTGGCATGGTTTTGTGTGCATTGGATGAGAAGGGCTTAGCAGATATGGAAGCGAAGTTGCTTTTTGAGGTTTCCACAGTCGCTTTTTCAGATCAAGAGAATAAAGATATTGCAAGATTACCTTGAAGGCAGTGGCCCGGCAGATTCGCGCTCTGGAGGATATTGCTATTGATGGGATTCCTGGTTATGCCACTGACCTCCAGGCGCAGTCCTGCTGGTTGATGTTCCCCCTGGGCCGCTAAAATAGCCCTTGAACCGGCGCGCGCAACCTTAATCGGAGCACGCTCGAACGACTTCGCTTACCGTTCGGCGCTGGACCCTGCGACCGCTTTTCCGCATTCTGCATGCTAGAAAGCAAAAGTTACAGGCAGCAGCGTCTTCATGCCAGGGCCCAACTACCATTGAAATTCTCGTCCGAGCTGCATTCTGGAAACTGGGTAAACGCCCCGGAAAAGGTCTTTTTACCCTTTTCAAAGCTCATATTCGGGGTCTACGGGTCGAAAAGGCCCAAAACATGCAAAAAGATGGAAATGCAAAATCTGCCAGGACACTCGTCTAAGCGGTGACGGCCCACATTCTTAATGGGAGCCTAATACATCCCCATTGTATCGCCCATGGAACCTCAGCGCTTCGAGAGTCGCGCGGCAATAGCTCCCATCTGCTACTGCCCCCCCCCCTGCTGGCGCTGCCCTCATCGGCAAAACTTCACTTCTAGCTAGTTTGATCTTCTTAGCCATGTAATGTTAGAGGAGCTTTGCATTGACTACAACATTGAAACACTATAAAAATAAATGCTATTCTTTGGTCCTCCTTTCTTCACTAGATTTTCTCGGTCAAAGACTAGATTTCGATGTTTTCCAAATCAGTTCACTCTTTTCTAAGGATGGAGCGATGATTGCTTTGCCTTCTTGGAACTTTCGTAGCAGGTTTGCACGGGTCACCCTACGTCTCTACTTTGTCCAAAGGCCAAACAATGACCCAAACATTTTTATCTTCGATGCATTATCTTTTCATCTTCTATTTATTTTTTCTCCCTCGCTTCAGACATCCACAGTCACTAAGAACATCAGAGTGGATTCCTCGCGAGGCAGAACGTCCCCGAGGAAGACCGTCAACGAGATGAGCAGACGTGTTCGTGGAACGGATGGACCAGCTGAGAAATCAGCTAGATACGATTTTCGCACTTGGAACTCGTGAATGTGTTGCCCTTCACGTGATGACAACCAAAATAAGAGAAGTTCGAGGTGCAGCTCGCATCACAATCAAAGCACTGCACATTCAAGTATTTACTACATTAAAAGAGTGGCGAGATGAAACTGAATTTAGGAATGTGTAAATGCATGAAAAGAGAACAATCAAGTGGCATAGCAAAAGTGGACGCGGGGTTGCAATCCCAACTCTCTGCAGTCTCCTCTATAAGGTGTCAACAAGAGAGTGAAAGCTCCGACTGCTTAACAACGTCCCCCACCCCTTCTACAAACACTCGAAAAATGAAAATGTCAAAATGTCAAAATCAAAATCAGCAATGCAAATCATTTATACAAATTGATTTTCCTCTACAGCAAATTCTTTTGGTTCCTAACACAACGCGCAATATGATCGCCTAAGTTTTATGCATATTTTATTGAAGGTACAATAAGGAAATTGGATATTGTCAAGGTTTCAACGTGATCGCTGCTTTGATTCTGCAAGTGGTCGATTATCGAACCGACATTGCTCTAAAAGTGAGGGGTTTGTAAATAATCGAATATCCTAGGTCAAAGAAAGCACTACTCAGATTATGATATTTCTGATCGAGCACGTACTACCACGGAGCTACTTCGATCAGTCGCTTCGTGCACTGTCAGTGGATATGAGCGTCATGAAGGATTTAATGTTGCAGCGAGTACCGCAGACATTTGAACATCTTGAGAAACTCAAGAACTCATCAGGTTATTGACGCAACTTTTACCAAAAGCTAATGAATTATTCAACCCTTCTGTTATGTGAATTTAGCCGATGCTTTGTACCGTTTGGGAATGTTGAATTGATTGAAAATTCACTACAGGAAACGAGTATGAACCACCTCTTCCAAACATTTTCTCTATGCATTGGTTCCTTACCCTATTTGCTACATGCTTACCAAGAGAATGCGTCCTCCGATTGTGGGATGCGCTGATGTTGCAAGGGTCGGAAATTCTACTTCGTGCAGCTATCGCCTTGTGGTCAAAAATGAGCAGGTAAAATTTCAAGTTCCTCAGGAAGTTCATGCTGCATATTGAGTTCATGCTGATTCTTCAAGTCAAGAAGATTGGCTTTGAGAAATCTAACAGTCCCAGAGACTTCGTCATTTTATTCCCATGAGTTTCAAACACATCGTGTGATGGAATGTTGATCTACCTTGAACTTTACCTCTGTTAGTTTTTTTTTCCACTGACAAACCAAAAGGCAAGCACTTAGCAGCAGTACAGAGGGAGCAATTATCTGCGTAGCTGGAATTTCACCATCTCAAAAATACTAGTCCTGACCTCCTTTTATGGGGATCAAATCTCTAAGGCCCGTGTACATGTACATCCCCGCTGGGGAGAGAAGGGAATGTTTGCCCTAAGTTTTTTTTAGGAAGATCATGCGTACAACCAGTGCAGATGAATTCTACACACTTATGGGCAAATTGTGCAAGGAACTTACCGAAATGAATGAAGAAGAGCAGAATCACTTCATGACCGTGATATTTTTGTGCTACATGCACTAGCATTGTAGACTAACTAGGTTGTTTTGAGGTTGTCTACACAATGGCCGAATTTCCATATCCTGGTTTGGCTGAGCTGCGAGAAAAATACACATGGAACATTCACCCTCTGTCTGCTACATTCAAGCTGTTTCGGAGAAGTGTCACAGACATATTGTATGATGACAGCTCGGACGGGGAGCCGTCTTGTTCTCCATGTAAGTAGAGATTCTATCCTTTGCCTAAGCCCTAGGCCCAGCACAGTAAACCTTCTGTTGTGGCTTGTTTAGCTGAATATCGGGATTGGTATGACCTTTATTCAATAACGTTTCGGTGGTATCGCCTCCTTTAGAGTCTGAAATTGTCGAGTGCATAAGTGAACTATCCTATCAAAAACCGTCAAAACTTACAAGAACTCGAGAGTGAATGCCGGATTAAACTAATTACTTAAACAAATGCCGACAGAGTAGGGCTGCAGACCACTATACCAGTATACGAGCTCTAGCTTCCCTATAAGATCAGTGGTCTGGCCTCAACTTGACCTCAGAAACCGCAAAGGCTCTGAAAAAGCCCCAACTCAGTAGGTCTGTGCACTCAACCTTTCGATTCAAAATTGGATTGTCGGTATTCCGAAGTGCTTCTGAAGCCTCGCGCTAGGATTTCGGATACATACGCTTAGATCATAATCTTGTATTCACAAAAGATTCAAAGCCCGGACTGGAGAGATCGGGCTATGCAACTCTCGTAAATTTCATGATTGAAAAGTCAAATGTCAAATCAAAAAATATCTTGCAACCTAACAATTACTAAATCTTACTCGATAACTAGTGATTGAGCGTTCAATTTGCTATCGTCTTCAGCCACCTAATCGAACAGACGCGCTTTTTTACGCGAATTATACACAAACGAGATCGGCTGGGTGTTTAGGCATTGCAGACCTACCTGATTCTGCCAGACCGGATCTTGCACAGTCAGGCGCCCACGTTTGCGCACCATGGGCCGGTGCCCGTGTTTGACTGTACTTCTACGGGAACATCTACCCGAACGAGAGATTGATACATATCGCCCCTCGAGTCATGCAAAACTATCATATGCCCTATTTCGTACTAGCTGATGCTTGATGTTTGAGGACACCAACTATTCTAATCCAATTCTAAAACGTAATCATAATAGTTGCCCATGTTCGATTCTTCTTGAATCTTGGCATTGTTGATAGTAGTGGATATTGCTTGTGAGCGGTAATTTAAGATTGTTATCAGTTTCTTTGTCGACGACTAACGTTTCGGCGCTTTCGTCTTCGTCAGAGCCTGGAAGCTAACAAGGAAATGATACTTGGTGACCCCGGCCATCCGGAATGCGATGTATGCCATAAGGTGCATCTCTAAACGCTGATTCTAACTTTGTGCTCGAAATTTGCGAAAGATCATTTGAAGGCAGTTACGAACTTTTTTCGCAGAAAATTTCCGTACTTTTAGGTAGTTAAAATCACCCAATTTGATCTATTTTACCATTTGAAGCTATTGAGAAGAAACTTGAAAGGTGTAACGTTGTATTTATACCTAAATCATATTCAGCATTTGAAAAGGGAAGAAAATTTTTTATCAATGATTTTCACCCTCCGCAGTAGCGCAATTCACTCTTGAAAAATAGTTGTAACTTCATCCACGTTTTAGTTTCGCAGATATGGAAAACAGTAATAGAACCAGCATCAAAGGCGCATTTTTTGATATACAAACCATTATGAATGGCCGGTGTCACCAAGTATCTTTTCCTGCTAAGTCATAAGCAACTCATTCCTTCAAATTGTTTCTAATAGATAAGCTGCTAACAATCTTGGAGTACCGCTCACAAGCAATATCCACAGTGATCACAATAAATAGTGATCATAGTAACGGGTGAACCTCTTGCTACTATGATTACTTGTCAGCACAAGGCACTCAGGTTACACATAGACTCTGGATGTCAAATATTCATCTATATTGTCAAATTGCAGCTCGCCTTATTAGCTCCCAACAGATCGTCTTAGCATTAGGTCTTGGCGGGAGTTGCACCAGCCGATGGAAATTTGCGGTGCTGGATTCGATAGAAGCTTCGAGTGGCGCAAGGTTCTTACCATTCTATCAAATCGTCAGCTTAGTGAAGGTTTCTAGCTAAGTAATTGGAGAGCCACGAGACCTACTTAACAGTGGCAGACCGAGTGGGAGTCGCGAGCCTTTTGGAACCCACTTAATAGCTTATACTGTGCAAATTATTTGTTTATTCTCGTAATTAATTAAGATAATCTTCAAACATTTCCAGAAATCCAAATTAGCCTTGTAAAAACTGCCGCCACGCCCCTTTTTTACAAACTGTAGGATTACAGGCCCGCAAAAATTTTGGAAGTATCCCAAAAAATTATTCGGAATGCGTAGCTAACGCCACTTACCTTCATTTGAAATAAAACTGCCGTGCCTCGCCCTGCGAGGCAAATCCTGGGACCGCCACTGCTACCTAGCTGTCAGGTCTAACCCACAGGTTAAATGAGTATCCAGTCAACTGACTGATAAACTCAAGGAAAGCAAAGATTTTAAGACGTTCCCAAGCCAGTCGACGGTTGGCCCAACCATCCTACCCAACACACAAATCAAGGAATTTGCTGCTGTTTATCAGGTCAATCCATAGCCCAGCAACAGAAGCTTTGTCCAGCTTTTTGGACGCTTCCCCACAACTAATAAAGGAAGGTTTCTTTTTCAATCTCGCTGCTACTGCTCGAAAGACGGTACCAGACGTTAATAGCTGGTCAATAAAGCTTGATTGTCAACATGGAAACTGTCAATTGCAAAATTTGAGCTGAGCGGACTGAGTTCTCAGTACGATACCATGTGGAAGTTCGTAACTCGCATATTGAATGTAGAAAGGCCCGTTCAAGCACATAAGGTAATGTATTAACGTAGACAAAATGGCGAAAATCGACGGATTGGGAAAGTTCGGAGACCCAAGCACAATCGCCACGATTTTCTTGCCGTCAAAGAGGAGTCAAGACAAAGGCTGATAAACTATATGAGTTTTTGAGGGGTAAAGCAAATGGTCCAAAGTGGAAGGCTATCCAGCGGACAAGGATATAAAGGCAGCACCCAGGCAGCTGTTCCCAACACCGTATCTCATGTTGCAGGCTCAATATATGTACCCGTCTCGTCAACATACGTGTCTCCACATGATGTGCATGTGATAAGGCAGACAACACCTGATACCATACAGTCTCCTTCCTTGCCAAACGGACAAACTATACAATTAGGAGTTGTACAGAGAAGATCGTACTTCCGGTTTCGTACTAGCTGCTGTTTAAGATTTGCGGGGCGGGATTCCGACGATCCTCACCATATCGTTGTCTGCTTGATGAGGTAATCTACGAATAGCCTTACTAAACTCTTCTGAGATATATAGTAAACAGAATGGGATCTGATCTTCAGCTCCGATCTAGAGGGTGTACTATGGACTCGATATCTGTAAGGATTATGAGATTTCGTGCTGTACCAAGATTTTGCTACTGATCTTGCGAGCTCCAACGAGGGCATCTTCTCTTCAGAAGAGACCCCCGCAGCCGTCCTAACCATGTTTCCTGCGATGGATGCCTTTTCTCGTGCGGAATGTGCTGAAGAATGGTGTACTAAGATGTTTTTGCTGCTCGGCCTTCGTTACCATCTGGCCTTGAAACGTCTGTCCGAAAACTTAACTGAACGAGAACGGCAGCCATCTATCTTTGGGTTTTTTCCCTCGTCATCTTGATGTTAGTGTCCTGGGCACTCATGATATTGAAGCAAGTATCAAGCTAGGCCTGGTAGGACACACAATACAGCAGTCGCCCACATACCGACAGTACAGCAGAGGCGCTCGCCATCTGGGGCTTCCACCTAAAACATGAAAACAATTGCCAAGGGCGCTTGTCTCTGTCCCACAGCCAATTCTCTAATCGGCCTGTAATAGTTTCCACATCAACGAAAGATGGAGCAGTTGAGATATTCTTCAACCGAAGACAAGATGCCTCTAATGCCAAGACCATGAAGATTAAGTGACGAATGGTGTTCCGGAAGAAGTTCAAAGGTCGCCTGCACTGCGGAGATCGTTGGAGATATCGGTATAGAGCAAATCCACATCGAAAGACTTCAAAACGCAGAGAAAGGATAGTATTGAGAAGCAATGAAATCTTATCCGTAGGAACTCTAATTCTGCTGATGATAGGCCTCACCTTAAAGTCTTGCGGGTTATCGGACGTTAAACTATCTATAAACACTTTATGTGTCTTGATTAGAGTGTAAAGAACCGGACACATGGGAAGATCACAATTGAAATTGGCTTTGCTGGCAGCGGGGATGGGACCAAACTCCATTGTCTACACCTATTACTTCAACCTGATGATTTCATACCTAGTCTATACAAGCTTAATCCCTCTCTGCAAAAAATACCTCGTGACTGGGCTTGAGCTGACTCAATGGATGTTTTTTGTTCGTTGTGCCTTTTGTTGGTTACGTGTCAGGTCCCTACTTACCCTTTGCTTCAACCAAAACGCGGCTTGAAGGCGGAAGACCTAATTAAGGCTGGAAAATGATCAGAGAGCATGTTCGCGAGGGAGGCGCGGACAGCGTCGCGACGCGAGCAGTCCCCTCCTAGGTCATGAAGCCCCGCCTTAGCAGCCGATCTGGTTAAAGCAAAGGGTACAGTCTTTTCCAACCCGTAGGCGAAACATTGCGAGGGGAGTACCGCGACCGCACCGCCACTGGCTCAGCGAGACAGGTTAAAGTGAAGAGACGCAGACTGCAAAGCGACGCGAATCGTTGCGAAGCGGACTCCCGCCAGTTCAATTTCCGCCTAAACTGAGTCGAAACTTCTATACACTGATTGTTCTTGATAGGGCACGCCTTGTGCGTAATAAATATTGTGTAAAATAATATCAAGGGTGTCTGTTTATTGCAGTTTAACGCGATATCCCCCTTCCCACCCCCGGTGATACATCCCCTACGACCAATGGGGTGGGGGAACGAAAGCCGCCAGGTCCAGCCGCCTTTCGCGGCCAGCTGGTCCTTTCGCAGCGTTGTTGCATGTCGTTCCAGGACCAGCAGTCCGCGGAGGCGGCTGGACCTGGCGGCTTTCGTTCCCCCACCCCGACCAATGTGTGTGGACATCTGTGCAACAACAAGCAGCTCCACAAATTCGATTCTTTGAGCTCCTTTACCAGCTGCCCGGTGAACCTATCAGTCTGCCCAAGTCCAAATGAAAATTTCTCAGTTTACCACGAACCAGTAGTAAAACACATCCCAGCGGATAGGTGTGCATCTTGAAAGATTTTGTTCTGCCCTTACTACCTAGGTTCATGTCGTCGACGAAAAGATGCGCCAACATGGAGCGACCTTCGCGAACTTGAAAAACGATATAAGCTGATAAAACAGCGACAAAAGCAGGCCAGAGTCATATTGAATTGTAAGTGCTTAGACACGGAAATTACAAAATTGGTTCACTATTTTTAGCTGCCTATCTTCATGGATTAAACGCATATTCTACAAGGTCCAAAGTGAGTCTTCCAAGCTTGCCCACTCGTACTCCGCCAGTCTTCAATCATCTCATACTAGGACCGCTTCTGGCAAGGATTGACTGCACGTACGTTCTGATTCTACACAGACGTTGATTTAGCTGACTCAAGTCAACATACCGACCATAAGCAACATCCTCTGGCTTCCCTAAATATGCAAATTCTAAAGCCATGCGGCATTACAGCTAAAAGCACAGAACTCCACCAATCGCAGCGCAAGCTAGCCACGCGAGCGAGTCGCATCTTTAAAGTTGCTTAATTATACATAGATTTCAGTACAGAACCTCCAACAACTTTCTCGGGTGGAGCCGTGAAAGTAGCAGCTACAGTTATACAGCCAGCGGACCATACTATGTCACGACTGAAGGAACTTCTCCGTGAATTATCGTTGGAAGAAAACATGTGGAACATTGATACTTCCTCGAACCCTTCAAGAAAAACATCCCGAGCTCACTCTAAGAGGTACGACTCCTTTTGTGCTCCCGTGTACGTCCTCTTTTTACAGTTCCACATGAAGCAAGTAGTTTCGTTATCTGATTTCATAAATAAACTCCGAAGTAGTGACATCACGCTAGAATCGTACGTAAAGGCTCTTTTACAGAAATAGCCGTGAAACAACATCATCGGATGATCCTGAAGACGTTAACAAACACCAGACATTCACTCGCTCTACGGTAAGTAGGTCACTTTACATATGAGCAAGACACAAAATTAGTAAGCAAATTCTCCTTTCAAAGTCCATTTCTCTCAATGCCTTTCCAAATTTCAAACCATTTCCTCACATCCTTACACAACTGTCATCCGCGCATCAGACATTCGAGCGCAGGAAGAGCTCTTACGCAAGCCTGCCTATTTTTTTTCTGAAGATTAATGCTTCAGTAATCCCCTGAAAGAAAATTTGCAAAATTCAGGGGAAAAATTCCACTTGTACGTAGAACAGTCAAATTTAGGAAGAGTGTGGAAATAGTCAAAATGCAGTAAATATTAAGGACTCAAAAGCGTCACGCCGGGCGAGACTTAGGAGATCGAAAACACTTCTGCAACAAGCAAGCCCTGCACCAGCGCTCAGACATTCCATAAGACTGAAGCCACAGAGGACGCTATAAATGAGATGCTCTTCTTTTGTGTAGAATGATTTACATGTCAAAATAATGTTATTCGTCTGTATATTTTCAACAATAAATAAATCAAACAAAACATTCCGCATCTGTACTGAATACAACTATAAATAGAAGAAGTCGTAAAAAAGATATCAGATTAAGATGAACACAGTGACGACCCATAGGTAGGAAGTGATAAAGATTCAAGCGCGGCTTCGCGTGAACTTGCCCCAGATGTGAAGGACGAAGACGGAGGCAATGAAGACTAAGCTCATTACAAGTACGGGAACGGGACCAATTTTCAAGCCAGTCGAGTCTTCTGTGTAGAAACGCCACAGACCGCCATTATTACCAGCACGGGCACGACCGGATGAGGCAGCAGCAGCACCTAGAAAATCAGCATATGTCGACCTCCATCACCCACTCGAGAGAATGAAAAAAAAACTGATAGTGTAAAAAATTGTGCACTATACTAGCGCAACTCGTTTCACAGAGGAATGTGACCTGTGCAATTGACCGACATTTTCGGGGAAGTGAAGTGACTTCACGTTAGGGTGAAAAGTACGCTTGACTTTAACTGTGTAGATAGCATTTCAAGAATAAAAGATTGTTTCCGAAATAGTCGCGAGTGGGTCTATGTGCTAATCTTGATTTCGGGATAATAATCAAGCGCAAAAAAAAGAACAAAATCTAGTAAAAGACCACAAGCAATGACTTTGAAGCCGGGACTAACAATAAGAGACTCGATGACTCTTTGCATGTTAAAGATCGGTACTCGTGCTCTACTTCAATTGGAGATGATTGGCTACTTAAATCAAAAGGTAACAAACTCCAACTGATCACATGTGTGCGGAACGTTGGCGTGGTCCTATGCTCAAAATATATGACAATGACTTAGAATGTTGGCACGCTATGGATCTCGTCAAATATAACGGTTGATAAACCAATTATTATACGCGTCTGTCGAACAGATAAAGCCTTCCGCAGTATCACAAAATCGGAAGCGACTGCGACTAATCGGCTGAAGAACACCACACTATGACTGTTACATTCTTGCGATATGAAACTAGGAATCCAGTGGTTGTGCCAGTGATATCTAGCAAACTTCCGAACCGCAACAGTTCTGCCTAGTGAAATTGACCTCAGAACTTTAGGAGCCTATTTTCTACAGCGTAAGCGTGGCTGGAGAGTAACAATATTGGGTAAAAAACTTGAAAGACGCTACTTAACCCTGTTGTAAAAAGCGCCTCTTCTATGTGAATAATAAGTATGATTCCAAATGAAACATGGAACTTGGGAGAAACCAGAAAATCAAAGTGATGGAACACCACAATGAAGAAAACCACTGACCTCCTCCACGACGTTGTCGCAGCTGAGATCCAGCTGGGCGAGGGCTACGTCCAGTGTCCGACATAATCTACTCTACAAAACAACTCATTTGGATAAATCGTTAATAAACCTCTAAAAAAGTATGAATATGATGAGAGCCTTGTAAGGTAAGGACAAGGACATAAATAAGGAAATCCAACGCCATCACGGCTGTCGCCACGACCAACCCGATCGCGCTTGCAACCGTAGTCGTTTTTGGAGCGGAGCCAGCGACGTGCAGCTCGACTGCGTGGATCCGCGGCGAGCGTGTTGGCATACGGTACATGCGTGTTTAAGGGGCAGCCAAGCAGTCAGCAGGCTGCACCGAGCTCCGCCCCGCGCGGGCATGGCCACCGGCTTTGTTCGGACAGATCGTGGTTCGGTGAATTGTGTCGGTTTGTGCATTCGTGTCTTTAGCAGTGCGCAGTTCTATTTTCAAGTTTGTCATATGCATTGAAAGCTTGTCATTATCTGTTCTTCTGTACTCAGGGGAGAGTTGGTCGACCTTGTTTACTTGTTTACGCTCGAGAAGTTTTTGCAAGAGGGTGTCTAGACCAACCATGTCAAGGGTGCAGTTAATTTTTCTCGTAGTCTGAATATCTGTCATCTTTCATCTGTTGCCCTTTCTGTAAAGTGACGAAGTTGTTAGCCACAACGTTGAGCGAGAACGATGCTTTCATTGCTTCCCAAGAGGTGCCAGAGTTATTCGATTCAACCGATACACTGGCCATTCGCTGTCGGTCAGTTTACTGGTTTGACCAATAGCGAATGAGTGAACCGGACGAACCGGTTGAACCCGATAAATTTGGCACCTACCTCATGGTTAAGCCTTAATTACAGCTGGCGATAGGTCCCTTTGATTACTCAGTGTAAATCAGATCTATTTATCGAAGGCCGTTCATCTCTGTGAAGTAATATCCAGCGATTTTTGGTTTGTAAATAATTACCGCATCTGTAGAAAACATTCTCAGCATAAAGCTCTCTCAGATTGTCAGAGCAGTTATAAGAAAGATGTTTCTAGATGCATTAAAATTTGCTGGGTGGAGGAATAGGGAGCACGGCAGATTTTTTCCTTTCGTTGACGAGGCATGGCGTTTATCCACCCTCCGAAAAGATCTTGTATGCTTTCATTCTGGCAGCCTATAACTCTTAATTCAATAGGGATTTAACGATCTCGGAGAATTTTATCAGAATCAATCCGAATTTTTCAAAATTCTCAAAAATTGTTTTATTTATCTACAAGCAAGGCTAGTCTTTGCGCAATTTTACAACTCATGCACGCTACTTTCAAGAGTTTTGCACGCAATTTTCGGTTTGAGGGGATGGATATTGTGTAGCTTTTAAGACGTTAGCAAGTGTGATGAACTTATAAAGTGTGTAGAATCGATTTTTGAAATTAGTTTTTCATATTTATTCCGTTTGAAAACAGGTAGATCTTAGAAATGAACACATCCGCTCTTTGTAAGCAGTTCTCCTTTGCTCGACGAAATTCTGCAGCAGATAGCCACCCTACCGCAAATCGAGACCGTGCAATGACTGGTAGTTTAGGTTGCCTATAAAATGAGCGTTGCTTGTGAATTTTTACCTCCTCAGTTGCCTTAGTGCACTTATTATCAGGAACAAAAATTGTGAGAAATCCACATGTTTGTAAGAACCTTGCCGTATGGTCCTTGGCTAGTTTGCCTCCATATATGCGCGCGATTGTTACGATGTTTATTTACTATCGCGGCATTCCGAATCCATTACTTTTGTTTTTGCTTTAGGTAGTATACCACAATGGGCAAGTTCACGAGAGAGGAGGAGGTTTTGCTTTCTAGCTACTCTCCTGCAAATTCTGCCAGGAGCAATGCACTCTTCTACCTCAATGCCGTTGTGATCTCGCTCGCTCCTCTGTATTTATTCTATGGAGTACATCAGATGGAGGTAATTTTACTCCTCTGTTTCTATCTGCTTCCCGTTTATTCATCTCTTCAGTTCATGATTGTGAACGAGAATTGCCTCATTAGTGATCATGGAATGTGGTCTCTCGTCTTGAAACTAGCTCATTTTGCTCGAGTATACTCGAAAACTTGTAATCGTGGAGGTAGCAAACCTTGCCTATGGGTGAAGCTTGATAAGCTCCAGTGTTGTAATGATTGCCTTATAGGACGTTTTATCGCGTTAATAAGCCCGGTCAGATTTCGCTCGAATTGCTTAAAAGCGGCCAAATTCCAATATCGCTCATCTCCCCTCACACGAGAAAGCGAAGATACATTAGAGAAATCTGGGCGCTTTTGAGCGAAGTTTGGTCAGGGCCTTATGAGCGTGCACAAATCTGTTTAGGAGTGTAATTTGTGTTGCTGGTTACGCTTTCGCGCCATTGTTCGCTGCGGCGGGCGCAGCTTTTATACCGGGAAATAGGTTACTTCTGTGGTACTGGGAGCGCGCAAAATGCTCCTAGTATCTCCTCTTCCCATATTTACGCTGGTACGGTAACCCTTCCCCTCCTTTGACCGCACAAAACTTCGTTGTCGCAATACCATATTTTAATCGCTGCAGCATGCTGAAAAGCTTACAAAAGCTTTGACTAGACGAATTTTACAAAAGCTCTTAGTCTTTTATTCATTTGTCATACTCACAGCTTTTCAAAATGGCGTGTTTTGTTAGATGCGATTTTACGAATAATTCCCCTGTTCAGTCGGTCAGCAAATTGTTGCTGAGATAGTAGCATAAAGATTGGGTAGCAATCTGAAAATAGTCTGACTGTGCGCTTGCCAGATACACGATTTGATTACTTGTTACAGGTGTCTGAATCATGGATTGTGTGGATCATATCCGCTGTTGCCTCGGCCTATTTTCTTTCTATGGCATGCAAAAATCAGAAGAGGCTTTTAAAACATCAGTAAGTATCACCTTCTTCCTGTTAATTCCTCATTGTCACACATAGAATTTCTATCTTCAGAATTGTAATGAAACGCGGGACAGCTGTTGACAGGGAAATCAACCAGAAATATGCAATGGATAAGAAAATGAGCACCAAGGAAAAGGAGGTGCACTTACATTTTTATGCACTGAAGATGATCCTTGCCTAGTGGAACACAAAAGTTTTTTTTTTTTCAGGAGCGCGCTCTATTTCGTAAGAACGAAGTTGCTGACTCAGAAGCCACATATCTATCGATCTTCTTTACAAATGTCTTGTTCCTCTCAATCATGTTATTTTTGGCTTTCTTCCTTCTTGCTAATCTCACCCCTATTTTCAACTCTCTTCTCTCCGTTACTGGTGCGGCTGGTCTCGTAGCCTTCCTGTCCACCGCAAAGAACTAGATATAAATTGCTTTCGTTTTGTTTTGTGACGGGAGGACGTATTTAGTTCAATTAAGTTATTATAAATGTTTTAAATCATGTTGTAATTTGTTATCATTTCCTGTGAGATACAATGCGCAATAAAAAATCGTCATATTTCGTTTTTTCCTCTTACTAGGGTTAGCAAAATGCCTTTTGTAATATTACATAATGGACTAAAGACTTATATACATGAATTTGACGGTACCACAGAATGTTCATCGGTAATGAGCCCCGTGAGCGACCCCTTTCACCAATATTCACCGATGCGGACAAACCGCAAATGCGAAGAAATGGCTTACAAGAGGACGGGATGCTCAAAGTATGCTTATAATGCAGTTTCGGCATTTTTCTACTAGTTTGGGTGTTCTCCACTTTCTTCCGATCAAGCGCGTATCACTCTTTCAAACTTTTTAAGCGGTAGCAACAGTTTCGAATTAGGCTCTAGCTACGCCTGTTGGTGCTGTTACTTCCATAGATTCAAAACTACTGAAACAGTATATTAGGGTCATTTTTCAAGAATATGTGTCCCGGATGTGTCCAACGATTATGAAGATATATTGACGATGTAGGACAATTCCACGATTGAATAATCCCATGCAAATTTTGTAAGGAGCACTATTTCATCCCACGTTTTTTTTTTGGGAAGCATTTCGGGTCATTGGGATGTCGGGCTTGGAGGGATGAGTCATAATGAAATAATGGGCAGTGCGAGGGATTGAATTTGATCATTTGTCAAAATATGTTTGAAACCTTGGTGCAGACAATTCTGAGACAAAAAACGATGAATTTTAACCAGGTGGTGGAAGTGTATAGAATGTAGATGTTATTTAAAGGTGTTTACAGCCTCCTATAAAACGTAACGGATGTCTTTGCGGCTTTGGTTTTGAGATTTTCCAATTTTTTGAAATTTCTTTATGTACCCTGTTTATATGAACATCTTTCGAGGTAAATCGCATTCCTCTTATACGGACTGCCATCGTGGAAGTGCTGAGAGCGGAATCGCCAAGTTGTATCTGGGTGCGCTTAACTAATCACATAACGGACACTTTGGTATTCACCGAACCGTGAGTAGTATCTGCCACATATCTTGTAAGTGTATTGCAACATTGACAGTTTTAGATATGACTTGGTGCAACGGTACAAGAAAGGAGGTCCTGACGGTGATAAAGAGATTAGTGAATTCGAATATTGCCTGGCTCCATTCGCGGACAGAAAGTATGCACGATGTCGAGTTCTGGATGTGAGTAAGAAAGGTCATTTGTAGGGATGTGAGATGAAAATTGACCGCTTTGTGACGTTACGAGTCTCACTCTTTACAAAAAAAAATTGCATTTTGAGAAAGAAAAATTATTCGAAGAGTAAGTAGGGATTCAGCTCGGAAAATCATGAAAACTTCAAAGCGTTTTCGCGCTTATGATTGCGGTGGTGTTATGTTTTTCTTATTTTTAGGTTGTAGACAACATGGTGAAAGTCATTTTTATTGATGAAGGCATCACAGCTTGGATGTTTAGGGATGTAAGTCGGCTACATTTAAGCTTATATCCACAAAAGTATGCCTCTCTTCATGCAGTGCCTCGCTTGCATGCCCGTAGAGCTGTCTTACCATCCATGGCAGGCCATCAAAGTGTCATTATGCGGAGTTGGAATGCGAGAGCTTTTGCGACGAAAGCAGGTTACCGAGCATTTAAAATGATGTCAATTAATAATGTAAGGTTCGACGCTTAGGGAACATTGATCTGGCATGACGAAGAATGTGCGATCTTTCGACAGATTCTTACCAGATTTCCTCTGATGAAGACGCGCACTGTGAAGTCATCCATCGTTCATAATGATTACAGGAAAGCTGTGCAGGTCAGTTTGGCAATCACTTCATTCTTGTAATTATCAGCAGATAAATTTGCGTTGGCATTGTCTTATCTTTCAGGTGGAACTCTATGGAATACCGGAAGGTCATAACAACACCTCATCTGAAGTTGGCGTATCCATTGCTGCACTTTTCTCTGCCGAATTACGAGGACATCTTCGTGCGCGTCGTGTCGCAAACTCGGCAGATTTCACGCCAGCTCTGAATATCGATGGCGAAGCTTTACCGTTGCGAGAAAAAGAGATACCGCTCTTCAGAAGGGAATTCCCAAAAGATTGGAAGCGAGTTTCTGTCGCTAATGACCAGGCTACTATAAATGAGAAAATACGGGAGTGGCAGGATTGGACACCGGATAAAGCGCACATTCCGCCGCTTGAAGTAGAATGGCTCAATGCTAACGGGTAAGCTTGCCAAATGAAAGTCCCTTGAAGTTGTAAACGGATATAACTAAGGTATCGGACAGCCTACAATGATGAGTATTTGGTCAATATTGAAGGATCGCAAACACAATCACCTTACGAGTTTTATGCTCGACCCATCCGTAGAGAACGTGTGGAAGTGACTGGAAGTAAGCAAGACTTCACAAGAAATTTTCCTAGCATCAAGCGAATTGATCTAGAAGATCTTATTGGTGAACTTGGAGAAGTGGAGGCCCAGCTGCAGTCTGAAACGGATGCCATGCTGAATGCGCATGATGAATTGCGAAAAAAGGCTACAGTTCTAGATGCATTCTACTCACTGGAAGATAATCGAAGTCCACTTGATAGCAGTGATTGGTACGTTTCCTTCTTCACTTTTTTACTCTTCCTACTCGATGATTTTACTTTTTTTTGATCTTATTATTTTCGTTTCATTTCCTGTTCATTATTTTACCTTTTAGCATCAAGTGGTTGAAGTCAAATATGCGAGTATTTGCAATATGCGCCTGTTCAGAAGAACGTGGCACCTATACAGGGGAATGGCAGCGGGTCGAGGTTTTATCCATTACATCTCTTTCCTTCAACTGTAATACTGAAACCACGGACGTGCAGGTTCTCTCCTGTGATGGTTTTGCAAACGTTCTTTTTCTGGACTCTGGCGGCACCGAGCTCGTGGTACCATACAGTCTTTACAAGATACATCCAACGTTAGTGTTTTTCTCTCAGAATTAGCCCCAGAGAGTTAATGTCTTACTCATTCTAGACACTGCACTTATCCACCAATGTGCATGCAGCTTTGTATGCATGGAGTTGGTCCGCGTGAAGCCGACAAAAAGCTTGAATGGAGTGAAGGTGCTAAAAATGAGTGGAGAAAGCTTCTGCGTGAAGACTTGCCAATGTCTATCTCAGTTATAGGTGAGTTCCAATGAATTTTGTTTCTATCTGTCGTAAAACTCGTAAGTCATCCACAAAATCGTGACGATCACGGCATTGGCGCACGTTGCCCAAAGCAAAGAAAATGCGATTGCAGTCTCTGCAATCGCATTCTCTTTGCTTTTGTCACTTTTCAAGGCATTTTTTCTTTGCGCATGATTGCTAATGGATATTTCAAGTGTAATGGGTGTTAAAGTATCTATTCCACTGTGCCCCTGTAACTTGTTGCGCGCGAAGATAGTCGAATTCATCGCATTCTATGAATGCCTGTACCTACCTCTGCAATTACCCTTTCGACCATGCTACACTTCTTGCTCTGCTGGATATCGTGGATTAAATCATGTTTTCTATTGTCTAAATCCTTTGAGTATCATGTCTACTGTTCATTTACCTCTCAAAAAAACTGAGTAACCCACACGAAAGTAAATCAATTAATCAAGGCTTACCCGCAATCGGAAAACTTTACTAAAAGCAATAATTTTGCAGAACGACTGAATCGGGAAAATGACGATAAAGTGCTGCCGATCAGTGAACCTGCTTGGAAACGGCCTGGTGTGCTATTTATTAAGTTCCTCAGGGTTCATGGAGACAATGAAACAACTTTGAAGAAATTCTGCAGCCCATCTCGTTCCCCCAATAACGGTTTACCTCAAAAAGATGTGCCACGTAGTTGGCCTGAGTTTTCCTCTCATTAGCATCTTATCTCATTCTCAAGCATGTATTTTATTCACAACTCTATCTTACATCTGTGCAGTGCATTTTTGAGCTCAACCCTGCCCTTGCATCATTCCTTGTCGAAAAGAACTGGTCAAAATTTTGGCTCCCGATGGAAGTTGAAATCTTATATGTTAGTGCACATACAGCCTGTGCAAATCGCATACTTCCTTTCCTTTCGGCGCTATCACCACGCCAAGACGTCGTACCTTCGCGTGCGTATCTCTTGAGTATTCAGTTAATCTCCCTGACTGGAGGTCCACAAGCAAGGCCCTCGTATTGCGAATGCGTAGTTTTTACGAAAAAGGAAGTATTTATCCAACACAGGTTGTTCATTTCAAGTGTTGTATCTGAGGATTGTTTGCTTCAGCTTTCTCAGATCTCACAAAAACGCTTTTTTTTCATATTTATTGTCATTACTCCTGACGCATTTAATGTGGAAGAATATGCCTTGAGTATAAACGCAGCTTCCTTTGTTTACACATTAAAAACCAGTCGTAACTGTGTCAAATCTCTTGAATGTTCCTTGAGTGTTCCTTGACAACAGCAAAGCTTCTCTCGAATTTTCTTGCAGAAGGAAAGGATCAAAGGTTATTTTTAGGCACGGAAGTGTAAACAAATTTGAAGCGAATTGGCGTATAGGACAGATGGGTTCTAAACCCAAGTTTCGAGTCATGAGATTCAGTCCTCACATCCGTACGTTCTTTCCAACCCTAACTACATAAACGATACCCTTCACCTCCTATCTAGTGCAATTGACCACTGCAAAACGTGCAAGTCTGCATTTTTGTGAGCATATACGCGCAAATGTTGCCGGTGGCGCAGAAGCACTTTGTTTAGTCAAATCAATCGTAAAAGATACTGGGTAGGAACAATAAGTTTGTTTACAACTACAATAGTTTGTTGCATACGACATTGTAAACATTGCAGATATTCATAACAAACTTAGTATATAAAAGCATGTGGTGCTATTAGTACAGCTGTCAGAGGCACAAAAATAAGCACAATTCAAAAGTAGAACATTACCATACCTCGCAAATTCTATTCATTTAGCGAGATCAAAAAAAAAAAAACAAGTCATAAAAGAGCGCAAATTACTGTCGAGTGGGGTCTGATCATCGGTGTGTCTTACCTAGCAAGAGAAAAACAGAATACTCAAGCCTTTCTGCTGCTGCTTATTGTCATCACTTCAGGTGAAAACTTACTTATTTGAAGCGCAATCACTGATTGGACGTCGCTAGAAAATCAGTTTCTCAGTTTTACGAAAATGTCCTAAGACTTGTGATGCTAAGCATTTGATACGTCCATGGGCATAACAGTTCCCAGAGGTAGATGTAGGAGAAATAGTTGAGCAACTGATCACAACTGGCCTATAAGCAGTTCACACATTCAGGGCCAGGCTACATCAGGCGATTGCATCGCCTCGCCATTCTCCCTAAAGACAACTGTTACCAATCATTGCGTGCCGATCATCTTGCATTTCGGTTGAGATAGTTTTCTATAAGGCCCCGGGCAGACTTCACGCGATTTGACCGTTGCGACTGAATCGAGACAAGACAATTGTTACAACATCATTCCATGCCGATCAACTTGCATTCGGTTGTGATACTTTTCCAGCCCGAAATTTTTGAATGTGAAATGAAAATGAATGGAAATCTTGGCGATTAGGTCGCGGCGATTAAGTCGCGTGGCGTCCGGCCGGGGCCTAACGCGGGCTTACGACTAACTATCCCAATCGGAATGCAAGATCATCGGCATGCAATGGACCCGTAACAGTTGTCTTGTTGAGAATATTGACGAGGCGATGAAATTGCATTGTATCCCCAACCCATTGAACATGATCATAATGAACATTTCAAACTAATTTCATGATTTTGCGCAGACATACGTTGCTCTACCCATGCTCGAATCATCTGATGGGCAATGGCACCTTGTGGAGGGATATAATGTAACTCTTGCCGTTCGTTTATATCCCTAGGGATGCCCTGAAATCGGATATGCTTAGACCAAGGGTCCTTCTATTATGGAGGAAACTAACCTTCAAGAAAGGATCATCCAGTGTCCTTTTTAGTGCGACGGCAACCTCATCTCTGGAAAACCAACGTGCTGATTCCAGTTCACTTGGGGCGGCATCAATCTGGATTTAAGATATTTCACGGTGAAGTCTGACGTCCAAAAAAATGGGTGTTCAAATAAGAAAGTGATAAAATATAAACAGGCCGATAAATAAATATAATAATGATATGAGAATCAAAAAATATTTATCTCTTACCTTATAAGACATCTCAGTTACGGCATAATGAGCACACATTAACGATGAATTAGGCATTGGCCATGGCTGACTGCGTTGAAGCGAGACTACTTTTGAAACGGGTACACCAATCTCTTCAGCTATCTCCCTCCTGACACATTCGTCCAGGGATTCGCCGGGCTGGAACTAACTATTAGATGGAAATAGAAACGATTATTGTCCTACCTGTGCAAATCCTGCCACAGCTGTATAAACTCCGGGAGCTGAGGCTTTGTGGCGAACTAGAAGTGCATACGAGTCAGTAGGATCTGCTACAAGCGTTATTGCTACTGGAGAACACTAAAATAAGGTAAAACTGGCAAGCAATTCGATGAGTGTAAGCTGCTCACCGTAGGATAATAGACTCGCGGACACATGAGACAGTTAGCACCTGCCTTGCTAACCCGCATATGTAATGGAGATCCGCATTTTGGACATCGAAGATAGGTTTTGTACCACCGACTAAGCGATTGAAACTATAAAAGAGAATTTGAGTGGTATCTCAGCATTCCTGCAGATACCTTTGCTAGAATGTTCCTATCCTTTTCATCTGTAAGTCCCAACATTGCCATCCTCATGTCCATAAACTGAGCATTTAGACTTTTCGCAAGTTCGCGAAGAACGTCGTCTTTTCGCACGGGCGAATCTTCTGGCGGTTCAACAGCTTTCAGCGATGTGCCAAGCAAAGGGATCTGAATAATATTGAGGAAATTAAGGAAAGGAGAGCGAATTCTTCAGATGTTCAACCCTTCTGAGTTACAACAACCAACTCTTACCATCAGATTATTCGGTCCTTCGATAGCATCCAACAAGCAGCTATTTGTTGTGTCAAAAGAAAAACCGTACTCTCCTAAGCTTCTTTGTAGTTCTGGAAGGTGAAATTTTAGTGGCCACATATCGCTCAACAAGTTGTACCTGGATAACTATGACATGCAAGTTGGATTGATGCGCCTTTCTTCCGCACTAAAGGCTTTCGATCAACCATCACCAAAAATTGAGACCGTCGGAACTCGCTGAAATGTAGATCTAATTGGAATAATCATCTGAACCTCGTCAAAGTGCAGCCTGATGAAAATGAAAGGCGAAAATTGGACAGAAAAAGTATGCAGGTGCAGCCAGCTGGGAGAAACTCACCTCGTCAGTGCAGCATCCTTGATTCCCCAGTACTCAAGAAGTCGCATGCGTTCTACATAACGCATGTCATTGGATGTATGCCGCAAAGTTTTTGATACAAGTGCTGAAGGACGAAGAAGCATGCTCTATAATTACAAGATGACGATTCTAACAGATTTTTGCAAACAGCGAAAAAGATACTCGAATTGACGTATAAAAAAAAGGCATCACAGAATCATCAAATAATTCATTCATCACAGTAATTGTAGAAAAGGAGATAGGGGACCCTAAGAGAATCTGCTTATAGCAATGTAACAAACACAGAAGGAAGAAAGATCAAGGAACATGTCAAAAAAGATAGAATTTCAAATAATTTAATTGTGAACAAAAAAAACAACACTGCCCGCTCTTACATCCCCTATGGGGATAATGAACTTACATGACTCAATCAGAAAGAGAACAAATGAAGCACACGCTCAAGAGACACCGATGGGGAAATTGAAGATGGATGGGTACCTGTAGTTATGTACAAAACATAAATTCCTAAAACGAGTCATAAGTAAATGCTTGTGCTGAACTGCTTGGAAACCATCTTAATTTTATCTATGGTAACTCCTCCCAAGACTATGAGACTACTGTGTCGTAAACATTTCGAAAACCTATGGCGTTTCGTAGCGCTTGCTTTGAGTGCTTTTACTACTTATAAGGAGGCATATAATCCGGCATTGTCCACATTAGCCAAAGAATGGGTCAAGTTAATGAGGACGTAGGCATCAATTATAGCGGAACTCATATCACAAACTGCGCAATGAAGTTCAGGACACCGAGGACAATGATTGTGGTGTGTATGATCCGTTTCGATCGAGTCAATTTGCCTTCCGAATGTAATTTCTTCATATAAACGATGCAAGGAAGCGCAAACACATAGACCAATCCAGACATAGCCCCAACGTATCTGAGAAAGTGAAAATCAGCGCAACACCTGACTAATCAAGTGACAACACTCACCGAAGGAGGCTTCCAACCTTCGGATAGAATATAGCAACACTCACTGCCATACACATGATTGCAAAGTTGAGTATGAAAACCGAACCAAGTCTGTAAACAAATGCTTAGTTTGATAAACGTAGAGGAAATTTAATTCTCACCCAGGCCAAGTTTTGCCTACGAAAGCATAACAGAGCTGTGAACGAATGAGGAACATCAGTAATGGAAGCACCGTAATCATTTGGAAAAGCAAGAACATACGAGCTGTACTGCTCATGATATCTCCAGCACCAAAATTGTTGAGAAAGTTCTGAAAAGATAACATCTGTTGCTGTTCAACGTTCAGATACCATCGGTTCCGTTCAATACTCATACAAAAACCGTCGCTCAAAAATCGGGCCAGCTGTGCAAGATATGCGAAAAAATGAATACTAACGTCACTGATGCAACTTCGTTGCACTGGGAAACCAGCATAGAAGGCAAAGCCGATAAAAACATAACAAAATGCGGCCAATGAGTAACCAATCGAAAGATCACGAGTCTGAAAGTGCAAGTGAAAAGTGGATAAAAATTAGTCACCTTAGCGATGCTCGTTGAAACGAGTATTTTTTACAGAAACAACTTCCTACTTGAAAGTAAAAATCTAATATGACTCTAAGGTAGGATGACTTGCATTATTCTCAGGATTCTTTTGATTTCGAAGGATCGTGATAACCGCATTATGGATGAAATAGGATAGAGTCAATGTCCCTGTCAAAGCAGGAAACCGCCAATTGAATGCTAAACCGGCAAATTCGTGTTAATATTGAAAAACATATTGAGAAAACACTCACGCTTGGCATAATGAATGGATGTCGGATCAACAAAATTCATATTGAAACCACATTCGGCAAGTTTCGAACCGGTGAATACCAGCAGATAGAGGACTGATATCGTTCCCAAGACGTTGAATTTGGTAAAAAATGTAGGCGATTTGAAGTTCATCAATGGGAATGTCAGAAATGCCAAATATATTGGAACGGTTCGCTAAAATAAGACCACATGTAACATCCGATAATAAAGAAGGGCCCTACAAAAACATGAAATTCTAGCAAATTATGACAAAATCGTTTTTCACTGCACATGGGCAAAAGAATTTTAGAAAAAGAAAGTGTAAAGATTCAGAACAAATAGAACCACTTCACAGTTGAAAATAGCGTGGTGGCATACAAACATTTGAATAGGGTGCCAAATGCTACATAGGATGATACCGCACCTGTAGCTGCCATAGCTGATCAAAACTCCATGATGGAAAGAACCAGTTGGTAGTGAAGGGCTGCGTTGGATATCTCTCTAACAAAGGAGGTAGAGACACATCCGATGGACAGTACACTAAAAATGAAATGCCAGCTGATAGAACCACTTTTCATTGCAAAGATAATGTTTTAGAAGAGAGGTACACTAAACACTAATTATATGCATAGATATTACCATCACATGTGAACGTCTTATTCTCCATAATTGGTATAGTTGAACTGTTTGGCTGCAGCGCCTCTAAAAAATTTATTCAACAGCGAATTCACGACTCAGAGATGAATTATTCGAAAAGGTAAAATTGATACCATAAACTACTGTCCCAGTATAAAACAGGAAATTCGACATGAGCACCCAATAAACCATTATACCACCAAGTATTACAATCACAGAAAATCCCACAGCAATATACTCTCCCGTTTTGCCGAGAAAGTGACGACAAACATCCGAAAACTCCATCATAAGTGGATCCATGCCGGCTGCTGCAACCAGTAAAAATGTTTTAGCAATGACTGTTGAGAGAGAATGATAAAATAGAGCGCAAGCACATACATAAGCCTTTAGGACTCTCCAAGACACGGTAAGCAGTGTAGAAGCATAGTAATGCCAAAGCTAACATCAGGAAAATCCCCCAAAACAGACCTGCCTGGAAGAAATATCGGATGCTAGATACATTAAGAGACATCTCAAAAGGCCCCATAAAAAAGCATAGTATTTTGCTTTTTATTCCGATATGTATAATAGATAAGCAGTTTACAATAGATTTGAAATGAAAGACAAAGCGCCAAAGCAGAATTGCAAGAAAATGTTACCTGTTGTAAAGCCCAGGGCATTGCTAGCAATGAGGTTCCCATCATTGTATTCCATAAAGAAAATCTGAATGTGTAAATAATGACGAGTTCACTTCAGATAAGTCATCCAAAATCAATTTTGCAACATACATTGTCACTAGGCTACTTTGCTTGCCACTGCTATCTTTCATGTCGTCAAAGGGTAGAATGGAGAAGTATTCGGATGGAATTACGTGGTCTGGCATACGCTGAAGTACTGGATTTTAGTGATGGCACTGTAGCATTCCAACACAACAGACTGATCACTAGTGACAGCTTACCAACTGTTGCCCTCCAGGGTCCAGTCGATTGTACAACCGGTAGCGAAGAGCCATGTTATGTTGTCGGAAATCATCTTCAGAATGTAATGATGTCATGCTACCTTCTCTGGAAAGACCTAGTCCTCCTGAAATTCGTATTTTGAGCGCAAGTTTAAAAATCCGGTGAAGGTAAAAATATGTAAAAAAAGATTTATGAAAAGATAAAACCAACCAGTAAATAAGTACGGTTGCCTAGGACGGCTGCTGCGTGAAGAAGTCGAAGGGGGTGCAGGAGGGGGACTAGCACTTGAGAGCAATGGCTCGAAGCTGGAATTTTGAATGTCATTCATAAAAAGCTAAAGTAGCGTCTGAATATGTCTTAATACTTACTCATCATCTATCGCCCCATAATTAGACATTGTGTCAAATGGCCAAAATTCTGGAACAAAATACTTAAGGCACCTCTCGAAAACAAATAAACCGTAAATTTATCACAAATTTCATGAGCGCTGTTTAAGAGGACATGAAGCAACTGATAGTGCGCTGATAACAAACATCGCTAGCAGTGGAGCCATTGTCCATTATTGCGCACTGGAGTGAGTTGATGATAGTGAGGCTTGTTTGTATTTTTCTGATGTTCATGTTAGTAGGTCTTTTAAGAGCGACAGGTTCAGAAACTGCTAGAAGTCAAAAAAAAAACTTGCAATCGATGTGGAGTACTGACGATGTGGAGTACTGAATACATTTTTCGAAATTCTTCAATCACTTTAAAGCGAAGATTTTGCTCGCATAAACGAAATGCCCAAACTCCCATTCTTCTCCTTCACCACAACTCAATTTTGCCAGGAAACTCTTGTCCCTATGCGCAGATAGGTTCTCATATTTTCTGTTACCCTTCCTTCCTACTGCAGCATACAGAGGATTACCGCTCTCGCCTACCATCCATGAGAAGTTGTAAATGCTCGAACACTTATAAAAATGTGCAGTCACCCCTACGCACATCATTTGTCATTTCAAAGCATTTTTTGGGTATCGTTAAGCAACAATAATATAAATTGGCACAGAAAAAGCTTCCGGGAAGTGTTCAACATATCTATGAAATCCACACCTCGAAGGTGATAGGATCGCTGTTATTTAAGAATTTGAATGATTACTGTTGCAACATATGAGGAAATGTGAGTCATTCCTGGAGTTTTTCGCATTTGCACAACAAAAAAGACCCTCGCAAATTATAGACTATTAGCTGCCGAAAGAATTGAAGAGAGTCATGTTTCCATTAAATGTGGCCCGGTTTCTCTACTCCTGATGCATGCCTTTCTCCACTGACAAACCATTGGATAACCCTAATCCTCCCACAGCTCTGGTTCTTCAAGTACACATTCGAAAGAAAAGATAATTTGAGCAACAGGTTGTGTACCAACAGCAATTTGGATCACTTTGCTTATGGGAACTACCATGGAGTCCCAGCAAAACCCGCATTCGAGATAGACTTAGTAATCAAAGGAAAGAGATCCAGCCTCAACCTTTCTCGAGATTTCGTAATTTGCTCTGTCCTATATTCAGAACAATTCAGGCTCAATGTTCTACCGCCATTATCTTTCGTAAATGTAGAAGAAAGGAAGCATGTGGTTTTTCGAAGACAAATATACAGCTGAATACTTCACCTTGAAGACTGATGACTTATTTTATGAATATTTGCAGCAATTATCTCTGAAGAAGCATGACAGCGAGCACACATGAGGGGTACACTACTCATAAAGTACACGATTTATTCACAGAAATACTCTCGATACCCGGTACAAAATGTGATGTCAAGCAAGGAAGATAATATCACATTGACACCCTCTAGAAAACAGAAACGAATGAACAATAAATAGCTTCTATCCGTATCTACCTATGGTTGCAATGAAAAATTCTGCCACAAAGACCCACATGGAATATAGTGTTTCACTGGAATGCTATCGAAGTCATTCATACTTCCATATGATCACTCATGATCAACAAAATCAAAGAGCTCCAGCCGTTGAAGGGATGTGAACCTCGCCCCTGGCCCGTCTTATCGTCATAGTTCTCCCAAATATAGCCTGTGCGATTGAACTCCTGGAGAATGCATTATAAATTAGTGAATGAGAGAACTAACTTCACACTTGATCACAATAACGGCGTCAATGATGCTAAAATTGCTGATTAATTCAAATATAGTGTCTCTAGCGTTGAAAACATAGCAAAGTTCGGAATTTCGAACTTCTCCAAAAAATCGCCAACTTTCAAATGTCCAAAGTATCAAGCATAATGAGGTCGAAAAAAGCTTCTACATTCGATACAAAGGATGAGCTGTTTAGATGAAAAGCAGTGGTGATATGATGCAACGTTACTCAGTAGTTAGTAGAATATAAGGGAAGGGCCATAGGTTGTCGGTGTTGTCGATGTTGTCGGTGTTGTCGGGGTTGTCGGGGTTGCCAGGTTGCCGGTCGTTGTAGGACCTCATGATAGCCTCCACGTTTCGCGCGCTCTCTAAACCGTCTCTGACCCCGATAACTCCGACAACACCGACAACATCGACAACACCGACAACACTGACAAAACCGACAACACCGACAACACTGACAACATCGACAACCTATGGCCGTTCCCTAAGACATAAAAAGTTGAAACCACCGAAAATCGGTTCTCATAAAAAACACCATGACATGCATCAAATGTTACTCTGAATTGTGCAGAATATAACAAATAGAACAATGACAAAATTTGGTCATAAAACTATGGTCAAAATAGTTCAGCGAGTCATGTATCTGCCTATCATATAGCTTGAAAGTAAGTGATACACAAAAAGAACTCACTTTGGCCATATTGTGTACGAGATTGTTTTTGAGATCCGCAAATATGGATTGTGCTTTGGCCTGATGAGGCCCAGAAAGTGAACCATAGTGTTTCAGCGCTGATAGTACCATGTAATTTACGTTTATCCAGATATAACTGAATCCAAACAAACAGATAATACCCGCATATAAAATGTGTATAGATGGATACCCTCTCCAGTAAGGTGGATCATGCTCTGTATTCCTGGCATCGTAATAAGGTGAGGACCGCGCAAGTGAGCGAAGTCCATAATCTGTCCATAGAAGCTGAAACACCGATTCGGAAAACATTTTCCCATAAGTACTGTTCAGGCGATATACCTGCGGGTCAACAATCTTATCCAGTATATAGCCCATTTGTTGAGAGTCATGCGGTACCAAACGAAGCATAAGCGGATAGAGGCTGTTGTAACCAAAAACATCATCTACGAAGCCCAATTGTGGTTTATTAACTACAGATCTGCAAGGAGTCTTCAACTTCTGAGAAATGAGAAAATCCGTCCCTGGTCCTAACCTTTCAACAATGTATTGGTCTGGTTGTCCTTTCACTTTGACAGGTTTTCTTATAAGCCTGACTCTGTCACTGTGACGTCCATAGTCGAAGAAAGCCTAGAACCAGACATGAAAACTACATCGATGTCCTGAGCATACAAGAATTACGTTTTTCTCTCCACTCCAGTGAAGACGCAGGAGGTCATCGAAATCCGCTAGAAGTGAAGCCTCTGCAGTATACTTGTTCTTATTCTTGCCTTCTTCATATAGATGGGCTAGGCGATTCATTACGCGGCTGCCAAGAGCCATCCAACAACGGAGATCAAGATGATATTCCTGGTTAATGAAAAAGAATCCTATGTATACAATATCGGCTCAGTTTCAAATCAGTTCAGCATTTCGATGGAATATCACAGCTGTGGTTTTTGTAAGTTATCCAAGGAAAAAGTCCACGATAAAAAGGGATATAGACTTACTTCCTTTGAAGGATGGCTTGCTCTGGGATAATCGTCAAGTCCTGAAGCCATGGTCTTTGGGTTAAGCTCTTTGACTGTGGTGGCATTTCGCCCCCGCCATCTAAATAGCATTGAAGGTGTGCACAAAACAGCGGATTGCTAATCTCATTCTCACTAATAAGGTCAGAACGAAGGAAAATTCTAGACTTGTCATGTCCATAGTTTGAAAGAAACAATCTTCGACAATAAGTGACTACAACTTTCCTTCAATCAGGGGAAAGAAGTTGAGCGCAAATTTTGGAGGTTTCTCTTGAAAATATGGAAAAACATCATAACCTTTAACGTACCTAAATGTGCCTTTCTCCTTGCCTGCCTGGCTTTTGCGAAGCCACTTATACCAACGCTCAAGCCTTGGATACAAGCCAGCAATGATTGGACCATGTCTTCTGAGGAGCTGAAAAACCATGTAGGTTGAAAAATTAAAATGTTTTTTATCTGCTATATGAAAACAGCATTAGCGCACATTTACAACAAGTTTCACCAAATCTCATAATGCGAAGCAGCTAAGAGAAAAATGCAATTAACTGCAGCCTTCCTTCACAGAAATTCAAAGACCGAAAATACATCGAGCTTTTGCAAACCAAGAAGAATTTCTATGGAGGAAGGCTGCAAGTTGAACTACGAAAAGTTGGTCATCGCACTTACTTCTTCATCATCAAGCATCTGGTCGATGACATAAAAAATGCTGGGAGGATTTGCCACATTCGGTTTTTGAACGATATACTCGGCTGGTACCTGTACAAAAAAGTGTTACAAATGTATAGTGGTCCTCCCAGTCCACTGAACTTATACCCTTGCTTCGGCTTCCACTCCTAGAATCATTTCACGAGGGATCCAACCACTTTCGCTCATAGTGTTCAGCCAAGAGACAATCATCTGTTAGACACGATAAGAATAACTGCCGGATTAGCGGAAACAGTCATAAACTGACCTCCAAACTCAAGTCCGGATCAAATTTTCGAATCAAGATATTGTGGAAGCCCTCATCCCATAAGAATCCCCTAGGAAAATAGGATCGCGATGGTACAGCCGAGAACAGTTCATGCGGACCATATGAGACTGTTTTAGTAGCGCCGGGCATGAGGACCTGCAGAAAAGATAGAAGATTCACCACCGATAAAATTAAGTAAAACTGACGTGGTTGTAACCATGCCAATAACCTATACCTCCCACCATATTTGACAACGCTACTTTTGCCATGCGCTGTTCCACATCAGTAAAGTTCTGAAAACGTGGTTATTCAATAACAAAAAGAAAATAAACCACGGAATGGTCAGAAAACCGAGATCTTATAACAACAATTTAGTAAGGAGATGTACGAGCACTCCACAGATTTCTCGTTTTTTCGCATACCTTGTCCATAAGATTGAAGCTCTTCTCAAACCGGCTGTTGAAATCCTCTTCTCTTCTAACTAACTCCTTCTCGAAATCTTCCAATTGTGCACCATGGTGCGGTGTGCTGAAGTGGCGGCAAATAATTTCGAAAATTCGTAAGAATACAAGGATTCAAAAAAGCAATGATTGTGATGCGGCGTCATCGAAACTACCTACAAAAATGTACGCTAGCTCACCTAAAAGTTATTTGTATGTCCGCTTTCGTCCATAAATTGAGCTGTACAGCAACAAACTGACCCTCACTGAATGGCTGCTGTTGTTGTAACTGATAGACGAGACCACGCTCCGTTTCTAGCGCACGCTAAAGTTTCCAAAAAGATAATTATCACCAGTCAAAAAATGGAGTGTCGCTCACTGTGTTCATGAAAATGAGATCATTGAGATGATCCAAGTGCAATTCACCATCCCAAACGAGAGGTGAGTGTAACACTTGATCTTCATTCTTCACATGAATGCCCAGTCTCACATCACCGAACAATTCGCTTCGACCGGCTATGATGTCAGACAAGTGATGTCCAATATGGAATTTTGATTGGCGATCCTAAAGCACAACCACTGAGTTCATTAAGGCTTTTTTCTGCAGTGCTACCATTCATCAATCATGATGGAACTCATCCAAGAGACGAAAGAGAAATTACAAACAAGCAGGACTCAAACAAAAAGGACAACTAACAATTAATTGTCAGCGATATAAGATATCTATACGAAGTAAACCTATCTATAAGGCATAAGTGAATGCATTGGTATTGTTTTATATGTATGCAAGACCCTGACTAGTAAAAGGAACTTGCCTGAGCGACTAAGTACACTATTATCGTGTATCTCGTCCTAGTATCTGTACGTATTCTAGCCGTAAACGATTCGCCATGATTGATCCAATCGAAACTCAATGTTCCATAATGTTCAGTGACATTCTGGCGGCCAAAAGTGCGACCATCAGCTGCATACCAGCCATAATGTTGCAGATCGTCACCTAAACCACTGCATAATGCTTGGATTTTCTTCATGTGCTCAAAATTCCAACCTTGGTCGCACCAATGCCGCATATGAGGCATTTGTAGAACATCGGGCTGTTCATACCACATCACTCCAAAAAGTGGTGACCGCGGATCTTTTGTGCGTAAGCCAAAGTAAGTGTGAGAACGATATGAACCCCATTTCTTCTAAAAAAACAGAACAGATAGTTCAAAGATTGAAAGAGCATAAAAGAGGGCTGGATAGCTTACATTTTCCACAGCAGGTCCAATTATTCGAGGGTGGAGCTTGAGTAATGGGCGAGAAGCGTAGAATTCTGTATAGGTCACATAGGCGATGATTGCAACAGCAGCACTTATGCAAACAAGTGCGACAGTGTTTAGTCCTCCCTAAAAAATTGTTGTATTTGAATAAATAAAGTGATGAGCAAGACCGACCTTCTCCTTCTTGGCAGCCTGCTTCTGGAGCGAAGCAGCTACCCGCTTTTTCCTTTCCTTTGGCGTCATTTACAGCATCAAAAGTGGCTGTGTGCCGATGTATGACGGTATTAATTGTCCTCAAATGCTCTCTTTCTGAAAACAAAGTCTGTCAACAGAACTGTGCAGAAGAAGAAACTCATCACGACTCTCTTGCGACTGCAAAGCGACCCAATTAGTTTGCTAAAGAAATTAGAAAAAGTGAAAGTGCATATGGGAGAAATGATTGATGACTTCCCAAAGAAAATCAGTCTAGCAAAGTGCAGTTTGCTGACTTGCATTTGAACTGATTTCAAAATTAGAAAAATGATACAAGCACATGAATACAGAGTCACATGGTAAATATGAGTAGACAACACAATGATAACTAGCAAACCATCTTGTGATTTTTGTAATAACAAGTGATAAGCCGCTAGCCACTGATTCGGGCGGTAAACATGCTCAAATACACTTGACCATGCGCGTCAAGAGATAGACGCATACTTGGTTGGCAGGTTGGCGCGAAGACGGAAGGGCTAATTTCTTAGCCGTTTTTTTGAGTAACTTTCTACAGCTTTTTATTTTCCTTCAAAGATCGTGCATTTTCTTCGCTGGATGGACTTACACAGCTTTTACTGCCTTTAGCGCGTTACTGATCCTAAGCCATGTATTTGCCATTAGGGCAGTATGATGACCAAAGTTCGCTTTATTCAAAGTTGATATGACTAATGGAGTAGTGCTATGACTGGGCAAAATTGGAGATTCCGTTCTCTAAGGCCCCGGGCAGACTTCACGCGACTTAATCGTCGCGATCTAATCGCCAAGGTTTCCATTCATTTTCATTCCACATTCAAAAATTTCGGGCTGGAAAAGTATCACAACCGAATGCAAGTTGATCGGCATGGAATGATGTTGTAAGGCTTGAGATATACCTGGCGATGGAGGTATAGCGGGTGTTGGCGAATCGCTGATGTCTGCGCTGCCCTTAGCTGCTCGTGGCTGCTGCGCTGGGTATGCTGTGGGTGCAAGAATAAAGAAGCTTTACCCATTACTATGCTTAGCTTAGGTCATTAAGGAAAGTAAGTCTTGACGATTACCAAAACTGAGAAATAATATGAGACCCAAAAAAGTCGTACTGTTTTCATCAGGAAATTTTCTTTCTAACAAGCATAAAATGGCGAGCCAAATGTTGCATATACTGAGAAAATTTTAATCATTTGACAGATAGCAAGCGAGTGTCACACTTAAACCTTGATGTGTGCTTGAGGCAACATCTAAACTATCTAGGTCATAGCAGACGTTAATTTGTTGAGGTGTACTAGTAATATCCCACTGAATCGTTTGAATCGTCTAGCTTTTCATCGTTACTCTAATTTGACTACGCAGTTGATCAGATTTCATTCTTTGTCGACTTCGTCAATTCTTTATCGATTTTCTTATCGATGCATTTGCGTTTCGGTGAAAGTATCGAAACTGCTCTGAAAATCCTTCAGAAGTTCAGAAATATGTTAAAAAGGAGCAAATCTGAGCAAAATCAGCGTTAGCAGCTCGAAGCAGCTGAGAGAAGCTCACAAAAAGTGAGCTTCATATCGCGTAGCAGCGAGGAGCAGCAACGAGCAGCTGGGAGCAGCAGAGAGCAGCATGAAGCAGCGCAGCATCGCTAGCTATAGCGGGTCTGTTTCGCGTTGGCTGCAGCAGCTAGGAGCAGCAGCGCCGCCTGGCGTCAATCGATACGCACAAAAGACGTTGCTGCTCGCAGCGTCTTATCGTCAGCTATAGCCACCCATCGTCAGGTATATCTCAAGCCTAACACTTGTCTCGTCGCGATTCAGTCGCGACGATCAAATCGCGAGAAGTGTGTCCGGGGCCTAAGCAGGCCGAGTAAAAATCATGCAAACGCCGACATTCGGCGACGTCTTCAATGTAGTCGTACCATTTCCGATTTTTTTTAAAGGAAGGGTTCTTGTGAGCGTCCATTTTAGAGGGGAAAGTGGAGGTGTTTTTCTGCTATATAAACCTGTCTCGGGTAAAATTTATTTGATACACCACTTAAATCTAGAAGCTGGTAATAACGAGAGGCATTGCTTAATGAAGACGACTCTTCCAAATTTCAGAAATGTAGTAGTGAACATTTTCATGAAAGCATGGGGAGAGAGGGGTTAAAGGGATTAGGCGTAACACGATGATGTACGAATATGTTTGATCTCATTCCTCAATCTTATATAAGATTTATCGCGATGTTAGAAAAGGGACATTTTTAAGGACTATCCATTTTTAGAGTCCACAACAAAAAGCATGACTTCAGAAGATGTGGCAATAAGTTCGTGATTCTACTGATTGACTTTTGAATACACAGGTTACGGTTTGAGTAGTCTACTTACCAGACTTAGGTCTGAAGATGAATATGATTTCAACAGACAAAGATCCAAAATTTGTAGATGATTGTAGTTCAAGTTTGGTATATTATCAAAAGAATGTCAGTAGAAGTTGAGAAATTTTTACGCTTATTGGTCGCAACTGTGTGCATGAGTTGAATAAGTCAGTATTGTAATTCTGCAATATATATTCGGAAACATTCTATGATGCATTGTTTTCCAAGAAATGCAGTAATAATAAACGCGTGAAGATTGTCAATCTCCTCAATTTGGAGTGAAAAAAAGCAGAAAATTGTCCGAATAAAGAAATGTCAGTATTGTTCAATCTACAACACAAAGTGCAAAGCATATTTTCTACAAAATAGATGAGGAAGCCAAGATTTATGTTAGAACCTGCGTGGCACTTCATTTCATGCGTTTTAACATGATTTACAAGTAATTAAAGCGAGAAAAAATACGTTTAAGCTTGTTAGTCCTGTTTACCCATGTATTGATTTCTGAATCTAGCCGTAAACCCTAGCGTCTCAATTTTGGAAAAAAGGAATCGCAATTTGAACAAATTTTACAACTAGATGTAGTTCCCACTATATAATTTATTTATATTTCATAAATGAAAACAAGCACACTTTTATAATGAAAAATCAGAAAGAATCATAATACATTTGAATATGAGAGGATAAATTGAGTAATGCGAAGCAGAAGCAAATTTTTGTAGATAATGAGCACTCCGTCATTGTGTAACATACAATCGACATTCTCTTCAATCAATGTAGTTGGAATGAAAACAAACAAATATTAGTTTTGCAGAGACCGTGGAAAGTGAGAGAGGACAGACTTTTGTTTATCAGATTTGATAACGATCAGGAACGGGCTCAAACGAAGATTTATAGTAGATCGATTGATGCAAAAACAAATGCTGATAATCTGTGTGAGCAATGTGTAGTGGTGCTCACATTTTTATCTAATTTTGGTTTTGGAACTTTCAAATTTTACCATTTCTTTCATATGATGAGGATGTCACTGTTACTTCAAAATCAACTACGATTCTCGGAGTTCAGTGTATTTTTGTTGAGCAACTAGTTTATAGTAAATCACTTTGAAGACTTGGTTTTTTTATCGACCGAATTATGAAAATATGCAGAAAAATAACGAAAATCCATGTGACACAGCATTTTTCTCCAACGACCAAGTTAAGAAAGATTTACGGAGCTTGCAAATAATTGCTAAAGTGTGCGTCATTTTATCTCTTTTTTTTTTGAAGTCCGTCGGAATTTTCATTCTGTATATCAGGTTTGGCAAAGCCAGCACACAACATCGGAAAGAGCAAGTGACTTTTATGCATAGATCTTTTTGGTTACCAATTCTCTTATTAAATTCTTAAGGCTTTTCTGTGTGATTCTTATTTTTGGGGGTTTTTAGTTAAAAATGAGTCGATATTTGAAAAAGTTGCAAGTTTCAACTTTTTGCAGTGGCTCATATTTGCCTCTAGAAGGTATTTGCAATTTTTTGCAGCTCATCCTTACGCAACATAGCCCTATTCCAGTGTTGAAGAATTCGAGCGAAATTTTGAGTTGTCCAATTCAATGATTTATTTTTCATAAATGACCGGCATCTTGAGGCTCTGCGAAACATGTTTGTAAAGCATTCGAGTCGCACAACCTCGTCTTTTAAAGCATGGCAGTTCCACACTAATTCATTCTCAGAAAGTTCATGAAAAGGAAAAAACGAATTTTGAATTGGCCTATATAAAAAGTGATTGCATCTTCTTTACAACAAAGACAGGAATTTAGAGCTACAAGAACGTAACACTAGCTTCCAGCTCAATAAGCTAGCATTATTGATTTTTTGGAACTGCATGACAGCGGTTTAGTGTTGTAGAATGAGTTTCACAATTCATGTGTAGTGAATTGCAAAACTGCAGAGTACGAGGCAAACGTAGTGCTTTACATTTCTCTGAATGAAGTCGGGGAGGTTGTGTTATATGCGACGAATGGATGAAACAGAATGAGTGCGAGAAAAATAGAGAGCAATTAGCAAAGCACATTAGATAAATTTTGTGTTGATTCAAGCCATGTTTGGTTTTTTACATTTTTTGGTGCTTTATTCAGCATAGAGTAAATAGCGAACATGATTCTCTCAACTTCCCAGTCACCAACTTGGGAATGATAAGGCAGCAACAAGCACACTTATCTATCGCTCACCGGTTGTGTGCTGCCTGAAAAATTCTAAGGATATTCTGAAACCTTGAACGAGAATTTTGCTATTGAAAACCCATTTTTTCCACAAACTCTACAAAATTATGTCGACAAATTTTTGTTTGTTTGAAACTTTGCTTGTTTTCTCTAAAACTCTACGTTGACGCTGAGAATTTTCTTGCAGTTTATTTTAAAAAACTCTTCGCTTTGTATAGCCTTTGCTTTCTCTCGGGAAATAAAAGTGCTAGTATTTTAGATGATTCAACGGTTGCTCCCATTATGCTTCGCACCTTCATTACGTTCGAATGCACGTTCAGTACATACTGAAACACTGCCATTGAATGAAGTTCTAGAAGGCCTAAATCTCAGGAAAACTTCTTATCAATATTTGGTATGGTGTGACCAGCTTACAGAGTTTTGTGAAGTTTACTATAAATTTCTGATTTCAGTATTATTTACTTTTCTCGATTGAATAACTTAACATGGAAAAACCTATGTATCGGCGCACCCAAGTATTAGTATCAATAATTCTCGTGCTAGAGTAAAATTCCATGGTTAGAAGTAAGATAACAAGATTGTAAAGAAGTTCAAACTTTCATAGATTGTCCACTAGAATAATATCTGAATTTTAGAGATGCGAAAATGGCTTTTGAATGCGCAGTTTCAAAGCAAATTTTTTATACCAAGATTTTTGGTCAAATTTCCCAGAAAAGCAATAATTAGGTTGTCCCGAAAGTTTTGTCCGTTTTTTCAACCTATCATAAAAACGCGTAGAACGAAGATAGGGAAACGCTCTAAGCACTATCCGACGCATGTTTTCCTTCTCTTTCTAACTGTCATGATTTCGTGCCAATTAATCTTTTGCTCACTGAGATAAACGCCGAAATTTCGAACCCTGGTTTTTACTATGTCCAAGTTTGGCAATTTATCACAATTTTTTCAATTCTTGACTTTCGGAGAAGCTTTGGCAACAGTTAGATAGAGCAAATAAAGGGCAATATAATGCAATTTTTCGGCATCTATAGCCAGCCTTGAAAATTTTTTAGAATTACTTTTCTGATGCTATCAAATTCCACTTTTGGTGATGCCAAAAGTCAGAGATCATGAAACGGCGCACAACTAAGGTGTTATTCGATGCAGCTTTTCCTCCTCTTTCCAGTGAGTGTATTTCCTCTCCAATTTGCGGGGTCTTTGGCGATAGAATTTTCATAATTCCTGAATTTGACCCCGCCCCAGCGTGTACGTAAAATGCAAAATGTTATATTTCGAAGCGATAAACGCTCATTTGCTTCGTAAAAATAGTGAATAATTGTAATCGGTTTTTGAAAGCTTCAAAATTCGATGATTTGTTAGTGTCCGAGGCGTTTCTGTATTTTGGAACTTCGCAAAAGTGAAGAATTTTGAAAAAATTATCTTTAAAAATATTGAAAAGCCAGCTAGATAAGCCAAATAATTGCATTGCATTGTCCTTTGCTTACTTTATCTGAGGGCTATCAAAGTTCTTCTAAAAGTTGAAAATGAAGATTGTGAAAAATTGTCAAACTTGGACTAGTAAAAACCATGTGTTCGAAATTTCGGCGTTTATCTCAGTAAACAAAAGATTAATCGACATGGAAGTATGACGTTTAGAAAGAGGAGGAAAAAATGCGTCGGGTAGTGCTTAGAGCGTTTCCCTATCTTTGTTCCACTTATTTTTATGATAGGTTGAAAAAACGGACAACTTTCGAGACAACCTAATATAATTTTTGTGAAGATTTTGTGAATAATGAGTGTCACTTCAATAATTGTAAAATCATGCAACATTATCAGTGAATTTCTAGAAATCATACTTGAAAATATGGAGAACTCATAGGCTGAGAAATTGAAAGTTGTATTGAATTCATTCAGGCTGCAGGAAAACGAGTCGTTGATGCATATGATTCGAAAGCAGAAGTCGAAAAGAAAAATTTGCTACTTGGGATTGCTAACACATGTGGACCAGAATTTGCAGCGCTTGAAAACGCTATATTACTTTACAAAAAAGTAGGCGACCCTGTTTAGCAGAATTGAAAATAAAACTTGAATTTCAGAATCCGGCTATGGTTCATGAAGTTCGGGAAGCAGCGACTCCTGTACATTTTCGGCTTTTACAGTCAATCGGAAATCTTCCTGGAGGGATTCGAGTGGTCTGCAATATGAGAGCACATCTTTTGGTTAGACATTCATTTTCCATCAATGATTTTCCTACCTTACGGTTTGGTAAATTTTTTTGTAAATTTCATCATCCAAAAATTTATTGTGACCTACTCTCGTTTTGGAAACCCAACGCATATATTATTCTTTGTTTTAGCACCTAATAAAAAACGAGGACGACAAAGCAGCCGTTTCTGCATTCCGCCGCCTAGAAAGATCTGCGCGGGAACTTCTTACTTTATGGTTTTGCCAAAGTAGCTTGAAACTCGAGCGACTGACATGGCAGTCACCAGCAGACATCCTTCAGAAGGTAAGCCTTGAAATGTCATGGGTCTCTTATCAAGTCAGCAATTTTCCCTTTTACAATTCTTTTCCAACTTTTTTCAGGTTGCAGATTACGAAGCAGTGCACCCTGTGGAGGGCGTGACAGATATCAAAAAACGTGTTGGCTTACATAGGAGGTTATCTTTTTTTTCTAAAGCTGAAATTATTTCTGACCTTGAAATTACGGTAGCTTTGGGATTCTTTTGCCAGTGACCACTTGAAATTGAAAGATTGTTAATATTACCATTTCCAAAATGTATGCATTCAGTGGTTGGCACATTACCTTTGTTAAACTTATCTTTCAAGAAAATATAGAACTTTTTGGGAACTGAGGTTGAGTGCTTTTGACAGTCGCGAAAAATCACAAAGTACTCGCAAATTTATACTATTTCAAAGTTTCAAAATAAGAAAAGTATTTTACAAAGCTAATATGAGATGTGATTCTCTACAAGAAAGTCTTGGATTTCTACAATACATGATTGCATGATTCTGTAACATATACAAACTTCTACAACTTTCCTGTATTTTTTTAGAGGGGCTGGGAGAGAATAAAATTGTAAAAAATTGCTTTGAAAGAAACATTTTGGTTGAAGTAAAATTAATAAGAAGCCTGTTCTTACTTGATGAGCTTAGCACTATCTGTACTGCCTCTATAATAAGGAAAATGTTTTTTAGATGCTTCTACTTCTCCCACGAAGCCTTGCCTAGGGAGCCTTTAGTTATTGTCCACGTAGCCCTTTTAAACGAAATCGCAGACAACGTACAGGTATATCAACAATAGAATTTTCATAATAAAAATCAAATTACACGCAACTTTACTTTAGAAGATTGTGGAATGCGATAAGGTTGACTACTTGGAGGAAGAATGCAGCACTGCAATCTACTATTCCATCAGTTCTGCTGAACCAGGTACCTTTCAAATCTTATTGATTCATCTCTTCTCATTGAAACATGCTTTGTTTTCTATGCTTTTCTATGCTATGTGCTTTTTTTCAAGGGATGATAGAATCCCTCCTCGTTCCCATCCACAGAATGAAATCAAATAATTAGAAGTTTGGAAACTTCAAAATAAGCAACAATACTTCGCAAGCTTAGAATCACTAAGAAACGCGCATCTAGCTCCTACCTTCTGCTTGCAGAAAAGTTCATATTTCTTGCTTCTTTTCCCTTTCTTCCTCCCTCATACAGCCCCCTACCCCCTTCTCGTTTGAGAAGTCGGCTACTTATCGCTAATTGCAAAATAAAATCATAAAATCATATCGTCATTATCCTCTCGATGACAACGCGTCGCAATGGTGCGCGGTACCTCAAATCCAATTTCAAGGTATCCAATCGTTCTAATTTGAGTTCATACAATTACTTTAGGCTATGGAGAATTTCATGTGGGGCCCCGCCAGTAATTTGGCAAGCTCCGCCCCTCCGTTGCTTGCTACAAGTACCTTTTTTCCTCCTTTAAGCGCATAGAAGGGGCCTTAATTGACCGCGCAACCTCAAGCGACTTCAACCTCGGCCCCGCCCTCTATCAGGTGCGCTTGCCCCCTCGGTGGCAAGCCACTTTTCAAAAATGCCGGAATTCGCACCAAAATCTTTTCGAGTAGGCTTGGTTTGCCAAAAGGGGCGGAGCTGCCCCGCCCACTTGTAAATCTGTTCTTCACGCATAGGCGCATGCTTACGACATGCAATAGGCTTAAAAATGCTGGGAAACGGTTCCCCCACAGGAACAGACACCAAAGAAATGGCTCGTCGTCAACGTGTTAATGCAGAAATTTCCGAAAACTACAGTAAAATGAGGGCTTCTCTTATACCTCATGCACGGGAATATTTTTTTGTGCAAGTATAGGTTTGCAGTTCCGCATATCTGAAATATTCAAGGTCTGAGCGGAATTGATCTCGGCAACATGCTAATCAAGAGAGTTGCCACTCGACTTCAAGGCGAGCTTCCTTCACTCAAAGTTCACTCAACCCTATCTCCAATTCCTGGTTTTCGCGCTTGGATGCTTCGATGTTTGCACATGAATTCGCTTTTTGGTAAGAATTTGATTGTAGCAATTTATAATGGTGAAACATTTCAAACTGAGCTGTGAACGCAAGATATGCTATGCACATTCATGCGTGCAAATAAATTTAAACGATTTTTGCGAAATTGCCACCTCGAAAATTCGATGTTGAGCACTTTCGTCACACGTCAGTTTCTTACAGCATAACCTCTTACTACATTATCACTGCCAATTATTGCTATAATTTTTTTTACATGCAAAAATTGTTTTGCCCAATCAAAACAGTTGTTTACGCAATTTTATAGCCCACTTGAACAAGTTTACAAAATTTTCAGACCGTTACAAACATACTCAAACGGATAAATTGTGCTGTTTTTTGACTGAAAAACGTCGATTGATTTTTAATTAATTTGAATAAATTCTAGTTTTAGACAGTTCAAAAGCTAATGCGCAGAAATAACACAAAGTAAAGGGCCGGGCACACTTTACGCGATTTGGCAGCATTCCAGCTGCCTATAACTCACTGCAAGCGCATTTCAAATGTACAGAAGATAGGGCATTTTATCAGCCCACGTAAATTATACCTTGTATGCATGTACCCTTTGCTATTGTTGAATTTGAAGACTTCAGGCGAATTGCCAAATCGCGTCGCGATTAAAATCGCGTGAAGTCTGCGTGGCCCTTAAGACTTACGCTAGAATTACATATTTCATTAATAGTTTCACAGTTTTGTCAATAGATTTAGAGAATAGGTGAATTAAAATAGGGATGGAAGCAATAAAATGCAAACTCTTACCTTGTAAATTGCTAGCCACGGATCCAAGCAAATCGCATAGCTGTCCAAGATATTTGTGGGCTCTTGACTCTATGCCAACAAAAATCTTGTAAAATGTTCTAATAGAACGTCTCTTACCCTGGAGAAATAATTGCACATCCAATTTTTTTGTAGTCTAGACTTTAGGTTCCGTCATTGATGACAAGGTGCTAAAGCAGATCTCACAACTCTCTGATAAGAAAGCTACGGCAGAGGAGGCAACCCAATTTCTCCTTGACGTAAGTTTATTGGTTTTGTGGTCATGGATACGTTGGTGTAACTTCATCAGATTTCAACTAAGTGGGCCGGGCATACTCCATGTGATTTCAGTCGCGACGCGATTTGGCAATTCGCCAGAAGTCTTCAGATCCAACACTAGCAAACTGCACATGCATATTGTGTATAACCTACGTGGATTGATAAAATGCCCTACCTTCTGTATGTTTAAAATGTGCTTACAGTGAGTTATGGACAATTGGGAATATTGCCAAATCGCGTCGCGACTGAGATTGCGTAAAGTATGCCCGGTCGTCAAGAAGTGACATATTTGGCTTTCATAATAGGCTATTCCCGAATTTTGAGAATGAAACCTGCTTCTATATTTTTCAGTTTGATACCTAGCATTTATGAACTTAGACAGTGTTTTAATTTCTTTTCAGGTTCTGACCAACCCCGAACCATCCCGGCTGGAACCGCTAAAAGCCATTTTGCTTCATTGTTGTGCACACTACCTTACAGCTAGGCAACAAAATGGATTTGTTTTAAATCCCGTTGGTGAGAGTTTTCTGAAAAGTCTATTTCATCACCAGGGTTTGGGTCCGATGATGATAGATATATTTGCAGCCAATTTTCATCTAAGGAATGGCGCTGAGTTGTACCGGTTAAATTGGATGGGGGACGTCAGTACAAGAGGTTTGGAGAGCAGTCTGGGAATAATGGTAAACTATAGGTAAGTATTTCTCGTAAGGATTGCAAATCACCCTCGTATTTCTAATTTGCTACGACATCCAATCTTTTCAAAGATATTCTAGTAAGTTGCTCATACCTATCTTGATATTTATTAGTGTTTCTTCAACCTTCCATTCATCTAGAATCTGTTAGGATAACGAACTAAAAGTCGCAACGGATGTAACCTTCACTAATTTGTTTTTGGACTTAAAACTTATTTTTAGGTATCGACTGGAAAAGGTCCTAGAAAACAGCGTCCGCTACACTCTCGACAAACACATCGTCAGACATGATAATATTAGCTCAAAGTTGTAAAATGATCTCAATAAATGATTCATGAAGATTTCTGCGTTGCATTATCAGCTTACTGAAGTTCATTTTTTCATCAATTTGATCGGAAATACAACCTTTGAAGTTGTGCCACCTTCAAAATGCATGCAGATACGGTTAAATATGACCGTCGATACAATATCCAAGAAGGCGAGAATGGACTCTACTGGCTCCTTTTTTTCGCCGTATTTCAGCAGAAATTTCCGAATGACTATGATTTCCAGTAAGCACTGTCTTCAGCAGCTATGAGTAGAGTTGATAAACAAGGAATATCTTAAAGTGTGAGCGATAGTCTGCACTTATATAAGTGTTGATCATAGGGCAAAACTCAGTGTAGTCTGTTTCTTCGGTGCGGCTAATTGTAAGTACTGAATCTACTGACTGTCGCTAACACTACGGTGGATAAAGATTCGTCTTCTCATCGACATGCCCCAGTACGTTGAGTGCGAAGCGTGGTCTAGACTCGGCAGTGCGGGGGGCGTTTTGTCGAGACGCAGACTACTTAGGGCCGCATGCACTAACATCCCCGCGGGGAGGGGATCGCAGCTCAAAAGAAAGCTTTATATTTTGAAACTCCAGATACCTGGATTTCACGTTGTGTACCTACCCGTAAGTATTCCTACTACCTTCACTATGAACATGGTGAAGAGGAGCGAGAAGCTGTACGAACCGCATTTTCTAGCTTTTGTGTGATTCCTGATGATCCCCGGCGCTTTTCTTTAAAGTCATTTTTCTTTCTCCGAAGTTAACGAAGAATCTCCAGAGTTGTGCAGATTGTCTAACCCGACAGTGCTAAGCATGCTGCTGCTAAGAACAAATGATGTTTTGAAGTCATGAAATTTGCGATGATCCACAGGTCGAAATCTGAGGCTTACCGAAAAATTCGACTTTTCAAAAAGTCATTTGTTCTCATCAGCAACATGCTTAACACTGTTGTGTTAGATGTTCAGTATAGCTTTGAAAAGTTTTCGTTCACTTCGGAGAAAGAAAAATGACTTTGAAGAAAAGCGCCGGGGATCATCAGGGATCATACAAAAGCTGGAAAATGCGGTTCGTACAGCTTCTCGCTTCTGTTCAACATGTTCATAGTGAAGGGTAGTAGGAATACTTACGGATAGGTACACAACGTGAAATCCAGGTATCTGGAGTTTCGAAATATAAAGCATTCTTTTAAGCTGCGATCCCCTTCCCAGCGGGGAGGTTAGTGCATGCGGCCCTTAGAGTCCGACAGTCCCCTCGCCGAGTGGGCGATGCCACCAACTTCAGATGAGCTGGCAGTGCGCGGGTGCTCGGTGGTTCCCCCTCCAATCATGTTCCCTCACATTTATGATATATGTTGGATCGCCTGGATCGCGGAGATCGTGGTTTCATTGGCGGGAAAAGGGCCGATTTGACCCTCTCAGCAGGATATAAATACCGGTGGATAGGGGAGCACAGAGCGTGAAGAGAGGGCTTCAGGGAATTTAAAAGAGCCGTCGAAGAGAGGCGGACCTCCTCCCTTAGATAGAAATAGATAGAAAGCCCTGCTGAGCGGGTCAAATCGGGTCAGAAGGGCCCCATAGTTGTTGTTGATTGTTCAAGTTGTTCAAGTTCTTCTTGTTCGTTGTTGCCTTAAAGATAAATATCTTTACTTTAGCCATGTCTTTCTTGATCGATCCGGTTCAAACCGTTAATACCCACGGCCACCCCCATATACATATACGGATAAATATCTAGTCAGAAATTTTTATATTAGTACAGAGCATGAAATGAGGGTAGATAGATCAGGTTACGAGAGTAATTAACTTGTTAACTTGACATCGATTTTGTCGAAACGTAAGGCCAATAAAGAATTTCACCGTACAAACCTGGCACTGGCATAATGTCATATAACAAGTACTAGCACCATTCCGAATGTCCGTTCAGAGAAGGGAGACATTTATTTTTTATTTTATTTATTTATTTATTCAATACGCTCTTGGCGTTCCTTACAAAACGAACAAAAAAGAACATGAGTTATTCTTACAACCGCAATCAAAGTCTACCATGAAGATTAGGGCCAAACTTCAAATTGGTTAAGAATTATATGTTGACTGAGCTTGTATGTGACTGCTCTAGATTACACTTGTGGGTCTAAAGATGTGATCATGGAGATGGTACCCATGCCCCCATTATTGCCAGCAAAATTCTCTAAGATATTTTATAGCCTAGGTTTGTATGGTGGATATACTCTCACCATATGATACAAGTAGGACGAGCTTAATAACTCAAGATCAATCTTGAGTAATATGGAGGGTTGTAATGAATCGTATGTGATTGAGAAGATCAGCAAGTTGTTGAAAGCTCTGGAGGTGGTGTTCACGCCTACTCGCTTGCTAGCAAAATGCCCTTGAAGTAGTAAAGTTAGCAAAGCAAGGCTTGGTCGGTAGAGTAGCAAATAACCTTGCCCAAATGATTCCGGGGAGAGACCAATGCTCCGAGAGAATATCGATAGAATTCCACTTATTAACTCAACTAGAGCAATCAGAGGAATATCGAATGTAAGTACTTCTCGTTCCGGAGTTAACCTCAGTTTCCATCTGCCAGGCATTACCATACTCCAACTATTGCAACTCATCGCAAACTCATCACGAACAGAAAATAAGACACTCTCAATTCACCAGCGTTATACGTACTAGGCATCTGTAGTCTGTAAGTGTTGATTCGGAGAGACCAGGTGGCAGACTCGCATGACCACAAAATTTGCGCGAGGCGTGCCCAGGTCCTATGGTATTAGAAATAACTATAGATATCAAGTGTTGATAGGAGGGTAATACGTTGCTGAATGAAATAATCTTGGTTTAAGTGGATTTTCCACATTGTTGTCGCGTCTCACGTGCTCCTTGTTACAAGGGCATCGCTTTATCCGACGGCTAATAGAATGCGCGGGTTAACGCAGTCGCCTCCGGATCTCTTCTTTGCTGTCGCGTCTTTAGCTTTTCGGCTGTATAGCGCGGTAGCGTCTCAGTTCAGCGTTTAACAAACTCTCTTTATCCGTGTCAGGTCGTCTTCTTCGAAGTCTGAAAGATGATTGCAGTCTTGACCTGTGAAGCACTACGCCTAAAGACGTCATTCTCATACTTATTGAGTCTAGATCTCGTCTTATGCACAATTTACAGAGAGGCATGCTGGCAGGAAGCCAGCCGTTGATCTACTATGAGAAAGATGTTGGTGGAGCAGGAAGCAGCGGGTGATTACCGCAAAGATGTTGCGGTCGGATGACACTGAGTGCTGCTCGATTTCTCACGGCTGCTATATACAGTAAGTTACAGTACAGTTCACATAATGATAGAAAGAGCAGGGGATCACTCTTCATTGAGAGACACTCATTCTTACTTTTCATGGTTGGTCTCTTCATGGAGATCCACAAAGTATCTTTTGTGCAAAAATTTCTGTCTTGTGCGCATAAAACATGTGACCTCAAACTCAGCTCCACCATGTGCTTCAATTGGGAACGGAACTTAGGAACCCGAGCTTAATTAGCCCGACTCGAGGAATGCCTGCAGGATACGGTCATGCTCGCTGTCTCCGATTTCCCCAGGACATGGTGATAGTTTGAACCCTACCCCCTTCAGAGTCTTTTTTGAAACCTGCCCAAGAAATTAAAATTGCCTATTTATTTCAGGGCACTGAAACTGGCTCTTAGCCAAAAATTTTCGAAATCGTCGTATATATGAAGGTGAATTTAGGCTCAAACGAAAGAGAAAAACCGCGCCGTCATCGTAGTATATCTATTAATTGAAACTGATTGAACACAACATTTATTGGTTCAAAATGTAAAACTGCAAGAAAATAACCAAGAAACTGTCAAGCCTTTCAAAAATAATTTACTTGAGTGCTAAATTCGGGCAAAAGACTAGGAAATCTCCAAGGAATGACAGTTCAAAGAAATTCGCTATTGATATTGCCGATCAAAGATAGTTTGTAGCGAAGATCATCCTTAATATGCTGTGAGCAACGACCTCAACCCACGGCAAGAAAAGGTGGAAGAATAGTTTGAGGGCCACACTTAATGAAGCATATCAACATCATTTATTGAAAAACACGGCTCGAAAAAACACACTTTGACTAAAAATATTGTTGTTCACTTCTGGCTATGTGCCCATATAGAAGACTTGAGAAGCCGAGAAGGACTTGTGATAAGAATTCTTGGGCGGGCCTTTTAGTTTTGGTCGATATTCGAACCTGTTTTTTTAAAGATTTCGATTTTTTTCTGAGTAATCAAGTAAGTGAGGCCCATTTTGGTCACTGACAGTGGGTGGTATAACTTTACTTTACCAAATTTCGGAACAAGCCATTGGCCAGCTTAGTCCCAAGTTTTTAGGGTGGGCTTACAGTATTGGCCAACACTGTATTACAAGCAGTTGTGTGCCTTGCAGCTCATTCTTTTATCATCGCAGTCAACTAGCTCGTCTAAAGCAGCCGCACATTGTAAAATTTCATGAGAGTACGAGTAGCCACCAGAGGTGCGATAGTGGAAGCGATTCTACCCCTACCTTCACTTTTTAGCTGCTACAGGGTGACCACCTTCACTTTTGGAAAAAAAAAATTTTTTTGCTGGACGATGAAGAACGAAAACAAGCAAAACAAATGCAAAAGAGATCATTGAAAGCATATTTTTATGTATACAGCGTCATAAATATCTAAAATAAACGTGCTTATGAAATAGTGTATTTGGAAATGACAGCGAAACTGTGCGGATTTTATTAAGCAAATTTTATTACAACGTACAGTCAGAAAGTAGGTCGATCCAGGCAGTAATGGCCGAGAACCAGAATTTTGAATAATTAAATAGTGAAAAATGCGAAATTTCCACTGTTATAAATCTGTTGTTTGAAGATGTCAGCACTTGCAACTTTATGGGTTTTGAAGAGTAAATGGTGCTCTATCAGATAGTGAAGGAGTCGAGTCGATTTGAGAGATAGTCGTCGAAAACCAGAATTCTAAAAATTTACGCCATTTTTGCGTGTTTTTTGATAGCTGGCAGTTAAACTCATATAAATCTTCAATGTGAGAGTGTGTGATGCTGCGACGTCAGAGTTTTTATAGGGTAAATTTGCCTTATCAGAATATGTTTTAGCCATGTCAATCCATTGAAACAGCGCCGAGATCAGAGTATTGAAAAAGCAGGTTTAAAAGCGCTTTTCGAAATTCAACAGCTCATAACTTCTTCAGAACTGCATGAATCATGTTGCACTTCATAGGTTAGATTCTCCCCACTAAGAGCTTTCAGATGATATATAATATGCGGGAGTTTAGAGCCTCCTACGAATTATGCCTGTGGGGGGGGGAGCCTTTTCATACCAAAGTCTCCCCCAGCCCACTTTAATTGGAGGAAGGCCGCCAGGGAAGGCTTTGTGATGAAAAGGCTCCCCCCCCCCCCCCCCCACCGGCATAATTCGTAGGAGGCTCTAAACTCCAGCATATTATGTATCATCTGAAAGCTCTTGGTGGGAAGAAATCTAACATATGAAGTGCAACATGATTCATGCAATCCTGAAGAAGATATGAGCTGTTGAATTTCGAAAAGCGCTTTCTTACCTGCTTTTTCAATGCTCTGGATCTCGACGCTGTTTCAATGGACTGACACGGCTAAAACATATTCTGATAAGGCAAATCTCACTCTACAAAACCTGTGACGTCGCAACATCACACACTTTCACATTCAAGATTTATATGAGTTTAACTGTCAGCTGTCAAAAAACACGCAAAAATGGCGTAAATTTTTAGAATTCTGGTTTTTGACGACTATCTCTCAAATCGACTCGACTCTTTCACTAGAGCACCATTTACTCTTCAAAACCCATGAAGTTGCAAGTGCTGACATCTTCAAACAACAGATTTATAACAGTGGAAATTTCGCATGATTTTTCACTATTTACTTACCCTAATTTCACGCGTACAAGGCGCGGTGTGGTCCTAGCTTTCATCGAGCTGCTCAGCCGCTCCAACGTGTTTTAAGAAGCGATCCTTATGCCGTACGATTCGTCAGGCAAAATGCAGCACGGTATGGGGTTCCTTTGGTTGCGAAGTCCTTTGCCGTGTTCGGGCTGGTCGATGAAAGCTAGGACCACCCCGCGTCTTGTACGCGTGAAATTAGGATATTCAAAATCTTGGTTCTCGGCCGTTACTGTCTGGATCAACCTACTTTCTTCGCTGTACATTATAATAAAATTTGCTCAATAAAATCAGTACAGTTCCGCTGACTTTTACTTCCACACTATTTGTATCATACACTATTTGATAAGCACGTTTATTTTAGATATTTATGACACTGTATACATGAAAATATGCTTTCAATGATCTCTTTCGCATTTGTTTTGCTTATTTTCCGCGCACTGGCGGCAAGACCTGAAAGGATAGGCTCAGTCGACGTCAACCCCCCCCCCCCTCCCCCGTCGACGTTTTTGGGAGATGAGTGTCCGGCACTACCACCTTCACTTTTGGCCGGCCAGTGGTAGCTAGGACCATCTTCACTTTTAGGGCATGCACTAACCTCCCCGCTGGGGAGGGGAGCGCAGCTTAAAAGAAAGCTTTATGTTTCGAAACTCCAGATACGTGGATTTCACGTTGTGTACCTATCCGTAAGTATTCCTACTACGCTTCACTATGAACATGTTGAAGAGGAGCGAAAACCTGTACGAACCGCATTTTCCAGCTTTTGTATGATCCCTGATGATCCCCGGCGCTTTTCTTCAAAGTCATTTTTCTTTCTCCGAAGTGAACGAAAACTTTTCAAAGCTATACTGAACATCTAACACAACAGTGTTAAGCATGTTGCTGATGAGAACAAATGAGTTTTTAAAAAGTCGAATCTTTCGGTAAACCTCAAATTTCGACCTGTGGATCATCGAAAATTTCATGACTTCAAAACATCATTTGTTCTTATCAGGAACATGCTTAGCACTGTCGGGTTAGATAATCTGCACAACTTTAGAGGTTTTTCGTTAACTTCGGAGAAAGAAAAATGATTTTAAAGAGAAGCGCCGGGGATCATCAGGGATCATACAAAAGCTGGAAAATGCGGTTCGTACAGCTTCTCGCTCCTCTTCAACATGTTTATAGTGAAGGGTAGTAGGAATACTTACGGATAGGTACACAACGTGAAATCCAGGTATCTGGAGTTTCGAAATATAAAGCTTTCTTTTAAGCTGCGATCCCCTCCCCGCGGGGATGTTAGTGCATGCGGCCCTTAGGGTATTCGGCTCCCCCTCCCCTCCCCTCCCCCCCCCATCGCACTCTGGTAGCCAGCAGGCCTACTTTTTCTACACATCGGATTCGCAAATGAGAAAAGATGTTTGGCGGCCAAGAGCGGGTATCATTGTGGCTGACTGGCCTTTGATGAGAGCGTGTAGGCAAAAGCATAAGGCAGCAAGAGTGTTACCAAGGAATTTGTACTGTTAAAAGCAAGTATTGAGGTTATTGAATCAGATTTACTTAATAATTTTATATCTTGTCTTCTTCCAAAGAGCGAGGAGGTTTTCGAAATTTGCATAATCTTTCTCATGTGAGCATTGCGAAATTACGCATGAAGCAATTTAACACGTTTCGAACCGGTGCTGCACACGGTGCAGCACGCTGCTTTGAAGGAACTTTTTGATGTTAGCAGGAGGTTTTCTTTTAACCCAAGGTTATTAGATCAAAGGCCTAACAAGGGAAGGATACTTGGTGACCGTGGCCTTTTGAAATGTAACGTATACTATTAAATGCACCTTGAAGCGCTGATTCCAAATCTGTTTTCGGTATCTGCTGTGCGGTTTTCCGAAAGAAGTTATGAACAATTTTTGCCACAAAAACTTGCACTGTTTTTGATGCAGGATTTACCAATATCGTTAGAATATTCGCTTACGCACTACAAAAAAGCGTCAAAATAAAGTAAAGCTTCACGTTAAGCTCAGAAAAATTGTCTTTGATAAATCAGAGTCTAAAAAGCCTGGATGCTAACGATTCTGACTGCCTAAATCTCGTAAAATCAATATAGAGAAAAGTCCATAATTTCGTTCACAGAGTCGCACAGCAAATAATGAACATAGGTTTGGAATCAGCCTTTCAAGGCGCATCTACTGGTATACATCTCATTGCAAAAGGCCACGTTCACCAAGTATCCTTCCCTTGTAAGCTTCTACTTTTCAAAGGACTCTGTAGAGTTGTACCGCCAATATTTGTTCAGGAGGTATAAGCACGAATCGAACAACGGTTGCAACGAAGTGCGGCAACGCGAACGACGCGTGCAACGTCGCAAGTTTTCTTTGCTTCGATATCAAAGAGAAAAACCGTAGTTTTAATACTGATGTTTACCGTTTACAACATAGATACTTTTGGATAATATTAGAAACTGAGTTCTTGTTTCTAACTTTCAGGAAAGCATAAAAGTCCTTCTCAAGCGACAGAATTCAAACACTTCAAGTTCACTCAGAACTTTGGTTATGGAACTTATCTGACAAGCTGCTTACAGAAGTTGCACACAAGCTACGAAATAAGGTCTTTTTGTTGGCTAATGGCTGAAAGTGCACTCTTTTTCGCAGCGCGCGATTCAGCGGTCCGAAACGTGTTAAGGACGCAAGCAATTTAAGCCACCATTTGTGCCCCATCATGACACCAGGTACTGCTTGCCAGGACTCCATTCCGTCAATCTCGCCGAGGAGGAGCAGCGTCCATTTTGGTAGCAAAATCTAAGATTGTAGCCTTTTACACCAATGCAAAAATCTAGTACTCAACGCTTTAGCGGTGGAGGTATTGCAAACGAAAAATCTGATATTGAAACGGAAAATCTTCTGCACTGTTGAAATTTTCAATCCAAGTACTTGTACAGTTCTGACAACAAATATCAGACATATAAATTGGACTTTAATGTTAATCAGAACTTTTCGTCAGTGTAATTGATGTATCAGCTGAACAGATTATATCATTATCGTAGAGACTGCTAGTGTTGTTTGTTTCTATCTTTGGGTTTATCTTCAAATTCCATAAAATCCTAAAAAGCTATGTTGTAGGCGATCTTAATAAGAATTGCGTATCCCTTACAATGAGGAAGGTTGCTCCAAGTAGAACAGTTCTGGCTTGCACGTCGAGGTCATGTGGAACTGAAAGAGACTGTAGTTAGAGAAAATCCGTTTGCTCTTAGTGTATATCTCCAAATTTACAACTTAAATGCTTCAGAGCATATTTTTATGCCAATTGCGTTGAAAAGAACCTTGCAATACAATACGCTTATTTCTCACCAGTGCGTCATCTCTGCTTCGCAGAGGCTCGCACTGGCTCTACTATCTGTGTGCCTTACTCATTCTCGTAAAATCGTAGCACTGGAACTCACCGCGCTATGCCGACTACCACGAATAAAATGTAAACAACCACTCATTCAGAAAGTTTTTTTCACGTGAGATCGGTAATTTCGCGTGGATGAAACTTTTCGCAGGAAGAAAACGCAAATATGAATAGATTTTTAAAGTTGTCATGGCTAGGTAGTCGCCATAGAGGTAATAGTAACCGTGAGATACATCTCCGTGTGAAAATCTTCTCAAACGCTTAGCTAGAACCTTGGCAAATTGACCATTTACACAATCAATTCTTTTTGGCGCCGTTTTCGTTATGTAGTAAACTTTCGACCACTTTTTGGGCTAAGCTCCAACGCTTGCACATTTGCTTACCAAACTCATCCACGACTTTGCAAAAAGTGGTGATACGGACCGAATTTGCGGTAGAAAAGCCAGGTGGACCCGTTTGACGCGCAATATCGGAGGGATCCACTCAACGAATCTACTCGTGCTTTTGCATGTTGGACTTTCATGAAGGTAGCATGCGCTATACAAAATTTGGGCTTAGAACGCTGGCGGGAACACGCTCCACGAATTTCGTAACAGACACACTCTCACGCACACACAGACACACAAAGTCACGTAAACATCCTTAGCCCGTTATTATGATTATTTGATTCATATCTCTCCTACATCCATTAGAAGGGAATTAAAAGAAAAGAGAGTAAGAAGGAAAAGAGTTTGTAGTTAAATAATGCTTATGAACGTACATTTTACATTGAATGTATCTGCATCGGTAAAAGCTTCACGCTCGAATCCTCCCCATACCTTCACTATGAGTCCAGTATCGTTTCCTTGCGTGTATACCTTCAATCAAAACATATTTCTACCATAAGAAAGCGGCAGCATCTTACCGTAAACTTCTTATTTTGACAGCAGCACATGAAACAGCAGAGAGGCCCGTTTATTCTAAATATCACCTGTCCATCCGCATTTTTTCCATTGAAGCAAGTAGCAAAGCAAGCTTGTCTTTGTTCGACTGTCCCAACCTATATATGCCTCTCTAACAGTCAATCTTATGAAAAAAGGTTTGCGCACCACATTTCCTGGCGGTGCCTCGACTATAATTTTCGAGCTACAACAACAGCCGCATGCACAAAGTCCGAAACATCCTAGATTTTTTTCAATGATGGGTGATAAAGCAACACAAGTCTATTGCCCACCTCCGGCGCAGCATCTATAAGGCCGTCGCATCCGTATGACTTCCTGAAAGTATCTTCATCCTTTCAGGGCTACTCTTGTGGTTCCATACATAGAAATTTTTTTAGCTTTGATTGGAATTTTAGGATAATGCTTACCGTTACGGTTGGGCTTAATTGTAAAATAAGGCTTGCCTCTGTTTCTATGAATAGCGGCATCACTAGAAAAATTATTCTTTGGTAGCGATGGAGTAAGACAAGGTGAACATACAAGGCTGGCAGAGAATGTTTATGCTATTACTACGTGTAAATGACTTGGGAGTTTGAAGACCCCTCACCTCTGCGAATGCAGAAAAACGCTGACGTTGGTGCCGGTACTTTTCATAAATATATTCTAATATATAAAGAAACGCAAGCGCAATTCAAAAATCTGGAAATAGCGGAAAACCGCGTGGCGTCATAAACGAACGCTTTTGCAAATAACACCTTTAGATTACTGGTTCACTGATTATGTACACTTTTGACCCTCATAGCGAACAAGAAAAAAACAACCGAGTCACGGATTTTAGCGCACAAGCTTGTTAGATTGAGAGTGGATGGAATGGATATGGTGAGCAGTTAATACCGCGGCAGCAAAAAAAATACATATTTATAATCCTTTGTTGCCTAAAAGAAGGTTTTTGCAGGACTATCTTTTATATAAAGCTGAATGTCTGTTTGTATGTTTGTCTGCATGTCTGTATGCACGTAGGTCCCTGATAGAAATTCACGATTACTGATTGCGAATATATCTGTACCGATCCGGACCAAACTTGGCACAGATACACTTCGGGGCGGGGCGGGTGTCGTAAGCTACTCTCCGTTAGCGATCGATATCGATTTTATCGACTTTCATCGATTTTTTCAAAGCTTGACCTTTGGAGCTGAGATTTGGCCCACGGATTAATGGAGCACGCTGATTACGAATACAATATCACTTTTTCAAATTATCGTTACTTTCATCGATTTTATCTATTTTTTGCAAAGTTTGAGCTATGGGGCTGGGAGTTGGCACAGGGGGGGGGGAAGTAAGCATGCTGATAACTAACACAGCGGGAATAATTGGCATGTAGAAGTGGGCCCAGGGAAAGGCTCAAAAGGATAGGGACAAAAGAGACCTTCATTATAATTTTTTGACAGGGCCGGGAGGCGGGTAAGCCAGCTAGTTCCTAAATATGGCAACAATTTTCTCCGTACTGTTGGTTTGGCTACGCAGGAATGTCAAAAATCTAGAAATTGGCGGAGTTTAATTAAACACAAAATTGCGCTTAGAGCTTGCACAAGAGGTGCACGCAAAAACGCGCCTGTATTTCACAGAGAAACGAACTTCGCCAGCCGGTGGGAGCCGTCTGCGCAGACTATTGGTCCTTTGTCGTGCTATATCAAATCATTTGAGAATCAGTAGCCCGTGCGAGGGGCGCCTGGTGGTAGAGTTTCTTCCTCTAGATTCGTATCATTGTTAAGCGGTAACATGGGACTTACATAATCAGCCTTTTTCTCTTTTTATGACGAAAAAACCTACGGGCTAGAAGATGTGATACTCAACATAGTGTCCTTACGGTGCCGACATCTGCCGGCAACTTTTGTAGCTACGCCTGTAATGCCTTCGACTTGCGCGTGCAAATTGCCGCCGTCACAGAAGTAGCTACCTTAATTTCTCCAGTAAAAGACAGTTTTTCGTTTATTCAAGCAAGCAACTCGGCCGCACCACTATGCCTCGCGAAATGGACGCTCTCCCACATAGTTCTTTTGGGGGAAAGTTGATCGCGAGATTTTTTGCCTTACTTAGGCTAGTCGAGTTTAGAAAACAAAACGGGTGCGTCTTGTACTGGTGAAATTAAGGTACTTGTTCAATACATCTAGCATCTTGTCGAAGTGTGAGCACCACAGAAGCACTATATTAAGCGTCAGACAGCATTAGACTTTGCAAAGTTTTGTCAAGAATCTGCGAAGATCTGACAAAAGGTCGTCGTCGCATGCCTCATCGTGTCTAACGTTTCTCCTTTGCTCGACTGCGCCTCCATTTTTCAGCGCTGCCTTCCGAACACTACGCATTTCCAAGGGGCATTCCACGGTCATTTGTTTTTGGTACCAACAATGTATAATTTATTATACGGTTTTAGCAAAATGCATATCATTGCACAGTCCATGTCTTCTTTACTCAGAACTTTTAACATAGCTCATTTGCGCATCCGACAAATCCTGCTTATTTCTATAGTAAAAAAACCTACCTCTTGCCTGTTTGTCTGATTATAGCATGGGCTTTTGGGGTGTTTTTTTTTTCAAATTTTCTATTTTCGTATGCTTTAAGTTCCTACTTGATAGGAAGAACAATTTAGAGAGAACGCCTGAGCTGGAAATGACAATTTTGGACGACTCTTAAGAGACGCATCGAAATGGGTTAACTGCGAGTACAGTTCGCCACGAAAGACAGGAAGAACTCTTTTTTCTGTATTCAATCTTCTCCCCATCCAGCTGCCATAGGCCCCGGGCAGACTTCACGCGATTTGATCGTCGCGACTGAATCGCGACGAGACAACTTTCAAAACATCATTCCATGCCGATCAACTTACATTCGGTTGTGATACTTTTCCAGACCGAAATTTTTGAATGTGAAATGAAAAATGAATGGAAATCTTGGCGATTAGATCGCGACGATTAAGTCGCGTGAAGTCTGACCGGAGCCATATCCAACGTCCTCGATCGTTTTGAGTGTTATTCCGTCATCATGTCATTGAACAGGTGTTCACTAAAAAGTTCCGGTAGGAAAAGTGGAGGTGGCTTCATTTGGTTCTGAGCGGAAGCTTTCTGTGGGTTATTCTCTTGATTTTTGTGATTATCTATACATAATGTTGTAGAGCCGTCATTTATATTGGAACTTGCTCGCTCACTATAGGCTAGGTCGATATGGTCTCTGTGGTTGAGGCGTACCCGCCGCACCTTTGATATATTTGTGTGTTGTTCTCGAGCTATTCCTAGTGAACCCTCGGTATGTACGCCAATAGGCAGAGGGGGGAACTCTTGTGTATTTCTAATAAATCGTCAACGACTCAACGCGTTCTACTACACTAAATAAAACCGAATCTCTGTAAATTTGTCCGTTTGTGAGTATGTGGCTTATAGACTCTTTTGTGTGTGAACCGATGGGCCTAAATCGTCCCCCTACAAAAAAGGCACGGCGCAGAAGGTAGGCTATTTTTTGCGACGATTTGTTAGGCCCTTGAATCGATTTATTGGTTTGTTTACTTACATGAGGGTTCACCAAGCACTTGGATCATTTCCCATAGTCATGTAAGTTGGGAGGTGACTTCATTTACACTTTTCGGCGAAAAGGATCCGGTGTTTCAAGTCTGCAAGGGAGACATCACTTTCCTCGCAGATATAAGAAGAGCGGTAAGTTTCAATGCGTTTGCGACCAAGTAGCCCAAATCGCGGCAGGACCGGGGCGCCTCTAGTGACGGAAAATATACTACGGATAGTTTCATATCCGTTGAAAAAGGGTAGATGTCCACTATATACCAGTACTTCACAACATTCTTCTCGGTTGCTGTTTAGGTCAAGAACAGCTGAGATTATGTGCTGAATTTCACTTCCGCCCAAACAATCTAGATTTCTTTCCCATATCACATGAAGACGCTTTGACATTTTTTCAATGGTTTGAAGTGTAATTGTAGCTACCGCATGACTGTGTCTGGCTTCTCAATCTACTCAAAAGAGTGAGGAGCAGAGGTGCGATAGTCGGAGCCGATTCTCCACCTACCTTCACTTTTGAGCTGGTACAGGGTGACCACCTTCACTTTTGGGTTTGAAAATTTTTTTTTGCTAAAGCTCAAAAGAAGGAAAATAAGCAAAAGGAATGTAAAAGAAAGTATTAAGAGCATATACCTATGTAGTAGGTCGGTCCAGGCAGTAACCGCTGAGAATCAGAATTTCGAATGATAAAATAATGAAAAATCGTGAAAAATCATTCCACTGTTACAAATTTGCTGGCTGAAGATCTCCGCAGTTGCGACTTTATAGGTTTTGAAGGGTAAGTGTTGTTCTACCAGATAGTGAAAATCAGTTTGATTTAAAGAGTGGCCGCCGAGAACGAGAATTTTGAAAAACGTTGAAAATCTTCTCAATTTTAGGTTGCTTAATGACAACTGACATTTAAACTCTTATAAATCCGGACATTGAAGGTATGTGATGTTGCGACTTCGTAGTTTCTGTAGGGTGAGGTTTGCCCTATCAGAACATTTCTTAGCCGTACCGATCCATTGAAACATCGCCGAGATCCAGGCTCTTGAAAAAGCAGGTGAAAAACCGTTTTTCAGCTTAAAACTTCTTCAGAATTGCATAATTCATGTTGCGACTTCGTAGGTTGGATTCTCCTCATCAAGAGCTTTCAGATGATATATAATCTGTGGGGAATTCAATGTTTCTTGCGCCTCTAACCCGGGCTGGAGTACTCCTCTTCACTAATTCTCCACCCCGCCCATTTCAATGTTTTGGTGGGAGGCTGCCAGTGGAGAATTAGAAGAGAGGTGCTCCACCCCCAGACAAATGCCGTGGGATGCGTGAATATCCCACATATTATGTATCATTTGAAAGCTCTTGATGAGGAGAATCCAACCTATGAAGTCGCAACATGAATTATGCAATTCTGAAAAAGTTTTAAGCTGAAAAACGGTTTTTCACCTGCTTTTTCAAGAGCCTGGATCTCGGCGATGTTTCAATGGGTCGGTACAGCTAAGAAATATTCTGATAGGGCAAACCTCACCCTACAAAACCTATGAAGTCGCAACATCACATACCTTCAACGTCCGGATTTATAAGAGTTTAAATGTCAGTTGTCATTAAGCAACCTAAAATTGAGAAGATTTTTAACGTTTTTCAAAATTCTCGTTCTCGGCGGCCACTCTTTAAATCAAACTGTTCTTTCACTCCACTCTTTAAATCAAACTGTTCTTTCACTATCTGGTAGAACAACACTTACCCTTCAAAACCTAAAGTCGCAACTGCGGAGATCTTCAGCCAGCAAATTTGTAACAGTGGAATGATTTTTCACGATTTTTCATTATTTTATCATTCGAAATTTTGGTTCTCGGCGGTTACTGCCTGGATCGACCTACTTTCTTCGCAGTACGTCATAACAAAATGTACTTGATGAAACACACAAAGTCTAGCTGAGTATCGCCCACAAATACACTATTTCATTAACACTTTTATTTAGAATATTTATGCAGTTGTGCTCATCGTATTTGTGGCCCTAAAGAGGGCCGTTGGGTCACAGTTATTGGCCTTAAAGAGGGCCATTGGGTTAGAGCTCTTCAAGTTGTCCGAAGTCATCATCAAGCTTTGCTCTATCGTAGAGAGAGACGCTGAGACGTATATGCGTCCATGCCGATGATGGCCTCCAGGTGCTCGCAGTAGGCGACGGCGACTTCGTAAAAATAAACTACATAGAATATGCTCTCAATACTTTCTTCTGCGTTCGTTTTACTTAATTGCCTTTTTTCAGTTTCACCAAAAAAATCAATACCCAAAAGTCGAGATAAAAACCCGAACCAAAAAAACCAAAAAACCCAAACCCAAAGTCCGTCCTGTGCTCCCCCCCCCCCCTCTCTACCCCCACCCCCGGTTAACGTTTTTGAGAGGTGAGTGTCCGGCACTACCACCTTCACTTTTGCTGGCCAGTGGTAGCTGCGATCCCCCCCCCCCCCTCCCCCCCCCCCCTTCCCCCCCCCCTCCGGTCGACGGACGTTTTTGGGAGGTGAGTGTCCGGCACTACCACCTTCACTTTTAGCCGGCCAGTGGTAGCTGGAATCACCTTCACTTTTGGGAGGGGGGGGGGGCGGCTCCACCTATCGCACCTCTGGTGAGGAGCCATTTCGCTTGAGACTTACTCTGTGGAAATTGTCCAGAATATGCATGGTGAATGAGCGCCTGTGAGCACAGCACATACGTGCCAAACAGCTTGAATCTTCGAAAGCTTTGTAGACCTATAATATTCTCACAGTAAATTTTTTCACATGATGAGCGATGAGCAGCTCAACTCCTTCAAAAATCTAAACTATGCCAATTAACAAAAACTTATTTTGCATCTCAAAGGTTTACGCGTAGGTGCAACTGCTGCATTGCACTGTTGATGAAAAACACATCAAATGTATACTTACCTGCTGTCCATATATATTTTGCAACGAATATTGATTGCAGGTTTCGTATCCAGTGATTATTTCCAGCATCTCGACGAGCTTGAAAGTAGAGCGTGACAATAGAGCTACAGCCTTGTTGTGCATACAGTCTGCCCCAATCCCAACTGGACCAAAATTGGCACATGGTATTCCGTGTCGCGAAGGTATTGCGTCACGTCTAGGCCAGCTAGTCTGCTCTCTCCTAATCTCTTCGCTCTCTGCGACAGTGCGCATATGCAGAGCAAACCCCCAGCGATGCGAGCGAGCAAATTCAGCCGACCGTTTGGCCTGATCCCGATTGGGGCAGACCGTAATTTTACTGCGACAAAGAAAAGGGAAGAAGGTGGTAAAGTGTCAACAGCAAGATTTTTGAAGACATAGGCTCAATTAGTCTTAAAAGCACTCTAGCTTCCATACATTTGAGTTAACCTTAAGTTAAGCGTGCGCGAACGCTGCGGGGCGTTTGGGTCGAGGTTTCTGTATATGTTATATATGGCTAAAACATCCAAATGACGGAGTCAAATTTGACAAATGATGCTCATGAAAGTAAGATGCAATAGTAAAATTGTTGTAACAACCAGTGCGCCACCTCTGCTTCGCAGAGGCTCGCACTGGCTCTACTATCTAACAAGGGAAGTCACTTAACTTAGGTCGGCCTTTTGAAATGAAACGCATATAGTTAGAATCAGCTCGGAACGCTGATTTCAAATATGATGTCCTTAGCTGCGAAGCCTTCCTCTGAAGCGAGCTATGAGCTTTTTTAGTATGTGTCATTGACATATAACTGATTATGGAAAGAGGGCCTTTCCATGAAAATCTGCCCAAAAAGTGGTGGAAGATTAATAACATCAAATTGAGTCATTGGCTTTGATGGGGTGTAGTATGCATTTGAACCACTACCTAGATGATGATACCGGTAGCTTGTCTAAGTCGGTCAACACGCAAAGTTTGCTCAAGAAAAAGCACATAACTCGCTTCAGAGTAATGCCTCGCAGCTATGGAAAGCAGATTTGAAATCAGCGTTTTAAGCTGACTGCAACTATATGTGTTTCATTTCAAAAGGCCGACCTAAGTTAAGTGACTCCCCTTGTAAGTGCCTTACTCATTCTCGTAAAATCGTGACACTGGAACTCATCGCGCTATGCCGGCTACCACGAATAAAATGTAAACAACTTCTCATTTAGAAAGCTTTTTCACGTGAGATCGGTGATTTCGTATGGATGAAACTTTTCGCAGAAAGACAAACGCAAATTTGAACAGGTTTCTGAATTTGTCATGGCTTGGTGGTTCGCCATAAAGGCAATAGTGGCAATAGTGCTCTACATCTCCGTACGAAAATTTTCTCAAATGCTTGAGTAGAACCTTAGCAAATTGACGCAGCCAAATCGCAGCCAATTCTTTTTGGCGCCGTTTTCGTTATGTAGTAAACTTTTGACCACTTTTCGGGCTAAATTCCATCGCTTGCACATTTGCTTACCAAACGCATCCACCACTTTGCAAAAAGTGGTGATACGGACCCAATTTTGAGGGATAGAAGCCAGGTGGATCCGTTTGGCGCGCAATTTTTGAGGGATCCACTCAACGAATCTACTCGTGCTTCTGCATATTGGGCTTTCATGAAGGTAGCATGCGCTATGCAAAATTTGAGCTCAGGATGTTGGCTGAAAACTGCTCTACGAATTTCGTAACAGACACACTCACACACAGACACACACACAAAAACACGTAAACACCCTTAGCCCGTTATTATAAGTAATGATGTTATCCGACCAGGTGAAGCATGCGCCTGCTTCGATCCGACACGTTCAACTCAGACGTTCTCCCAGCTTTCTGTCACGCAGCCGAAATCTCATTCCTTCATATTACGGTGCGTGCTGCGGCAACACGCCGCTACAGCAGCGAAAATATACCCATGCAACCAGAACCTCATACAATAAATCTGCTACGGATGCAACAACAAGTTGATCTACAAAGATCCAGTAAGCTCAGAATGGTAATAGGCGGATTAGCGCATTGAAGTCATTGACCAAGAACTAACTGAAGAGAAACAAGTTCGGTAAAATCGAAACGCAACCAAAATTAACCTGAATGAATGACCTTTGAACATATAACTAAACAAAGCAAAAGAAAAAGAAGGAAGCTGCTAACTCTGAACGAATACTCTCTAAGAATACGAATACAGCAGAGCTACATCGCTATTTCGCACTCAGGGTTCCCTGGGTGAATAGTGCAGACGTCGACAGCTACCTAGAGAGCGCTTGCGCGCATTCTTTCAAAGACTATCCGACCGATCATGGATAAGAATAAATTGCTCAGTCTTTGTGACCCAGCGGAACAAATTGCGAAAGTGAAGCATAGATGGGGCGGTCGTGTCTTGAGGAGAAGGACGACAGATGGACCCCAAGGCCCTGGCCAGACTTCGCTCAAAAGCGCCCAAAAGCGCTCAAAAGTGCGCAAAAGCGCTCAAAAGCGCTCAAAAGCGCCCAAAAGCGCTCAAAAGCGCTCAAAAGCGCGCAAAAGCGCTCAAAAGCGCCCAAATTTCTCTGGTGTCTCTTCATTCTCGTGTGAGGAGAGATGAGAGAGAGAGAGTGAGGAGAGGTTAGAGAAGTTTGGGCGCTTTTGCGCGCTTTTGAGCGCTTTTGAGCGCTTTTGGGCGCTTTTGAGCGAAGTCTGGCCAGGGCCTAAGAAGATCAGAGTGAATTCCTTGCGACACTTTACGAGGAAGGTCACCAAGATCGGCAGACGTGATCGTGGAGCAGATGGGAAACCAGTTGGATACGAGTTCTGCACCAGTCGTGAATGCAGCCACATACGACCAACAAGAACATCGCGCGTGTCAGAAGCGAAGGATGAAATTAGATAGAAACTTCTATAGTGGACCTGCACGCCAATACAAACTGGCCATTTCAGCAGCGGTTGAGCTAGGATGCTCCAAGCGATAGCAAACTTCTTTATTACGACTTATAATCCGTTTAATCTGAAGTTGTGTGAAGTTTGTCCGTTACGAAATACACTGAGGAATGATTTACTATACTGTAAGCATGTGATATTTGATAACGAAAGTGGTTCACTTTCAACTAGCGTTTCTCGCTTCAAGCAACTTTGGAATGATGTGAGAACCAAGCTATTGAAGCGTAGGTCTAATACCTTCAGTGATGACCAGTGCGAGCCTCTGCGAAGCAAAGGTAAAGCAGCGGTTATAGAAGAATTGTGCTACTCTTCGCATCCACTATGCACCATAAAGCAAGTCCTGCATACCCATCATTTCTTTAAGGAAACGCGAGATAGATGTTACAATCGAGAATAGTATCTCTGCCTTTCAAGGCCACTAAAAGTACCCTCGTAAAGAGTGGATTGTTTGGCACATGTCCTCTGAGAGATTTTCCTAACCCACCCTTCACTGTTTTGGGTACATTCTCTTTCTTCTAATAATCCCTTTGACTGTGAGGTACACACACATGGGAAGAAGATATCGGGATAAGATTGCGAATTTATAAAGAAGATCTTGCTGTCGTATTCTTTGCGGACCACATTTATACGAAGTCTGACTTCGCATCAAACCGCATCAAAATTTGATCACACAACCGCTGCTTCGAATTTTCTAGCAAAAGCATAATTATCACAACTTGAAGCAGGAGGTCGAGAAAATGCATAAGCTGGGAACGTGCTTGGAGTGATTTGCTAAGTCAATTGAACCTCACCTGATAAACCACAATTTCATCCACCGCAGCTATATACTCCAATCCAGGAGGCACGCCTTGCATTGAAGGTGGCATTGGCATCCAAACAACTATAACAGGGCTTTTACGCTGCTGTGACTTTTACATTTACCTCCTTTGAGTCAATTGAATCCGCATCAAAAAAAGGTAAAAGTGATTTTTTTCTTAAGATCACCTGGACGTAGTGCTCCTGTTCTGGGCATGGGTTGGTTCGTTATAACACCGCCAGCTGATCGTACAGGCTCGACATATGGAGGTACTACAGCTATAGGAGGTACTATAGGAGGTTCGGTTGACACAACAGGCGCATTGGATGGTTCCAAAGGGGGTTCAGCTGTCTCCATAGGCTCATTGGATGGTTCTGCAGGGGGTTCAGCTGACTCCACAGGCTCATTGGATGGTTTCACAGGGCGTTCATCTGACTCCACAGGCTCATCCGACTGCTGCATAGGTGGACGTTCGGGAAGGAAGTGGACTATAAAATGAAAGAATGAACATCGCAAGGCTCTTTTTATGCACACCCGTAAAGAAAACAATAAGATGATTTGATAAAAAGATATGCAGAAATCGCACAGCGACCACTCATGCAGAAAGTCCATACTTCAGTTTGGAAGACAGTAAAAAGCGCGGATTGCTGGCTGTCATTGAGAAAAGGAAAAAAGTTCAAAATTGTGTTCTTGGAGTTTCTGATGCGCTCCCTACAATCACTGAAAGGGAGATCACAAATTCAAAACGTAGACGTGTAAGAAATTGGTAGTTCTTTGCAATCCTTTTTGTAATCGTCATCGTAAAGTAAGCAATAGCTCTGGCTTATTGTGGCGGATTATCATCCTTTAGACCTCAAAGCATTAGCCTCGAAGTTTTTGATGTTTTGATGTGAATAATGCGTATGCTGTAAAAATGAAATTGAAGCAGTGTTACCAGTACAGTTCTTTACGTTTCTTTTCAGAGAGAATTTGAAATTTATTTTCAAACAAAGAAAAAATATACTTACCTATGAAAAGTGTACGAGGATCTGTAGCCAAACCTTTCATTTGTCTGCATTTCAATCTTATAATTTTTTATATAGCTATCAGCGCACCAGAAAATACTACGCTTAGAAAAAGCAAGTAGAAAAATTTGCGTTCATTTTTTCTGGAAGGAATGAAAGTGTGTCGATAGTTTCTTTTAAGAGGCTATGTTACGCGGAAGGATTCGAGGAAAAGTACTTCAAATGTTTTGCTATCTTCTAACCCTTATTGAAAGAGGAAGGGTGGCTTCCCAGCAAAAAATTCTTTTCAAGGTGATTCGAATGTCTGGATTTTGAAATTAATTATTATGTGCTAGAAAAAATCGTGTAGGCGAAGTACCAAACAAGATTATTTCTCTTGCTCTCTATTCATAAAGCCACCATACGACGACTTGAAAATCACCTACTAATAAGAATGCTGCCTGGATTTTGCAAGACTGATCATTTGTATTGTAGCTAACGATCAGACTGGGAACTTCTAGATTCTGAAAAGTTTTTTTTTGTACCTCCTAAAGTGATTTTTGGAATTTTTGCGGAATTTTAGACACATTTTTCGTAGATGAATTGGTAAACTTTTGAGTAAGAGAGCAACAAATTCGCTTCTATCCTTTATTTTCTTTTTCATTTGCAATTTTGGTATAAAATTCGAAGCCCAGGATTTAGGTAGATTTAACCAGTAAAAATAGCATAAAAAAGTTTTTTTTGACAATTGGGAGTAAATTGACTCCAGTCCCGAATGTCAGTCTCCTTATTTACTTTCTCAAATTCGCCTTTTTAGCAAAGCCAAATAATATGCTAGTGCACGCAGAGACTGGACACCGTTGTGTCTGGCTAAGATAGTTTGTGCATGGGATAGAAAGCAGACAGCTAGAGAAATGAAATAGCTCTCGATCAGCGAGACGCCGACGGTGTCCGTAGCGACACCCTGTCTTTGCGTGCGATGAACTGCCTATACCTGTTTTGGTTCATTTTTCTTTTCTACAGTGCAATTATCATGACCCCTTCAGCAGTTGCAGTTGAAGAACACTTAGAGAACAAAATGAGCATACGAGACGTAAGTTCCTCCTATAAATATGTTGCAACAATTCCTTTTCAAAACAGTGAGTGAAATTGCCATTTAGGAACTGAGCGTTTTATTGCTCAGCCTAAATCATCACTAAATTGTTCGAGAAAGTAAGAGACGCAATATTCTTTGATCTATCTATTTTCAAAAGAAGAAGTGTGACTTTTTCAAAAGAAGAAGTGTGACTTCTAGAGATCATGTTGGCGACTCTATTGCCTTTCCTATTGCGCGAGAGGCTTTATGAAAGTAAGTTGACGTCAACCAAGTGTTCCTTTTCCGCAATAGATACGCGTCCGCACCGCAAGGGTCTAGCGCTGTGACCCTCGATCGATGAGGCTAGTTTTGAATGCGCAAGCCATCGCACGCGAACGCGGCGCGAGGCTCTGGGGTTGCGATTTTGGCTGGAAAAGTGAGCACGAAGTTGGTACGGACTGTAAGCGATTCTTCTCCAGTTTCTGCAATTGAAGCATGAGCACACTATCAGACCAAAATTTACAAATCCACTATTTCGCTAATCGTCTTGCCTTCCAACCAATATGGCGATATTTGAAGATTTTCTTAAAGCTTTGGCTATTTTTGTAGCTTGACTTTCCACTTTTCAGAGTACAGCTTTTACGTTCAGTTCCACCGTCTGTAAATACACTTGTGCTTGATTTTGAACGCATTATGTTTTCCGATCGTGTGTTATAGTTCTCGAGTCGTAATTACCGACTACAGATGCAAACTTCTTGAGGGTCTTTGAAAGAATCTATGTAACCTCTTCTTTTCTAAACACACACTACCCAAAATTTTAGCCAGCATTTCTACTTTACCTCCATCCCCACCCGCAAATTTAGGCGTGGGGGGTGCTTTCTGTGCTTGTGAAGACAAACATTTTACCACACGCCTACCTGCTGTCCTACTTTTATTCTAGTACCACGTGTTTACAGCTAATGCTTTGCTATTGATATCCTGCCTTTCCCTGCATTTGTCACGGGGACTATTTGAATTATAACTTAATTTATCCTTCCAGATGCAACTGGCTGAAAAGGCGTCGCAAAAACGTCCTCTTTCTTTTTCCGATGATGCGTATGAATGGGATAGCATACGGGATGATGTTCCTGCGGACAGTTAGTTTCATATCTGTTTTTTGGCGTATAGTAGTTGATTTGAAGAAAATATTCTAAATCAGAGGAGGAAGAATATGGAATACTCACATAGAGTGATCGCATTCGCTACAACTTATGTTCCTTTCAAATAGTCATAATAGGAACTAGATTCTGACAGGGGATGCTTTTTTCTTTTCTTTTTCATTTACTCAATCATGAAAAAAGATTTTGTTTACCGCTGACGTCAAATTTCCAATGTTGGTCAATTCGGTCGTTAGTTGTTACTGGGCTAATTACCGCCTCTTTTTCATTAAGTTCTTAATTTTGACAACTAGGAAAGTTTGCATCTAATTTTGGCAACTAAGAGAACTACAACACTTGAAGACTGAGGTCGACATTACAAGGAAAGCATGTTTAGTCGAAGTGGCCTTTTTAGATGGGATGTATACGGCGGTCGGGCAGGAGGCAGCAAAGGCTCGCCGCTTCTGCTTATGGAAGCACCTGGGGAATTTCAGACTTCCTCGCGCCTCTAAATACTTCTTCGCACTCCTAATCACTTGATATAACCTATGTCAAATTGATCGTTGATTTCTAAAAGCGTTGCAAGTTTCGAGATAGCTTTTATATTCTAAATTCATAGTGTCGGGATACGATGAGTCATAATATGTCGGGATGCCCGATATACATCCTCCCACGTTCAAGCCCGATACCAACCTCCCACGACTCCCGATATATCCCTCCCACGTCTATCTCGTGTGTAACAATGGATGCTGGACCTGGTATAAAAGGAGACAGAGTAAGCACACCGGACGGAGCCTCCACACAGCCTTCACTATCCCCCTCCCTTCCCCCTCATTTTATAATCTTTATTATGTAGATAAATATTTATAATAGATATTGTACTACCGTACAACCGCTACACACTCAGGCAAGGGTCTAGCTACCCCTTGGTCCTGACATGGAGGTCCCGGGGAGATTTACCTAAATTTGGGTTGATTTTTTTGATTAAATGACTTGATTTTTTGGAAAGCCTCCCCCCCCCCCCCCCTCCCCCTCCGTCTTTCCTATTCTTCGTCTTATACTAATTCTTCCGCAGACGGACGCGTCAAGGAAGCTCAGACACGTAAGTTCTTTTATAATTAACAATGATGTGTACTAACAGTGTGCAGTCGGAAGATTGCGAAATTAAAGTCCTGCGGGCGAGTACCTATAGTTGACAAGTACATTATATATTTTTTTTTCTGATCAGTGCAGGCATATAAAAGGCAAAAACTTTGGCTTGTCGGTGATTTTTGCTGATTTTAGCAGTGATGCATCTGAGAAGTAAACTTGGGTTTATTTTATGATAGGAATTATTTTTTTAGCTCACCTCATAGTTGATTTGTTGTAAAGCAAATTTACCGTGATCCGTGACCTACGTAATTAGGATAAAAGTGATACTCTATGAAGTTTTGCGGATTTATAGCTAATCTATTGAGGTAATTGATTTAATTCTGCGCATGAAATTTAGTATCAAAATTGATTTTGATTGCTGACGTATGAAGTAATTTGAAATAAATATTAGGTTCAATAGGACTCGCTCGCGAAAACCGGTAACGTACGTTTTAAACTCATAAGGTTGGCTATACGATTTATAGCACGCGGAAGTGCTCTGAGCCATTTATCAGATACGCTTTGTGCCGCGACGATGTTTTGCGAAGTGATCATTAATCCCGCAAGCAGCGCAACCTCAAGTAGCAATAATTTATTGGATGATGAAATCACTGGTACTATGGGGAAATAACTCGCTCTACCTGTGCAATTGATAGTCGCGCGCAAATTGCCAGTTAGAACAAATCTTTTTTTTTGCGAAGAGATCCACAATCAATAAAGTATGAACATATGGCCGCGAAGTCAGATTTATCCCAGCAATCACGGCTGCAAGTTTACGCGTCAAGCATACGCTGTGACTGAGAAAAACTCGCACAACGCTTTGGAGTATGTAAGGCCCACTTTCTCCTTTTTCGATAGTGCAAGAAAATTATAAAACTATTTTCGCGTTAAAACATGAAACATAATTCCTTATTTTGGAACGGCAGCAGGGATCGAATAGTCAAACAAAAAGTATATATAGGTTGAGCTTCATTTGATATCTTGAACCTCATAAATGTAGGCAGATCAAGATTACTTATTAGTTAATTTTACTTATTAATTCAACTCCCGATAGCTTATTCTAACATTATTCTATTAGGATTTCTCCAATTTTCTGCACGGTTAGCGAAATTCGAAAAAAAAATCTCTAATTGAAATATTTTTTTTACATCTTACCCTTCAAAGTTGTTCTCTGAGCCATTTCAACATTGAAAAAAAACTTTGAATGCATAAACTTCTTTTGCTTACAAAAACGTTTCTAAAAACGCTTACGATAGTGTCGTTGCATGCCAGCAGAGATAGCAGATGCCAGCAGATGCAAAATAGAACCTGCAAACTCGTTTCTATCTGTCTCAATAAGGATATCCCAATGTTATTACTCTGTTCAACGCCGCTCAATGAAACTTCCTACTAGTTTGAAGAAAAATCTAATTTATTCCAGTACAAATGAAAGGTATCGGCGAATTCATCTCACATCAAAATAGACTCATTCAAACTAACAGACATTTTGAATAGGGCAATTTAATGGATTTAACAAGCAAGTAACGCAGGCAGCCAAACTGGGTAAATCTGGTTCACTCTTGACTTTAGCTCGCTAAAGAATTCGCGATAGTATAGTTATATGTAATTTAAAAAAAAAGCTAAATAGACGATTTACAAGTAGATTCGCTTGCCTACGCATTATTTGAATCAACAGAGGCTGCTTGCATCTCTTCGGTCTCTTTCGATAGTCTCCGTTTTGAAAATTTTCAAATTGGGCATAAATGCACAGCGAGCTTGTTCAGTAAAAAGTTAGTAGAACAAAGCAAAGATGGAACATATTTCAAATCCACAACTTATGCCGCTCGTACTAATTATGACATCATGCATAAGCCTTGTAGAACCATTATTCTCGCAAATGCAAAATTCAAATAATTTGCGATGCTCTGTGCAAAGTTTTTGAAAAAGGAATTTTGAAACATTTTTTTTTGTCGAAAGACTAATCTGCTGTAAATGACTGAATGGCGCGAAAGCAAAGAAACGAATCTTGAGGAGCTATCACGCATCATCAACGCCTACCGCGCATCGGTACCCACGTACACGACCAGGAAAGATTTTCTTGGCTCAATGCACTTATTAGGGAAATGAGTCGAAAAATGCCCCGGTAACCATTTGGTGATTCAATAAAATTGCATTGCTGTTCTTAACTAAGAAAATCAGTACTAGTAGGGATTTTGCTCATTATGTTGAACTACAAATTTCTTTTTTTTCTGTGACAGTAATTGAAAAAAAATTTATTTTGCTTCTACGTTTGTCCAAATTCGCACCACATTTTTTGATGAAGCACTGCCTTAAACAAAAAGATTATTTTTTGACAAGACTAAGATTGAAGCAATGTACCTTTTAGGCTGCAACAAGACAGCCACTGCACTGCATAAACACTTCGTCAAGTCCGAACTCTAAAAGCAGTGTAAATTTTGCTACAAACTAAAGCGCCAGCAGTAAACATGCCTAGATGTTGAAAGTAAGTTCTGAAATTGAAAATAAAAAGAGATAGGTTACAGCAGCAGTTAGAAAAGCAGGTTTCAAATATTAGGAAGGATCATTTGTTGGATATTTGGAAAAATCGGTAAAATTATCTCTTGCTTTCAAGCTTACCTTATCCTTTGACCTTTTCGAATGTTTTCTTTTACCAGCGATAAGCAATAGTACTAACCTCGAACTTAGTGTTTCACTCAAGCTCACTCTCTCCCTCGCATAATACATTATACTGTATTCAAATGTTCCTGGCATACTACTTTGCATGAGCCTAGTTAGTTCTTCTCAGCATTCTACCCATTACAATTAGTTTTGAGTTACTCGCAACTATACAAAACGATTGAAATAACCGATTATCTTATATTTTTTCAAGCGAATAGGCTAATAAAAGGAAGCCGTCACTTTCGGCGAAGCTGGGAATCAACTAAAACATTCAAGCCAACAATGATCTGGCAACAGTGCAAAGCTCTATGACAGATGTTCAAGAAAAAAATCCCACTTTTCCGTAAAATTTGCAGCTAAGAGACGTTCTCCTAGACTTAAAGCAAATGAATTTCGCTCACTCACAAAAAAAATCTCTTGAAAAAAAATGATTTTGGAAAATGATTGCAATAATCAGATTTTAAAGTTGCTAGGGGACATACTGTCGAACGCGCTAGTTGATCTGCGTCTTTCTGCTGAAAGGATCTAAAAGACCAATGACGTTCTGGCAAGCTTACAATATACAGCACTTACATAGACATTTTTGTTTTTCATTTTTGCATTTCACTGCAAAGGTTCAAAAATTTGCAAGGCGCACGCACTGGTAGCGAATAGTTTAACCTTTCAAGCGAATAGTTTAACCTTTCAAGCATAGTTCTTTTTAATTCGCGCAGTCATTAAATACTTTTTGCCTACATTGATGACGTAACCGTCACAGGCTAATCATCGAGCTGACATTTCCAAGAAAGAAAAGTGTTGGAAAAAAATAATTTGAAACTTTGATATAAAACTCGCAGCCAAGAAGTTCATTCTCAAGAACATTCAATACATTAGCATTTCGGTCGAACGCCTGCCTACTAGGTCTGATAAAGTTCATACAACGCAGCCACTGCAGAGCTGTTATATATCTCTGATCCCCCGTACCTTCGCACATCTCACGTCTTTCATTATTTGCTACTCTTTCAACCTTGCAGAAAGGTGTTTCATGTAAATGGACAGAAGAACATCAGCAAGTGTTAAAACTCACTAGTGCACTGATAAGAGCACTAAGCCTAATAATTTCGACCCTATGAACAACCAAATGCAATGATGCTTCAAGAATTCGGCGTAGGCGATTTTATTGCAGTAATCCGGAAACTTGCATAAAACACATACGCTCACCGCCGCGATTTTTACATCAAGCATAAGAAAGGATTGTGCACTCATAGAAAAAGGAGTATTAGGTATTTTATTAGCATCAAAGCATTTTTGCCCTGACGTCGCAAATGCTTCAGTACCTGACCTGCCAGCTAGAATCGCTGATGCATCGGACAGATTTCTCAGAAGGCTTGCTAAGCAATAAGTAAGTCCTCAAGCCTCAAACCAAAATCGAGCAAGAAAACTAGCACAATATGCTATTTTCAAAGCCGATATCGTACAGTTTGCACAAATGCCATACAAGTCAACGCTCCGCCAAATTTGGACAAATTCGGAATTTTTGAAGGTATACGAATTTAAACGTCTTGATAATTTTGCGCGGAAACAAAAGGTTCAAGCGCGAACCTTTTAGAAGAATTTTCTGACATTCTAGACAATTACGCACTTTATAGCAGTTGTACTCCATGACACTATAGTCCTTCACACTAAAAAAAAAAGTAAATAGCTTCTTTTCAAATAGCAAAATGCTGAACGAAGTGATAGAAAAGTTTTCACATTAATCCCCTTTTGGTCTACATTTTTGCCTCAAAAAGATCGAAGGCAATCCAAGCGAAGTATTTTTGACCTCTATAATAATTAGTCAAAGACGTAAAATCATGTTCTGTCTGTCAGAAAATTGAGACGTCATCTGCTCGTAATGCGAGAAGAGTTAGTTTCCTAACACCTCGATGACCACCATTTGACTGTCTACGCATTGTTGGGCCATTCCCACAATGTATATGGAAACAGAACTGTTTCCACGACTGTGTGCATTTTTAGCAAGCTTGTTATATGTACTCGAATTCCAAATAAGCCCATCGATACCACTTTGGGAGCTACCAGTGTAGAAGATAAAATGGCCTTATGGGATAGTATCCTTGGTTCCACAATTTCTACTGGAAGGGACGTGGCTGACAGACTTCCCTTGGACGGCCCTCTAAAGACCCCTTGGACGACTAAAGAAGCCCCCTTGTCCTACCACGCTGTGCTCTCGAAAGACTCATCTACTGCTGCTTATGGCATATTGTTCGGAAGTGACACTAGTGGGCTTGTATTCTACAGCCCATCGTTTTTCGCATATCAGACAAGCGTTAACGAGTATACAGGATATAGCCATTTTGTCACTTGCGATCGAAACTGCACCCGGTAAGTTTCGCCACTTCTGTCCAAATCGCATGCGCATTAGATAATTGCGAAACTCAAACCACAGCTGCTCGGCCAACTACGATTTGAAATTGGAAAGCAGTTGAAAAAAAAATGCACAACATGAATTAGGATAAGCTTTTCAGCACAAAGTTCTTACGAGAGAAATTCTACTGGAGATTCTGTGCTATTTTATGACGACACTGTTTGGCCAACTCGTCAATTCAGTGGATAAGATTTTCTCATATAAAGCGTGACTCGTCCTAACATTAACATCGGCAGTTTGACTGGTTAAACTTACTTCACAAACCGTTAACATTTACATTGTAAATCTATGTCTTGCTCTCCGTTAGCTGTTGTTTCTTACGAAAATCCCAATCCGCTTTCATCAATACCTTAGAAACATCAGACAACGACGAGCAATGTTTTCCGTTTCAAACGTCTTCAGATACGCAGACAGAACTCCGTGCAGTTTCCGGGAACACGACGAAAAAACTTAGCAACCTTATTGCTAGCAATAAATTTTGCTAAGCGTAGTTGTTGTATTTTTTTTTTGGTAAGTTTGTTTTCTATTACCGCGCCGCATCGCTGCGTGTGACAAAACACAACTTCCTTGAAAAGGCGATTCAAAGAAGTTTATATTCATTTAACATTTCTACTTTACAAAAAATCGCACTTTCCCACTGCATATTTCGCCCCTGTGTTGAACTAGTGATATTGTGCTAGTTCCACACTTGACCCATAAGATTCAACACAATACTATACTAGTTGATCATCGCATGTACGTTATAGTGTCACAATGATTTTGAGGTCTTTTAACAAGTAATTGACAACTTATTAGTATTATGTTGTTTTTAGAATACCCCCAACAAAATCTATTTTTGTGAGGTATTATGTATTCCATATTCGTTTACGCCACGTTAAAGCCAGATGTTGACTATTACTGATGCGAAGTTCTATTATGTAACCCATTTTAATTTCTAAATGCACACTCCTACTCTCATTTTCCTACTCTCGCCCATCAAGCAACCCTTCACCAGCTTAATGTCTTGCTCCTTGCTCCTTTCCATTTATTGGATACAGCCCATACATCCTCCAATCCTTTTCAGCTCGAGGACGAGCTATCTTCTGAGTGGCCGGGAATGGAACAGGTCGTAACTGCTTACCCAGTTCACCTGATCCTACCTCGCTATCTTCAGTCTACCAAAGCAGTACCGTCACTTACTCGTACTACAAACAAGCTCGAGGACGAGCTTACCGAAGGAATGGAGATGTCGGGATACGATGAGTCATAATATGTCGGGATGCCCGATATACATCCTCCCACGTTCAAGCCCGATACCAACCTCCCACGACTCCCGATATATCCCTCCCACGTCTATCTCGTGTGTAACAATGGATGCTGGACCTGGTATAAAAGGAGACAGAGTAAGCACACCGGACGGAGCCTCCACACAGCCTTCACTATCCCCCTCCCTTCCCCCTCATTTTATAATCTTTATTATGTAGATAAATATTTATAATAGATATTGTACTACCGTACAACCGCTACACACTCAGGCAAGGGTCTAGCTACCCCTTGGTCCTGACAATAGCAAGGATAACAAGTTCAAAAAGGACTTATATATAGCCATTTAACGTCAAATGATTTGAAAGTATGAATTGGTCTATTCAATCTTCAAACCAGAATCTCAAGAATGTAAAACTTTCTCAGTTATTCCGATCGAAGACAAGGACTTTGAAGACTAATTGCACTCATCCTTTATTCTGCGAATCACTTGCTTCTGTTACAAATTTTGGAGTAAAATGCCCTGAACCCAATATTTAAATAGGCAGACGATTATAGCTGAGACTAAAAGAAACTGCAAGATTCTTTAATTGAACCAGTGTGAGATAATCTTCGAAAAGATTTTCGTTCAATTTTCTAGCTTGTAAAGTAATATAGGCGCGAAAAGTGACTAGACGCGCGAGGAATCTGGAGCTCCCCAGGCACTTCCAGAAGCAAATGCGGTAAGCCTTTGCTGCCTCCTGCATGACGTCCGATGTATACCATATTGTAGAGCATAAAATGCTGATTCCAAGTCTGCCTATTTTAGAACCCATTTTATCCAAAATGCGCGTTCGATTTTTAGCTCCAAAAAACGCTTACAATTTTTCGTCCATAAACGCTCTGCAGATAGGGAAGGCAGGTTTAGAGTCAGCTTTTTATGCCCTTCAATATGGGATACATCTTTTTTAGAAAGGTCACTTCGACTAAACAAGCTTCCCTTGTTAGAGTGGTGTGTCGTCTGTTTGAGCAGCAATGTTAGAATGAGCAAATCATATTGAAGTGATTATTTTCAGTAAAATGGAATTCAATGAAATCTGTGCTGTGTGAAGACAGCGAACGACCGATTCCGCGCAATGACTTTTCTATCGCTTGGGTGCCCAACGGCTATGAGTTCTCCAGCGGTCGCCCTGCGAAGCGAAGAAAGATGATGGCTCCGCGCCCTCCTGTGGTTAAACCGAAGAGCACTTTCACGTGCGAGTTTTGTAAGTTAATTTCTATTCTTCTGAAAGCAGTTCTTTTCTGATTCAAATGGATAAGTTACAAAGGACTACATTGAGTTATAGTTCCTACTGGTATAGCAGTTATTTAGATTTGGATACATAGCTCACTCCTGATAGGGGAGGCAGACAAAGATGCGTCAGTATTAGTATTCTGTATTGGTTAGAAGAGAGCATAGACCTCGCGAGCTTGAGCTTTTCTCTAGAGTAGACCTTAGCAAGACTTCTCTCCTTCCCTTCGGTCCCGCTTTCAATATGGTTAAGTGCATTTTTTTGCCGCAGTATAGCATCCCATAATATATGCGCTCTGTTTTTCGTAAGTAAATGGTTTTCGAATCAGTCATCTCCAACTCCGTACAAAGTATCCAAAAGTGGGTTGCTCAGGGGCTGGGTTTGAATGATAAATTATTTGATTTGGTATAATTAGATCTTTTCTTGATTTATTGAGTATAAAGACAACATCAGAGTGCAAGAAATAAACGTATCAAGCTTTGTTTTCAGTGGATGAAGGAGATAAGGAGCTTGCTTCAAGCATTATCCAGAACGTCTCCTCCGCACCTGGAACATTCGTGTTTGAAAGGTGAAATTCAGCAGCCGGAATTGTTCATATTGACTTATTCCATTTCAGTGCGGAGAAGGAAGCTTTTACTCGTCTCATACCAATCCCAGCTGGCATGTCGACAGACAAAGCTACTCAAGGCAATTGGCATATGGAGGGAAATGATTGCAACTTGGTAGCTTTACCACATTTCATTTGTTTCTTAATGACCAGCGCGACATACAGATCAAAAAATATACTCACTGTTTGACTGTAAATAACTTGTGATGAAGTGTTTCGAGAAGCTTTAGCTACTACTTTGTAGAGCGAGGTTAAACTTAGATTTACAGTATGAAGCGAATCACCAATCGCTCTTCATTACTGTAGGATTACGGCACGAATTTCGACAAGGATTTTAGGCCTTTGGAGGCCATATTCTGCCTCGGAACAAAGCCAAACAAGCCAAAAACTCCTATACTACGGTAGTGGGAGCCGCCGATTTCGATTTTGAAATTCCCATTTTACTGTGATGCTTCTTTCCCAAGTTATCCTCGGTAAATCCGTAGTAACTCAGTTCCCAGTATTTGTCAGAAATGTAGTTACACCGTCAAAAAAGCTGAAAACACTTGTTAAAAGTTTTCAGGTGGAATCAGCGTGCGCAACCCTAGTAAAAGACTTTTCAGATTTTTTTTTCTAAATTTTGTTAGGTGGCATATTTCACAACGGTTCCATATGCTGGAAGTTCTTACCGTAATCCTACAGTAATGAAGAGCGATTGGTGATTCGCTTCATAGTGTAAATCTAAGTTTGACCTCGCTCTACAAAATGGTGGCTAAAGCTTCTCGAAACACTTCATCACAAGAGAGTTATTTACAATCAAAGAGTGAGTACATTTTTTGGGACATCCTGTATACCTGCAGTTGTGACGTAGCGCGAGTTGTTTAAATCTCCACTGTTAGAATTCAGCTTGTTATCTAGTTTTGACAACCATCGGTATGTAGTGTACAGGCTCAAAATTCTTGCATCATTTTTTGAAAGTTGATGCAGTAAGTCGAAATCTGTTTATGGATAACATTACGTAGAAAATGCACAACTTGCATGGAACGCATTTAGTTTTTTAGCCCTCTAAATCACCTGTGCAGACGCCGTTTATCGTTATTATAAAAGCTAATCAAAAGCTCTTAACTCTACTGTTTACATGTTTGATATCTAACGTGACGCACATTCGATTCATCTTCAGGAAACGCTGCTAACTTCTGTGGCTCCAAAAACTTGCAGGATCTCATTCCCAGCTTGGGGCACTCCACAACGTAAAGATCGCAAATACGAGGTAAGTGAAAGATTTCTCGTAGATATCCATATGAAATGGAGTTTTGTCTTGGAATAGTTCATTGATAAGTTGGTAGGTTAGACGAATTATTTCTGTAGTACCTTTCGATCATTTTCACGTGCAAGAACACTGCATCAACCTCTGTAAGTCTGCGAAACAGGAACGTCACTGCCATTAGCAATGTATCAATGAGAATGCTTGACGGAAGAGATGTTCAATGGGAGGAGCTCCTTTGGGCGCTGACTTCAAAACTGTTTTCCTTATCTGTAAATCGATCTTTTCGAAGAAGTTATGCACCATGCCTGGAACTACTATCTGTCAAGGTATCTAATGAAACACACTAGTCTCCATACTAAAGACATTTCGGTTAGACTCCTTTGTCCTTGATGCGCATTTTCATTGGGACTTCTAAAATCTACGCTCTCAAACTCTTATTTTTTCCATAAAATAAGTTCGCAGACAAGGAAAGCAGCTTTGAAACCAGCTGAGGGAGTTTTGCTGATATTAGATTCTCCCCAACTCACCTGTGCGACCATTTGTTCTTTAGTATATTTGAGACGGACTTGCTGCAGAAAAAGTTTTCATCTCTTTTTTTTAGACATTGCATGTGGATCGCAACATCAAAATGGAAGATATACAAGCGGGCGATGGACCACGCTCTTGGTCGATTTTGGAAGCTCTGGTGAAGCGCCAGTTCGTAGAAATGCCGTCTGATTCGAGGTGACTTTTCATAGTGAATTTTTCCCACTTATTTACAATTTTACAGATATGCGGCAGCCAAAAGCATTGTTCAAGTGCTGAATGCGTTGCCTAAGCAGTAAGCTACAGATTCAAATGATGTGTTCTTTGCAAGTGCAACCGCAAGGTTTCTGTATGTATTTTGGAATCTGACTTCATTGTTATTTTTATCGATCTCGTCTAATGACAGGTCAAAACTCATTAGCAGATAAGTTTCTTTGCTGCGTCTCTGAATAAGTCACATTTGCTGCAATCATGCAAGCACCTCTTACTTGTCTTGCTTTTTTATAAGTCAAGGGAATCTATTTATCTCCCAATATCCATATGATTAGGTGTGTTTTGGTTGGATACCAACCGAGTTGGAATAGATCATCATTACAGGGCCAATCTATATATGTGGTTTTCTTTAACAGTATATGTATAACTGTTTCTTTCATTTAGTGTAGTTAAGAATAAAAGTATTTTAACAGTGATTCTTATGCAATGTTTACTACTCATTCGACTGGGTAGTGGAACCGGCAGACCGGTTTTTTATTCGAACATTTACAGTGACCAACAAGATTTCTCGTTCAACACTGTTAATTTCAATACTTCTATTCATTTTAGAGAACGCGTAAAATTGCTGTGGGGTTTACAGAGTGGCTTGACAGCTATGCTTACTATGAATATGTAGCAATCCTCACCATAGTTGCGATAGGGGGAGTAATGAATCTTACCCCCTTCACTTTGAGGCCAAACTCCGGATGACCCCCTTCACCTGGACTGAGATTGGTATTGTACTCTGAGAATATGATAAAAATCGTTATTAAAAGGTTTTGCAGGCTAAGTACCTCAAACAACAAGTACACTCATAAATCTACAAAAGAAACGGTATTTATGTTTATTTATATTACTTATTCATCCTTGTAGCATTCATTTGGAGAGCAGAAAGTGAGGACACAAAATCAGTTAGTTTTTGAAGCGCATAAAATCCCTCATATCTCGCGGCACAGAAGACCTAGAAAAAAGTCGACGGCCTATGTCGATTCTCCATGATCTCAGCTTTCGAATGATATAAAGCTTGTTGGAGCCTTTTTGCTTCCCGGCTCTAAAAATCATTTGCTCCGGTAACCGATAAAAGCCAATACATTGGTGGAGCTGGGTGGAGCAAGCTAATAGTAAATATCTCCACCCCATTTTTGAAAACTGGTTAGTTTTTTCGCCCAGCAACCTATAGACCGTTCGAAAGCTCAGGAAAAGGGGATTCGACCTAGACCGTCGACTTCTTTCTATCCCCCCTCTACCGAGAGATACACCGCATTTTATCTAAAAACATGGTCATTTTCAACAGCAGATTTCTGCCAAATGAAGATCTGATCACTGCTGATTATCTATCTGTGTTAAAGAGCAAGTCTTCTTTAACAAACGTAGACCGTCGACTTTCTTGTAACATTCATTTGGAGAGCAGAAAGTGAGGACACAAAATCAGTAAATTTTCGAAGCACATAAAATCCCTCATATCTCGCGGCATAGAAGACCTACAAAAAAGTCGACGGTCTACTTCGATTCTCCATGATCTCAGCTTTCGAATGATGTAAAGCAAGTTGGGGCTTTTTTGCTTCCCGGCTCTAAAAATCATTTGCTCCTGTGACCCATAAAAGCCAACACATTGTATAGGTCGTCCCGAAAGTTTTTGCGCACGATTTTCAAAAATTCATAACTTCTGAATTTTCCAACCGATTTGACTGCTTTCACATTTATTTGAAAGTGTAAGTCATGCTCTTTATAATGACATCTCAGCTGCTTAGTAATGATCATCTTTTGCATAGATAGGAGCGATAGAAGAAAATTGGTCAAAATTTGAATTTTCTGTGTAGGCCCATGAAAAATCGGAGACCTGCAACAAAAATCGGAGCAGTCAGTATTGTAGGTTCCTTCACCAGCTCTTTCTAACAGTGCAAAGTTTGCGCTGATTGAGCGTCTCCATGAAAAGTTATGATTTCCGAGCAAGCATTACAAAAAGGCGAATTTGATTTATTTTGGCATTTTTCAGTAAAATCATAACTTTTCATAGAGACGCTCAATCGGCGCAAACTTTGCACTGTTAGAAAGAGCTGGTGAAAGAACCTACAATAGTGACTGCTCCGATTTTTGTTGCAAGCCTCCGATTTTTTTGTGATCCTACACAGAAAATTCAAATTTTGACCGATTTTCTTCTATCGCTCCTATCTATGCAACAGATGACCATTACTAAGCAACTGAGTTGTCATTATAAAGAGCATGACTACTGTTTCAGACGAAAATAGAAGCAGCCAAATCGGTTGAAAAAATCAGAAATTATAATTTTTGAAAATCGTGCGCAAAACTTTCGGGACGACTCAATAAGAGCGAGGTGGAGCAAGTTAATAGTAAAACATGTGCTGTGGATTGACATCTTTATCAGCACTAACGGGAACGTGAGCAAACGCATCTATTTAAGCGTGCTTATCGTTGTTATATCTTCATATTTTTTGGTAAAAAATGCGCTTTTGATTTACAGTTATGCCATCATTATCAGCACACACCCAAAAAACTAGGGGAGATTGGTGGATTTTCACACCTTCACACAAAAAGCCGCCCATTTCTGGAATCTATACTCTATAAACCTAGTGCTGAAGAAGGTCACTTTCGTGAAAACGCTCTAGACTCACCTTACCCAATTTGTAGAGAATGGGTTTCAATGAATCAAAAACTTTAAGACATTCAGAAGAATAACATGTTATTAAAATATCCCTCAATGTTTTGGAAAGGTTGGCAGTTTGAAGAGGAAACGGCAGGCAGAATACTTTACAAAATCGCAGATGACTCGCATGTGTTCCAGATTAATAGCCAGGCAGAAGGAGAATTTTACGCCGGCAAGAATGTTGTCGACATTGATGCAGAGTTGACAATTGAGCGAAACTCTCTGATTTCCTACATAAGAAATCCAAGCAGATTGCCCAGTTTCAATGAGTGTCCAGGAAAAAAAATTGTCAACCTTCTACTAAACATATTGTTATCTAAAAACTTCATTCAATGGATTGGTACAAGTGGTTCAGACAGGCTGTTACCGTATGACTTTTTGAAATTCCCTAAAAGATGGTATGAAGAAACTGGTCACCTACCTGCTGAATTTCCTGGTGCTACCAGAGGGCCAGGAAAAAATCACAAAAGCGCTTAGAAGAAGAAGAAAGTTCAAATCCATTTTCGACTCAGAACGCTTTTGCACGCAATTCTACTTCTACTCCGATGACCTTTTGGAGGAAGAAGAAGATTTTTCAGGCAGCGAACTTGTTGTCTCTGACGTTAGCGATAGTGATATTGTTGATGATGATGTGCAGGAATTGAAGTTGTTCCTTACTTGTACATCTTTTGGGATAAACCTTATTGCTTTCGTTTTTTGTTGATGCAATGAAATGGGAGCACAGATCTTCATAATGTCATTTTTTTTTTAAAAATTTTAATTTCTTTTAAAATTTTTTAATTTTTTTCAATTTGTGCCTAAATAAGGTACAAATTAGAGCTCTTCATACCACGTTTTTTTACCTTTTCTCTCTTCCTCCCCCCTAGACTCACATACCCCCTTCACCCTGGAAGGTCGGGAACAGCGGAGACCCCCTTCACCTGGGGAGAGCCCGGCTCCCCCTATCGCACCTATGATCCTCACCGTTCTCATAACTCTTACAGTAACTTACTGGTCCCAACTAAAATCTCCCTACCCTGGATTGCCAATATATCAATACGAAAAGGCTTGATGTGCTCGTATCTTTTTTCTTGTTCGATAGATTTCGCACTGCTTCTAATCTATTGGGTCAATGGAGCTCATATTGAGATAAAATCTTATTTCACCTGGAACAGTGCAAGAGATGTGAAGAGACTTGGAAAGGCGCTTTGCAAGAAGTTTTATAGAACTGCAGCGAGCTCACTTTCATATTGAAATTTACTCAGTCTGTTTACCTAAAAAAATCTGTTGTATTGCTTGTTCATTCTATCTGTAACATCTATCGAAATTCAAGCACGAAAATTTGAAAACTGCCATTTACATGGTTCTTGAATTCGAAGTCGCAGAGGTGAGGCGTTACGATTAGATTTAAAATATAGGGTCTATTTCTTATGGAGCAATAACTCCATTATTAGACGGTTTTCGACAATTCTTATCCAGTCATGTTACTTTATAATCCTGCTGTATAAGCGCTCAGAAGCACCGAAATGGTTTGGTGACGCTAAATCAAATTCGCTCGACTTCGGCATTGATAGTGCCGGAGGTCAACAAAATGTCCCTGTTTGTTCATCGTTAGTAACTATCTTACTCCATTTTCATTCTCCGCTTTCGAGGCCATTCACCCAAACAAATTCGCGAGATTTTTACGTTGTGTAAATAATAGGTGGGCCCCTAACAGTAATCGCCCACTCAGGCTGTAAAAGATGAATTCCGGAACGTGAAAAACGCTTCTTAGTAGCGATTTAGGGCTCCGCCCATCGAAGGGTCCATGAAAAGTCCAAAATCGGGCTTCAATGTAGTAGAACTGTCATAAAGCTGCCCTTCATTATTACTGATTTTCGACATTTCTATCTACACTAAAACCCACTTTGACCTCATTATCTTTAGACCACCCACGTTGATGACCGGAGACGCCTTGACCGCTTCTGTCTTCTGGAGCGATGTCTCGCTTCGGAATTCATCTTTCATAGCGGGAATTTGGCGAATACCTAGTTAGGGCTCCGCTATTCTCAGAATCTCGGAATCCTCGAATTGGGTGGATGGTGTCTATAAATACCATTTTGTAAAGTTAGCTTCACTCAGATTTACAGAATGGAGCAAAACATAGTCTCTATTCGCTAGTGTAAGATTACGGGAGGAGCTTGCAGCATATGGTGCATTGCAAAGTCTGAAAAAGAATTCAAATGATATCTGGAAAACTGTGACAAGGTCCTCAAGCATGCAGGTTTCACTTCAACTTTTATAAGTTTTTAGAGAATTTCTAGAGAAACATCACAAAAATGGTTGTTACGATCTATGTGGCATAACTTATGGAAGAAACATTACGTGGTGTACTCACATTTGCAATCGGCGACTTCAACTGTCCTAGTGTGAGAGCTTTCAGTTTCTTTGGTTCCGTTCCGGAAGTGTGATATGGTTTATAGAAAAGAGATACATAATTCGCTCTTGTAAATCTAAAGCTCTACAGAATGATACTTCATCAGGCAATAACAGGCAAAAGAGACTGAAGCGAGAGAGTTATCAAGCATCATACAGTAGGAACATGTCTTGGACATTTTATATTAGGTTGGCCCGAAAGCTTGTTCGCACTTTATATTCATAACTTCTTTACTATTCAAAGGACTTGTAAAAGACTGATCTGGAGAAGAAATCATGCGCTTTACAGT